GGCTCCAGCTATTCATCACGTCAAACAATGCGGCTCCCATAATCAGACTACCTTCGGTCGCACGTAAACTTCAAATATTTCTCACCTAAGTTATCTGTGTTATCTGACACTTTCGAAAGAATCTCACCGGAAATGCATACAGCGTACGATCACACATGGCTAGCTTGCATCCTCGTATTATTTTTTAAACCGAGAAATTTTTGGAATTTTATTAGTCTTCATAAATTCAGATTTTTTAGTCCTGAACGCGAATTTATAAACTATGTATAACACATTGTATAGTACTAATAAATGTGACTAAAATACTATTACATATTACGCGAATTACATATTACTTCAAAATTTGCAATTTTCAACCTTTGTTGCAGCAAAATTCATATAGCAGTACGAAAATTAGCATTAATTGTTTTGTTTTAAAATAAAGTAAAACATACAATATTTATTTTAAATTTATATTTTTAAAATTATTTTTAGCTGAATTCTACTGTATTAGAAATAATTTGCGTGTTTCATGCAACTAGCTATGTATGCTCGAAATTGTGTAGTTCATAAAGTTTTTTATATGAAATAAAACTAATAAGACATCTAGCTAAACTAGATGACAAATTTAAATAATTACTGAAAATTAATCCCCGAAATTTTTTTCTATTCTCATAATCTGACTTCGAAAATAATATATCTTCTAATTTAATATAAATGTCTAATAGTATACATAATAAAATTCGAAATAAACACGATAAATTTATTAATGTGAGGCCGATGAGGCGTTACTAATTATATCAATGTATAACGATTCTTATTCCTAGCTTTTAAGGTCATCGAACCTTAATTCGAGCAACAAGACTGGATGAACTGCTTGTTTTTGCCAGCTTTTTCTAGCTCGTAACATCTTTCGATTGGTTAGAAGATTTTTGGCTTCAAGACGTTCTTAGCTCTGAAGAACAGACGCCAATTGGCTGTAACGAGTCGTGCCAAAAATTCACGCAGGCTTTTTTAGAACACAATCGTACATGAGACTATCCCAACGATGATTGTAGATGAGTTAATGTATTAGAAATAAGTCTGTTATATATAGAAATTTGAATCGCATACTATTTTCATTTGTTGTAATTGCATGAACGATAATTATAAAATGTTCTCTTTTTCTTCTCTCTTTCTCTCTATCTGTGTGTGTATGTATCTGGTTTCGTTTATCAGGTTTCTATATATAAATGCGAATTATTTTCTCTGATGATGCATTGCCGATCTTGCATATAATAATCACAAAATTAATTAAGAAATTCTGCAGTATATGTATTAAAGTTGCGCATTATCTTGCAATATGTTCACAATTATATAAAAAATAATAAATGGAGATTAATTATTTATATAAATATTATCTTTTAACAGAGATATGATTAATAAGAGTTTTAAAACTGTTTAAATTCTGACCTCTCTTTCTCTTTCTGTCTCTGTTTCTCTATCTCTCTTTACAATAGCGGAGACAAGAAGTTATTATGCAAGATTTACTTATCTATGGTTGCCATGTGCACGCTACTTGCACGTATAATATGCAGAGATGCATTCTTGGCCGCCATCTTTCCTTTCACACCTCAAGGTCTTATTCGTTGATTATCATATACAGGAGACACTTCTCCAGAAGATCTTCATCGACTATCTTGCTTGCATGTAAAATACATGCGCATTTCTACCGAAAAAAATGATTTCTTAATTTGTGCGTGCACTCTATTCAACTTTTTGCTTGAAAAATAGTACGTCATCGTTGGCCTTCTATCAAAAGCGGTTCGTGTTAATACGTTACACGATAAAATCAATAACGTTATATAGTTGCAAATTATGCCTACTACTTTTCTATTTTAATACTCTTTTCTTTATAATATAAACATAAATATAATTCTTCTTACAGTTTTTTTAAAGATGTTATATCCGTGGGTTTTATTCTTCCTGTGTAGAAAATATATTTTTACTCAAAGAAAACACATGTGAGAAAGAACTGATAGATTATAGATATATAGATAAAGTTATAACATATTTAAAAGACAAAAGAGCCTTGAACTTCTTGAATTTTCCAGATTCTCATACTCTTACTTAGTCATCAGTCTACTCTAACTGAAAATTCAAGGGAAAAGAAAGTTGCTTCACTCTCACGAAATATATTGAAAGAATACTAAACAACTCAAGACGATGAGTCATTCGTGTGTTTTCTTATATTTTTATTTGTCATGCCTTTCCACGATATCATCTTCGATATATATATATATCATATATCTGTTTCTTATTGATAATTATAAATAATCGAAATCCCTTAATCAACTTATTTATTATATTATTATGTAAATGAACTTATTATAAATATATTATTAACAGACGTAATTTTTTATAATTATTATATATTGTATGTAAAAAAGCAAATGTTGATGTAAAAAATTGTGTAAACTAATTGAAAAAGTAAAATACGATGAAAAATATTGCATAATTGAAATCTATCAGGAAAGAAGGTTAAAACACATTTATATTCTATGATGGAAAATATTCTTTGCTTCTAATAATATAATAATCAAGTTGTTTATGTGATAAAAAGAAATAATTATTCTTATTTCTTCTGTGAATTGGTTTATTGATGCAGAAAAAAAGAGAAAAACATATAAAAAGCAACTAACAAAAACGAGTTATTGGACAAGTTAACACGATTATTGCAAATCAAATAGCTATTACGTAGTTTAATATTTAATAAAACTTGGCAAAGTTGCTAATATTGTACAGTTTTTTTTCTCGAGGCAATCAATGCAACGAACTCTTTCAATAACTAATACGCGAAACTAGAAATAAATACTGACTGAGGTATTGATTTTTGCGACATCGTACACCGAATAATCTCACCGATTTTTGAATCACTATTTTCCGAATGTAACAATTACTTAAAACGATTTCACGTATCGATTCAGTATCAAGCTGGTTGTTTTTCACAGTTCTAGTTTATATATACTTAACTATTATGTTCCCACGGAATATTTATAATATCTCTCGTTGACCGCGCGGATATATCCACGTGCAGTAAAAGGAGACGCGATCAATAGATTTACAACGTAGGTTTTTATATTATAAAAAATAGAATATGAGTAGCTTTACATGATGCTCTTACTTTTAACATCCCAGCATCGTTGAGCATCAAATTTATCGAGCAATGCACACAATTTGCATTATAATTATGTGAAAATGAATAATTCGAGTCTTGTGTTCAATTTAACATTATATAATAAACTATTTAGCATGATATAACTATGATAAATAATTTATTAACATTATATAATAAATTGCTTATTATATAATAGTACAGTTATACTGTGATAAACAATGTATTACATAATGTTAACGTCTTTCTAACAATATTGTGCTATCTATGGAGCATTTGAAATACACCTTCTTTGTTCTATGTTAATGCTACTTAAAACAATGATGTAATTCCGTAATGTTTACATTCGAATCTATACAAGTCGCAAATAAAAAATATGTACAAACTCTCAACAATTTTAAAGTAAAATGAATAATAATAGCAAATGTCTATTTGAAAAAAAGGATATTATATATAGATTGTCATTCTCGGATAATCGTATTTTCAGATATAGACATCTCATTAGAGGATACTATAAAGAGTTATAAAAATTAAATTTCAACCTGTAAAAGGCTTCATTATTCCAGAAGATCGATGTTTTCATCTTTATAATAAATTATTCGAAAATGTATGTGAGATATTAAATAATTTGTTTCCATTGATAATAGGTAGGTACATGTTTCATCTGCTATCCGTATTTATGAGGCCATTAACACAATGTTCCCTGAATTATTGAACTGCTGTGGCGCAACGAGAAGGGAAGGAATGACTGTAGAAAAGCCGCATTCCCTCCATATCGCGCCAATTAAAAAGCAGTTACGCGTGCATTCGAACGCGTCGCCGCAGTCAAATTAAATCTGCGCAGAGCGTTGTAACAGTCGCAGACTAATTTGCTCGATCAAAGCAGTTTAGCTCGGCAGTGCAGACAGTCGTATTGTTCGCTCGGCACGATCGGCCGTCGTTTGCTAAAGATACACGATATAGGGAACACGAACTCGCATAGGAAAGATTCGCGTAGGCGGGATGAATAGAGCGACGTGGTACACGAGGAGCATGCGATCGTTTTTGTTGTATAGAGCGTGCATAGGTAAGCCTATTATATCGTGCTAAGTAAACAGTCCTGCTAATCCGATTGCGTCGAGAGCGTTTACTTTCGCACGTTTTAGCCATTAGTCGGTCATCGTGCGATAATCGAAGGCCGTGCGGTATCGTTCGATCGGAGGGTCCCGATTATTTTCGTTCAACCATATTATTCTAATCGAGCACGCGATACCCAGATGCGATCGTTTCCACGGAGAAGTGTCGCCTCGTAAAAAAAAAAAAAAAATTGGGATGCAGCTACTCGTGCGCAATAATGCTGCACTCTGTTCCCTCGATAGTCCTTCACGAGCGACACGTGACACGCGATTTCAAACCTATCAATGTGTTCTTCATAGGTCGCGCTTTAATGCACCTTTGTTAATGCCTTTTAATGCGAGAAAATGTTTTTTCATTTAATTTGCGATAATAATATCTGCTTTATTAATGATTCATGAGTCATTAACTTTGTGATCTCTATCTATACTTTCAACAATTGTTTCGCTTATCTCATTTACATTGAAAGAATCGAAACATCTTAAATCAGAAAAATATAAGACTGATGAAAGATTTGAAAAACATAATTGACACATTATACTGTATTTTGCATTTTCATATTAATTTAAATTTTAGAAATAATGTGCGTGAAAAATTTCCAACTTATCTTTTCTTTAAATGCTCCATATTATCTCTTCGATCGATAAGAACAGATATGTGTTAATAGAAAAGCACGAGAAAAATAATTTATAGAATTAATATAGGATATTTACAGATTTCTCTAGTTTCTTGTCATCGACTTTGTTCTACTTACCTTATATCGCAGTTCTTTCAGTTCTGTTTCGATTCAGGCTTGCACGATTGCAATATGCAGTCGTGAGGTGAAAGTGACTTTTACGAGCCAATCATACCCTTTATAGAAGATGCTTGCGTATACGTCTGGCCTTGATCCTAAAATAATAGTCATTACTACGGATTATTGCGTGTCGAATGTCACTTTAACCTCTTTTTTTTTTAACACTCGTGCTAAATTGCTAATTAGTTACGTGCCTCGTGCAACAGAAAATGACGTTAAACTTTATTTAGATTTTTATAATTCAATAGTACAGGTATCTAATAGAACTACGAATGTATTTCCTTCTTGATGACTAGAAATTTAAATAGAACAAATTTAAAATACATTAGAAACTGTCCCATGTCACATACATTCAAAAGAAGTTATTTATGGAGATGTAATCGCAGGGGATACATTTAGAGGATCTTGTCGATATAAATTATCTAGGGCACTGTATAAAATTAGGTGTCAATGTGCTCTCATATTTTAAGAGTGAGATAACATAGTGAATTTTCGGTTGTCGAGTCACGTAAGGCCACAAATTTTAACAAGATATATGTATATGTATCTTTAAATTCTTATCTTATTAAACTCACATTATTTAATAAAATAGAAAAAAATATATAAGAGCAAATATGTATCTTATTTCTATTTTATTAAATATTTTGAGTTTAATTTACAATACGTAACCTCTTCAATTAGCTCTTCAATTAGTTATACATATATGAATTAATTTGAATATATATTAATTTAATAAATCATATCTTTCAAATCAATCATTTCATTTTACATATTTTTTATCTTATCTCTAACTTTTTAACAATAATACAAAATTTTTAATTTGATGTAATATTAAATATCGGTATTTCTAAATTTGTAAGATATTTTTTTGCGAATTCCATAAAAAAATAGTTAGCTTTTTGGTTATCAGTATAAAATGAGAAATTTAACGGAACGTACTAACAATTTTAATAAAACATACAGCGACATTGTTTGCTATATATATATTTCTAGATTTTTCATGAATATATTCAGATAAAATCACAACATGAGAGATTTGTAAAAATTAACGAGTTTATAAACCTTGTGTATGTGTGTGTGTGTGCGTACGCGTTCTATATAATACACGAATTTGTTGTTCGCGTTTATTATTAAATTATCTGATCGAATCAAACTAACTCGATAAAGTTCTAATTACATTCGACTGTAACAAGTAACCACGGTCATATACGCACAACTATATTTAATGGATATCTGAACATCAATCGCAAACTTTCAAAATATCTATACACGTCGCGTGATGTGTACGATGTCATTCATGTGATTTTATCTATATAATTAATGTAAGTGAAATATGTGTACTAGAAATACGGTTAAAATTCTCTCTGTATTAGCAGATTTATTCTTACGATTAGCTTTTTAAATTCTTTATTAAGAGTTTAAATTCTTTAACGAACTTGGAAATCGATGCTTTTCGTTACAGACATTTTATAAATGTAGCAATTCTAATTTAATATTAAAAATAAAAGCGTTTTTAAAAAGTAATTTCAAAAAATATAAATATATAAATCTTTACATATGCGTTAATTTAATACGGATTGCAATATATATTTTTTTGAAATTGTAAAAATGTAATCAAAATTTTATCAAAATTAAATAAAATTGACATTAATATATTCGCGTCTGACTCGTTTAAGTTTAAATGTATATTTTATATTGAGAGTTTAAAGTTTTAATTTGTTTATATTGAAAGTCTAAAGTTAAATAATTGTGACAGATGACTCCAACGCAATTTTTTCTAAAAAAATTTATATCAAATTTGTCAAAGAAAGTATTGCTAAAGAAAAAAATATGATAACGTTTACTGATAACTGCATTAAATTCGAAAATTAATTTTGAACATTGTCATTTATATATTTAATATAGATATGATTCTGTTAGAATAGAGGCAGTGATTGGTGATTGTTAGACATTCATTATTTAGAATATGAATGTGAGTGGCAAGCTAAATGAATTAATTAACATTCTCATTATTCGAAATCATCACAGGAACATTACTCATCAATTACGTTACAAATTGCGACAAGTAGACAATTGAGCTAATTGTAGATCAATGTTAGTCCGCAAAGTTTCTAGACAAAGAGTTTGCAAATCTAAAAGAATAAAATTAATTAATTCGATATAAGTACAAAATTACTAAAGTACTCTGTTCTCGCAATAGCGATAAAAGCAAAATTGTGATAATCCCTGTCATTCTCGACGATACTGCAAAATTTTGTTTATTAAAAAATGGAAAAATATAATATTATATTAGACGTAGCATTTTAAAATTACACTACATAAAAAAATTTCTAATGAGCTTTATTTTAATTATTGTACTTAGTGAGAAAATGAAAAAAAGTCACGATATATATATGATATTCGATCAAATGACGCAACACCGAGCAATTAACCTCGCGAAATCTGACAGTAAAATGAAGAGCACGACGGAAGGAAACGTCGATGATGGTGAAAGGGAGAAACACGGAGCACGAGCGATAAAGGTCTTCTTAACGCGTCTCCGCTCTCGATCCGTCGACCAGCTCTTAGGGGTGCCGTCGATTCGAAGGGTAGATCCGCGGTCGGTATTAGGGGAGACTCGATATATATATATATATATATATATATATATATATATATATAAAGGAGGGTTCCGATATAAAGGATTCGTGTTGGGAACGGGTCTCAAGATTCGATCACAGGGCTTTGTCGAGGTTGGCGACTCGGCGCAACCGTTGCCAGACACTGGCCGTTTTCGGACATTTTCTCAAGCCCGGGGTCTTAACGATTCATTGGGAGGATCCTAGCCGCGTCCTTTGAGAATTTACTCCTGGCTTTGCCTTGACTGATTACCGTATTGATTCTTATTGAACTCTTATCAGCAGACAATTGCGGACTAACAGAGATGTCTTTCCTAGTTTTTATGATATTATTGCCTTGATTCCGTTTTAGGATTTTCCCGACTTGACCTTTGTTAATTTTCTGCTACACTGACATGCATACATAATATCACCGATATTATTAAACATCAAATTAAATGCGTCTTTCTCCAAAGCAATTTTTAATAATCACATACATATTTATATATCACACAAATTAAATTATTCTAAAAATAAATATCAAGAAAATTAAGAAAGTGTTTTAGATATGTGTATGAGATTAAATTACAATATATTCTTTACTATAAAAAAAAATATATTTTTGATATTAAAGATTAGACAAGAAAATTAAATCAATGAATGATTCGATTTTTTTAATGTCTCTCATTTTTTTCTTTTTTGTCTCTTTTATTTTTATATTTATAATTAAAGGATGATTAAAATTTTATATTTATAAGAATCTCTTCTTTCTCTCCTTACATTTTCGTTATCAGATTATGATATACGTGATTGAATTCTGTGCCGAGATAAATGACTATATGCTTATTCGAATGGATGGTTTTCTCTATATTCGAAGGAAAGCCCTTCGCGATAATGTCGCTTGAACGTTTGCCTGAATTGCAGAAAATAAATCGTATTTTTTTGTTCCGTTATAGAAGCGCGAGAGATCGCCGGGAAAAAGAATGGATCGGCTTCGACGGAGCTTCCGGGACAGCTTCCGTCGACGGAAAGAGTCTCACGTACCCGAGTCCAGCAAGCCCCATCAATGGCAAGCTGATGAAAGTGCAGTACGTTCAGCCACGTGCGCTTTTCACGTCAAGGTAAGCATAAAAGTTTAACGATACATTAGATATGTAAATTAAATGACCAATCCGAGACGTACCGAAATTATTAAGATGACTATTCGGACTTGGCCTAATTAAACCTGTCTTAGACATTACTTTAGACATACTGCTGATGTAGATCAATTTTCAAATTAATGTTGACAGAAAATTATTTACACACATTACTTCAAATACTTTTATATAATTATATATTACTTTGAATAATTAATTTTGGTTGGAATAATTGAAATTTCCGTTATTGATTTCTTCTGCTAAACGTCAAAAATAAATATAATTTATTTATTATTAGAGAAATATAAATTGGCCTATTTAAATTTTTAATGAATGGTTAATTAAACTATTTATATTTATAGTACCTGGGATGCGTAGAGGTATTCGAATCGAGGGGTATGCAGGTTTGCGAGGAAGCTCTTAAAGTTCTCCGAGTAAGTATTACACATTTTTTTTAAATCAATACGATTTCTCAGAAAATATATAAACTAAAAAAATTAATTTTTCGAAACTACCAATTTTCGTCTTTTATCTTCATATTTATTAACGAAAAATTTTTTTAAATATAAAATAATTCTGAAAGCAATCAGATAATTTTTTATAAAACTTCTTTCTTTTCATTTTGAATATTTAAGGGGATTCCAGCTGAGAAACTCAAGCTTTGCGAAAGTTAGGCGCGTCACACTCTCCCAAGTCTTTCGCCTTGATTATATTTAGCACGGCTCACATATAAAGACTCGACATTGACACTAAAGAAGTCTAAAAATAAGTCGGTGGTTTAAAGGTCAGAGAGCAAATCGAGCACTCTTAGTGATTCCACATAAAATTTTCAGAATTCGAGACGAAGACCGGTGCGGGCGATACTTCATGTATCCGGTGACGGACTACGCGTTGTCGAGGACGAAACAAAGGGACTAATTGTCGATCAGACGATTGAAAAGGTTTCATTCTGTGCACCTGACAGAAATCACGAGAAGGGATTCAGTTACATCTGCAGGGATGGCACAACGAGACGATGGATGTGTCATGGATTTTTAGCGTTGAAAGAATCGGTAAATCAGCTATATGATCAATGCATTAATGTATCAAAATTATGAGAATATACATAGCTTTAAATAACTTAATAGTATAATTTAAATGAAGAGAAACACATTATTGAGAAATATGTCGAAAATAAATTACTGCAATATTGCATATAATTTTTAAGAATTATAAAATATTTTTATATATTGCAAAACGGTCGTACATTTCACTATTAATTGAGATTTGTATTGTATTGTATTGTACAGTGTAAGTCATATTACATAATATGCATTTTTCTGTTTTGCCTAAAATAAAATATAAATGACATATTAATTTTTAAAAGATTCTATTGTAATTATAGAAGATATTGATTCCTAAGATTAATTCCAAGATTCTCTTTATGGATTTATCTTTTATATATTATTTAGGGGGAAAGATTGAGTCACGCAGTGGGTTGCGCCTTTGCTGCATGTCTGGAAAGGAAACAGCGACGGGATAAAGAATGCGGAGTTACAATGACATTCGATTCAAAGACTTCCACCTTTACGAGAAGCGGCAGCTTCCGGCAACCTAGTCTCACGGAACGGTTGCAGGAATCACGCGATCGTGCAGTAGGTGAGTCGTAATATAGATTATTAATTTCTATTTTCATAATTATAATTACAAGCCAATGCATATAAAAATTAAAACAATTTAGGAGAGAAGATTACAAATATCTTCCATAAATATTGAAAATGTATCATAAGTCGTGCTTGAAAGATAACAAATGGAAGATATTCGTAAAAATATAATTAAATATATTTATCACGAATATATATTTTGGCTTGAATGTTATATTACGTCTATATATATTGCACAAAATTTCTCATCCTTTATTAATATTTATTGATTTCTATTTTATTATACCTCAAATGTATTTATGTTTTAGATGTTCCTCCAGTTAAACAGGTGTACAATCCCTTTGCAATCGAGAGGCCGCACGCCACTCCGTCTATGCTAGAACGACAGGGTTCTTTTCGAGGTTTCACGCAGCTCAATCAAGCATCCCCATTTAAAAGGCAGCTCAGTCTACGAGTCAATGATCTTCCTAGTAATCTCGAACGCACACGTAGTCACAGTCTCGAGCCAACGGACTTGTCGCGAATGCCGTCAGCTCTTTCGCACATCGTACCTTTAAAGCCGCCAGGTGAGTGTGTACCTTATTTCGTCTTGTTTACATTCATAATCTTATCAAGACAATTATTGATGAATGAGCGAATTCATTATGGATGAATGAGCGAATTAGCTTCATTAAATAAAATGTGATTAATGTGACCATATGTGCTATTAATTTAAATCGATCTGATTGCTGAATAACGATGTGCTTCCCTGTTTTTTACAATAGAGTTCGAAGGATATGACGAAGGTCATTACTCCTTATTCTGTTAATCCCCCATTGTTGCCTGCTCTTCGATGTATCCTTAAACGTGCTCGTTTTTCCGTACACATGGTACAATTGCGTTAACAGACAGAAACAGATTTCACGACACTAGTAGCGTGAGCTCACGTGTAGCTAGAATTCTCGTAATCTAATTTCCTTGTTTTTTCCCGCGTGATTTTGCTCGTGCTTGAAAGAAAAAACATTCAATATCGTTGTTATATGCTCCCTCACTTTATACTTATCCGATACACGTATTTATACATCCCGTAGCATGTCTTTTGTACCATATGCATCCCAGCACCACGTTGTGACATGCAGATTGCGATGAAATATTTCGTCAAACGTGATCTCTTCTGTTTCTCCGCAGTGAGTCCAATACCAGAAATATCTCCCGGTGGTCAGGACAGCGTCTCTGCAATGTGTCAGCAGCTTTCTCGAGGGCTTTCTCTGCTCTCGAGCAGCGACGACTTTGGACCAATGCCGTCCCTTGCCGCGAGCTCCATCGCTAAACAACTTTTCACGAGCACCATCACTAACTCTCCTCCAGGTACTTTCCAGGAAAGATCAATGAAAGTTACTAATTTCCCTTTTCGTTCCGATCAATCGCGATGGTCGATGGTGCGTTAAAAGAATCGTAACTTTTCTTTATAACTTCTTCGTAACTTTGTTCGTAATTTTCACATGGCGATCCTTTTCAGTAACGAGTAGCAGCTCATTGGACGAGATGAAACTGCAGAATGGTCCCAGCATCAATAATAACAACAACGATAATAACAAGAGCGACGAGCTCGGCGGTCTGAATCACGTCGGGCCCAGTTGGCAAGAGTCGGCATCCCCCGTTCTCGCGTCAAACCACAGGCTCACGCCTCTTCTTAAGACAAGCAACTTGAGTCCTGTTCTTCCAAGGACGAACGCGCCTACTCCGGTCATTATGAGCACACCGGCACCGTCGACAGCAAGCCCCGCTTTTAGCACAGCTTCTACGTCCTCTTTGGGAAATACGTCTACGTCGGCTGTGAACAGATCGCCGATACCAATAAGTTCGGCGATGACACCGAAAACAAGTTCTCCCAGCGCCAGCGTAGCGTCCGTCTCCTCGGCATTATCCATCTCGACAGACGTCGGCCAAGTTTCATCGGCAACCAGTGTTCCGACAGCTTTAGTAAGTTGAACATTTATGAACAAGTTTCTTAATTCGATGAGCGAAATTCTTTAGAATTTTATTAAAATTAAATTATTCGCAAAACTTCAAGTAAATCAGGCGTGAAAATTCTTCATGTTATTCTTCTTGAAAACTTTTGATCATTTACATTATTTAATTCTTACAGCCGACATACAAGAATCTTTTCTTCCTTTGGTCCATTGTATCGTATCACTAAGGTAAATTACTGGGGACGGTCTTCTCTCACGAGTTTCTCTATTCACCAGGTACAACCACTTTCCACGGCAGCCGGTTTGCCGAAACCAGAACAATGGTTGGGCAGTATAACCGGCTCGGTGCCGTCGCCGGGGTCGCAGCAGGTAGCTGCCAGTCCACGACGAGCACCTCCGCTTCACGCCAGAGCGCACTCGCTCGGGTCGGCCGCGATGCAGGGCCAGGCTTCCAGAGGAGGACCCTCCGATCCTTTCGACGTCGAGTGGGCAGAAATCGCCGCCAGAAATCTGCGGCAATCGACCGCGACAACGAATCCCTTCATTATGCCGAACGCGACCCAGGCGTTCCAAGTGCAGTTGTAGCGTCAGGAGTTCATCAACAGCGTCGCTAAGTATTTTCGCTCGAGCACATAGCGGCAGTCCGCACGTTCGCGTTTCGACGTCGCGCACGATCGAAAATACTACACGTAAGCCGCCGTGTCCTTGGCCCGACCTCGAACACCGTCGAATGCTGTCGCGCGCGTAATGCCGCGGTCAAGCTTCTTCCGGTTGAATAATACGAGTTCTCTCTAAACAGGAGAGGACCCGGAAAAAAAAGAAGCCGGGTTCCGAAGGAGCACGACGACGAGCTTTCTCTTATATCGAGTCGGCATTTAGTAGAACGACAGTAGCGCAGCGAACTTAAAAACCAGCACAAAAGAAAAAATATCAGCGTAAAATACTTTATAGATAGATAAGTATACGCGCACAGCCTTAACGACCTCAGTAAAAAGTAAAAAAATGGTACACGCATAAACGCATTAAAAACCAAGCATATATGTTCGGGTGATGTGACAGGGAGATACACAAAAGTTTCATGCACCGAATAATAACAGTGGCTTACAAGCTCGTCAGCCGCGATTATATGGAGAAGCAATAGACGTCGCGCGAAATACCAACAACGGATTTCCCGACAGTATCGATAATTATACTTCAATGTCTGTCACGCGATATATCGTAATTGGATATCCCAATTATCTTGAGTAGAGTTAGGCTCGAACCGCGAGCGAGATTATCGTCGTTCTGCATGAAAAAACGAAATTGTACGCACCCAAGATTATACTGCACCCTTACCATTTTTTTTTCTTTTTCAAGAGAGAACAAATTACGCGTAGTGTAGTCGCTCTTCGTGATCGTGTGTCCCGCGACCTGGATCGCGAAATGATAATCGTACCTTTCGCAGGAGGGAAACTTGCATTTCCGGCGGGTTCACCCGGCTCAAGCAGACAAGCACGTTAGATAGATGTAGAGTGACATTTCACCATACGTGAACTGTCATTATGCAGGTGGATTAACATCCGCGTGAGGGACTGTGATATTGACGCGAAGTGGCCAGTACTTAAGCGAACAGGGTCGAAGAAGAAGTACTCGTGAGGAACTTGCTCAAGGTCGTCGTGCCGCGCGATAACAGAGAGAATAAGAGCGATCGTGAGCTCGGGTACCGCGGACTCTATCGTCCTGTATAGCCGGCAGAAAACACCCATATAGATTACTTAAATAAAGATTAGTTGTTGAAGGTTATAGCGGAGATATTGTCTTACACTATCGTCGTCTATTATATATATATATACACACATATATATATATATATATATACACACACACACGAGCGTGTTGCATTTATCGTAAAGATGGAGGATCGCGGGATGATGAGAAAATTCTCGCACGAGGACGACGCTCACGTCGAACGATTTCCTTGAGAATCTTAGACGGTGCTTCCGCTCTGTAATAGGAATAGCTGTGCGAAAATCGTTCGTCGAGCCGATCCTCGAAAAAAAGGTGCGAGTTCATATCTGACGATCTGATTGCAATCGAGTGCAAGAAGATTTTCCTCAGACCCGTATAGTAATAATTGATAGCGTCCCGCGAGATATCAGTATTGCGCCTCTAGCAGCTTTCTGTCTTTCAAGTTAACGGCTGCACTTTCGGTTTTTCGAAACGGATCGAGGGTAAAAGTCGAGGAAGGCCAAGGGAGATAATCACAAGAGGGATAATTGAGGCGCGTATGTGTGTAGTTATGCATTGTACATAGATTAATTATTTAAAGTATGACACGACAGTGTATAGGAAAAGGAGGAAGAACGTATGAAAAAGTTGCAAAGAAAGAACGTTAATGGAATCATTCATTAAACCGGCGACTCAGCAATGAGACGAGAAAAATTCTTCCTAGATGAAATTTAATCGATGTGTAATAATATCTTATAAATATGATTTTAGGTGATTATATTGAAGAGGAGACATAGCACACATAATATTTGCGCGATCATATGATAAATCTGCGACTTATAATTTATTTACGAGTTCGATTATAGCTCCTCCTAATTCTTGCGTTATTTTTAAGAATAGCAGATTTTGTCACACATTCGCAGTCATTCTGATAAATATGTACGTATATGTACAATATTATACATGTAGACATTCTTGCAATACTCCACACCGAGATACTTACGCAACATAAGTTTTTGATCGCGCGATTTAATTTCGATGTCGCATTAAAGTCGCGTCTCAAATCGTATCTAATGTAATTTATTTATTTAGCCACGCTGTGAACGTGAAGCGTACCTACATATATATATCGATATTCTTCCACACGGCGAGTATTGTTTAAGAAGTATTATCGCTTCATTTGCCTAATAGATCTTAATCAGAAAATTGATTTAGAAAGAAATTGTTAATTGGCGATTATGAATGCGAAGGATACATCCATCTATGTCTGCGAGAGAAATTTTTGCCGTCACCGTTGCGAGTTGTTCGGCGAAAATGGACTTGGTTTTTTCGAACCACCTTCCGTCCGTCCCGAAAATCAAAAGGTAAAAAAAAAGAGATAACAAAATTAAAAGCGCGATGAAAATTTAAACAAACACTGTAAAGTAGGCAGCAGGGAACGATTGAGTACTTATTGCGGTACTTATGCGAGAGAATATCGGTTAATCAATGTACTTAAATATTAATGCACGTAGAGAGATCGTTGCTGGCGAAATCGCTAATCGACGCACGTCGTCGACGTCTTCGTCTTTATTCGTTCTTTTCGTATTTTTCTCTCGTTTTTTTATTATCTTTGAAATTGAAAAATTTCTTCCGTTACTTCGTTTTTGTGTCCTCGAGAAGGAGAGAGAGAAAAAGAACGAGAAAAAATGTGTACATAACGCAGGATAGTGATTCGTTATAACTTTATCACATTTACGTACTTACTGTTTTCTTTTTCCTTTTACGTTTCTTGGTCGATGTACGCGCTAACTCACATTTGACTAGGATCGAAAAGGAGCGATAGCAGCGTCTTGGCTGATGTTACATCCGCTTTTACAACGCTTTTGCGACGTATCCGGGCGTATATTTGATGCTTCTTTACTTTTGTCGTCATTTTTCATCAAAAAGTAAATCTCGTTTGTTTGTGACTATTCTTTTTATCGCGCCCGGAAAAGCGCGAGGATTAGCCAGGACGCGTTCCGGTGTCTCGTTCGACTGAAACAGACAAGTGCATTTAAAAAATATATATATAACAGTGACACACACATAAAAATATATATAAATACAGACAGTTTTACACACATACAGAACTACTTACCTAGAGAAGGAGACGCCGGGACAAGAGTATAGGCGAATAGATGCACCGCGTGCCAAATTCAAAAGTGCAACCGCGTTGCCTGCCAATTGGTACATCGCGCACGCTTCCGTGGTTGTGTTGTACATAGTGTCGCCGGTCGATTCCTGGATCAACGTACGACTTAATGCGTGTATATTTCGTAAAGGTATCCTTGTTCATTTTACATTGTATCTGCCACTGTAAAAATACGATTTATTATATAATATCTGTTGTGATTATGAAAGTCAGGTCTTTTATTTCTTTCACAAAATATATCTCCGCACTTTTTTCAAGCGAGAAAGGTGCCAATTTCTTTCCATTATCTTCAAGATGCGGTAGTCGCCTTTATATGCGATGGAGAAGAGGCAATTCAACGGTAATATGTGTAATAATAAATATGATAGTCAGATTTCAGCAGCGTGAAAAAATGGATGAAAAATATTAATTCTTTTTCTCCGAGTTAATCATGGAATGGAAATGTCAATATCTATTTCTAATACTTTATTTTATTTAAAAAAAAACACAATTTTTCTTGTTACTGAAATATGAAACTATGAAAGATTATATTATATATATATAATGTAATGCGATATTAATAATATTTATTATCTATAGTAATATTTTTCAGATATAATACTTTCGAATTTTTCAATACCTTAAATTAATAATCTAAATATTTTTATATATATATATAATTTTCAATATATGTCTATTAAAAAAAATGATAAACTATGCACGATTAAATATATACACATATTTTAATCTACTACAAGATGTCACACTGTTATACTATGATAGATATAAAATTATTTTTCTTAATATATTGTATTTAGTAAATATTAATGTTTACTGCAAATTTAAGTAATTCTGTAATCAGTTTATGAACAATTTTCTTAACAGTTTTCAAATGTTTCTTATATATATATATATTATAATATGCGAAGAAAAACAAACTGAAATGAATGACAGATGAGAAAAATCAGTAACTTAACCATGTTATTAAAATAATTTGAAGTACAAAAATGATTAATATGTCATATAAATATAGGACAAAGAGCACTGCATATTTTCGTTTTAGAATATCGTAAAAATTTCGAATTATGTCAAACAATATCTATCATCATGATCAATATAAGCTTAATCAAATATTCGAGCAAGTAAAAGCTATTTCGGAGGTAGTGGATGAACTTAGGATAGCACTAAATGATTTGAAGAAGGCAGTCATCGATGTAAATTGTAAGAGAGTTTTTCTTGAGTCTACAAAAGAAAATAATAAAATTGTCGAATCGACTGTACTGAGAAAAATGAAAAATGAAACGTATTTTAGAAATACTGGAACTTGCACAAAGATCGATGAAATGCATCAGCTCACAGATAATACCCAGGTATTCCTAAAATAGACAATGATCTTTCTACATTTCTACAACATTAATTATGCAACGTTTGCAATGATTACAATAATTTTACATAAATGTAAAATACTTATTATACATATATTTTTATTATATATAAAAAAGTTATAAGCAAACAATGTTATAAGTATATTTATTATATTTATAACATTATTACCCAAAATTTTATAAAAAAATATATAATTTATTTTCTTATACAAACTTACAATGCAATTCAATTTTTTACGTAAATTTCTGTTGTATCTTTTTACGTAAAAATTATTTATGTTGTGTAAATTGTTATACAGATGAAATATATATATATATATATATATAACATTTATTATATCGTTATACAAATGACAAATACATTATAATATTTGTTATTAGGCTTGGAGATGTTGCTCAGTTTCTTCAAATTATATTCATTCTGAGAGAAAAAGCGATCATAAGCCATCAGCGCATCCAATTAGATCCTTAATGTACGATAGCCTAAAATTATTTAAGAATAAAATTATAAAAAATATACAAAGCAGTCTAAAAACTCGACGATCACTCGGGAGCAATGAACATAAATGTGTGACGTCCAATCAACAGCAATTACAAATGTGCATTCTGCAAAAAGAGAAAAAGCAAAAATCTCTCAAAAATACAAGGAATAAAGACATAATTAAAGAACACAACACTGACATCAGCAAAGAATTATATAATTCGACAGATATATCATTAACATTCGACGTTTCTGTACAAACAGAGATCGCTGTATGGCAAGAAAACGAGGAAAATTTATCCAATTTTCCATATCAAAACGTGATAAAAAATACACAAGCAAGGCCGTTATCAATGATAAGCGATGATCGTTTTATGATTCATTCAGATCGGCTCACGGGCGATTTATCGAAAAATCACGCGAAATATATGTTCTTGACGAATAAAAGAAAAAAATATAAAAAATGTTCGTGCAAAGAACAATGTCCTTATGCACTATACAAATTGCCGTGCAACAAATACAAATGCAGTACACCGACAAAAAAAGTAGACAACGAAATAAACGGATTGACATTCGAGTGCATAAGTTTCCAAAGAAAGAATAATTTGCCGAGATTTGTAAATGTTGATACAGCACGAGAGAAAAGTGATAGACGTTTCGCGGATTTTTCGCCTGTTAAATTTAAAGTGAATGAATCTTCAACTTCTTCGCTTTCGGTGGATCTCGAAGTTAAGATTCACAAGGAGTATCCCAATTCGGAGAACATCGACGAATTTTCCAAACGGAGAAGAGCCAGAACGTATATTGTAAATAAAAAAAGTATGAGAAAAAATGACTTAATTAAAAATTTTGAAAAGGAAACTGAACCATTTTTCAATAAAATTCATTTTCCTTATTGAGACACGAAAATAAAAAAAAGAAAAATATTGATGAAATAATAGAGGTAAGTTAAGGTTGATGATTTCATTCGATTCATAAAAAAAATCTGTCAATATTACTTAAGATCACGCGAATTTTTTTTATGTCGAAGGACGACATTTTTCTAAAAGAAAAACGAGATGGAGGAAGATAAATGTACAGATGCACACAAAATATCGTGTTTTAACTATATATTTATATAGAAGACATATCATTTTTTAATGATTATGCAAAAAACGCAAGATAAAAGATAAAAAAAGATTACAAAAAAGATTATTAAAAAAAAATAAAAGATGCATCATCAAGATGGGCGCTTTATCATTGGAAATATTTTGACCTTAAATTAAAAGGTATTATTACCATAAGTTATTTTGCATTCTAGACTAACAAAGATGTAAATGCTCATTCAAAAAAAATTTTTAATCAAATACGTGACTATAGACTGATGACTGGCGAAATAGATCTGTAAAAACATCTTATCTGTGTTATTTGTAATCACATTTCCGCTGAAAAGTATAAAAATCTCATGTGTTATCTTATTAATTATTTTCATTCTGCATTTAAAATACTGAATTTTAACATAAGTAATGCTCATATATCAGGCAAACTTTATAACTGCCTAAAAACTCGAAAATATTACTGCTGCAATTTTCATAATCGTAATATTATTTCATCGTGTTTTATCATTTTCAGCGTTTAGCTTTGATAATCAATGATTAAAAATAGAAATAGGATAATATTTTAATCAAATGTGTGCACCACATTAGTTAAAATATAATTTATTATAGTTATAACATATTAATTTTGAGAAGATATGTATATGTAAACATACGTAAAGCGTACATTTGCAAAAATGCATTTATACAGATGTTGTTCAATATGTCTCGTAATATTACAAATTCGAAAAAATACATTAACACATTATTCATTCCTGACGCATAGATTAATTTATATAATTTAACAAAAACAATTTTCTTTATCCTATCTATGTAATTTAAACATGATGTATAGATGACTACATTGCAAATATATTTGACAAGATTTATATTTATAATAATATTGTTTTATAAAGTTTTATAATAATATTGAAAAATTATATATGTACATGGCACATTTCATTTATATAGTTAGTCTCGTAGAAGTAAATAGTAAAATTTTAACATAATTTAAGGTTTCGGAAAAAATATTCTGCGTAAACTGTACGCAAAATATCAACATATATTAAATATAATAATGAACGATTCTTTTAAATATTATTTATCACGAATTAATGTCGCAATGTTCCTAAATTCAATCTCAGATATTTGAAAAAAAAAATTAATATATTTTTACGCACTCATAATATTATTTAAATAACAATATAAAAAAATTATTTTTTATTATAAAAGAAATGCAATGTTAGAAATTAATCGCGCGTATAGAACAATAGAAATAATAATTGATTTCAAATATCCAGATTGATAATAAATTTCTTAATGTAAAAAGTTATCTCATATAATATAATATAATATATGTACACGTTGGAATACATAAATATATAGGATGATTTATACACATTGTATGATTTTACAGCTATTGCTGTACAATTTTCCATGTCCATTAGAAATATACGTCATATTTTGCACGATATTATAGAACTTAGAAATCAAGAGAAAATCTCAATTATATAAATTATTTTTCTGCGAGAGCTATAAAAAGTACAAATTGATGATCGTTTGAGTTTTGCAAAAAATTTTTCTTCGCGATGATATTTATTGTTAAAAATAAACTCGTATAGAAAGTAATGGAAGAACAATGTGATTGATATGACATATCTTACATTTATATCGTTATTATAGTAAAGCCAAGAGAAATAATTTTATCATTAATCAATCGCCGGAACCGTGACATATAAAACTCTAAATAAATCTTACTAAATTAAGAGCTAAATTTTCTACATAAATATATGCGAAAGAACGTACTGAAAAAGACCACGCCCATGAAAATTGTTAACACAATGCAAGTCATTCCTACATGTAATCTTCCTGCATCAATCTACGGGTATCATCTTGCGAATTCGTCAATTGCAAATTCACCAACTGATTCAGATTACATTTCGGATGCTAATCATTCCACATCATTCTTATTACTCACGCTTAAAACTTTGTATTTGTTCTTCGAGACATTCCGTCGTAGATTCTACAAAAGTTTTGTTCATAACTTCGTACACTTGTTCCATAAGTTTTGGAAGATCGTTTTTAGTCAAACCCGCGGTAGGAATAGGCGGTAAGACTGTAATATAACTAGTACCTAAAATAGAAAGTCTTTCTTTTAGAAGCATGCATAAAAAATATAATTTATAATTATATATAAGAAAACATTTCTTAAAAAATATATAGAGATATTCATTTGATATATTTATTAATTATACATTTATAAAAATAATTTTTGGTTTATACCTGAATAAAATCTTTTTAATTTGCCATCTAAAAAATAGTACTTTGACACAACAACAGGTTGAATCGGCATTTGGGATTCAATTGCGACATGAAAAGCACCTTTCTTAAAAGGAAGCAACGAATTACCCGAATGTCGATGTCCTTCGGGAAATAGAAGAAGTCTCCGCTAAAAAATTCAATCGAAAATATCAATACGCTTTCGTAAAGTATAATTAAAATAATATAATTACCTATATATTAATTTATATTATATGTAAACATGTATACTCATATTACATAATTTAAATAATCTATTCTTTAGTGTTTTATTTTAGATTGTTATTCATTAACACACAAAGAATAATTACAAAAATATCACCTTTGCTAAACGAATAGATTCCGCTGTATCGTTAATAATTCGTTGGGCTTCTTCGACGTTTTTTCTGTCAATGAATACTGTTCCCCAAAGCCAACTCGCGAGACCGAATGGTCCAAGATACAAAATCTCTTTTTTAGAAATAACTGTGCAATTCTCCATCGCTAACCATAATTCACCTAAAACTATATTGACCAATTTTATTATGCATATATCTATCATTCTTGATAAAAAATATACAAGCTTTTATTCGCACAACACATACATTATTTTCTCAAGTTTGTCTTCTTAACAATTTTTCTTCTTAATCTAATGAGACAAATTTAGAATAATTGTAATAAGTAATTATAATTACCACAAAGATCTAGTGAACTCTGATGATTAATGAGCACGACACAACCTGAATCTTTGAGGATGTTCTCTTTACCGCGAAAACGGAATTTGATTCCGATTATTTTCGCTATTGTTACTACACATCTGGCTGGCATTCTGAAAGATTTCATATTTATATTCTATTTTTCAAGTTTAAAGGTTTGATTTTATTCACATGTATAGGAACATACAGTGCATTTTTCCAGCTACGAATTCGGAACAGCATGAACGGTATCCATAATCCTGCTGCTAGCGCGCTCCCTACTATGAAGAAGATGAATTTCGCTCGATATCTCACTTTCTCGCTCAAGGCACAAACCATCACAAAGAGAAATATCAGGGCGATGCCGCTCGTCGTATAAACGCTGTACAGTACTCTGATATGGTGCAAAATTAATTATATCAATCGTGCGTCAAATTCGTGTGACATTTAAAAATCAAAATTCGCAAAGAGATAAAGTTATAAAAGACATTAAAAAGTTTAAGTTCAATAAAATAAAAGATATATTAATTTGTTCTTTATTATATTCATAACTATAGAAAAATGATATGTTTTATTTTTAAAAAATGTGCCTCAAAAGAACTACGTTCGTATTTTTTTTTTAGGTTTATACGCATGTATAAGAACTCAAGTGCATCATTTTGTTCTTTATTATTCATATATAATTTGTTCTTCATTTTTTATAACTGTAGAAAAATGATGTGTTTTATTTTAAAAAGTTTACCTCAAAAGAACCACATTCGTTTCTTTCAGGTCTATACTTATATAAGAACGCATGTGCATCGTTTTGTTCTTTATTATTCATAATTTGTTGTTTATTATTCATAATTTATTCTTTATTATTCATAATTTATTCTTTATTATTCATAACTATTAAAAAATGATGTTTTATTTTTAAAAAGTTTGCCTCAAAAGAACCACGTTCGTTTTTTTCAGGTCTATACATGTATATAAGAACTCATGTGCATCGTTGCACTTATGCTATAAATTTACTAGTGGTCTCTTTGTCTCTCTGTCTCTCTTTCTCTCGGTCTCCCTCTAACTCTTTCTTTCTCCCTCCCTTTGTCTTTCTCACTCTCTTTATGGTTAATTAAAAGTTTATAAAAAGGCAAGTGCTTCAGCTAGTTAAAAGACATTTTTAGTAATTGTAATGTTAAAGTAAGATGATATATATAAAATCTTTTGTTGTTTCCTTCTTTATTCGAATCTTCTTTTCTTTTTCTTTCGTGATCCGTCTACGAGTTAAAGTTGCAGGATTACTGTTATTGTATGTAGCTACTATTTTTTTCAATTTGTCCGCTTCAACAATTGAAATTGTTCACAAATAACTGTTTTATGTGTATCATAAAGACTATCAGAATTGATTAACTTAATAAACTTCTTTTTATATATACATAATATTATTACACAAAAATTATTGAATTTCAAAAATATAACAATTTTATGTGTGGCATACTCTTATAAAATAACTTCTGATAATCAATAAAAATAGATACAGAAGATATAAGTATATTAGTATAATATTTAACATTTGAGAATGGAAGGTGAAAACATATTCTTCCAATTTTCATTACTTCTATTCTCTTATCTAATTTCTTTTCTGTTTAATTAAATATATTTTAAAATTTGCAGTCAAATATTATTCGATATATATTTTCTCGAAAATTAATTATTAAGATATATAAATCATTCATTTTTTTTATGCAAGAAGAGGACATACATTGTCCCGAAAAAGTATAATTTCAAAATTTAAGATATAAAACATTGTTCCAAAAAGTCAATGCTGAAATTGTAGTCATGAGACATTGTTTCGAAAAATCATTATACCGAAATTTAAACAATAAGACATGAAACATTGTCCCGAAAAATCACAGTACCAAAATTTAAGAAGTAAGCCAAAATACCGAAATATTTTCATGTAGAGACAAAAAGCTGTTCATACATCGGTATGTACTTCAAAAAGATTATTTTCGTATAACATAAAGTTAGTTTTTATTTATAATAAATACGGAATAAATACTATTATTTTGATATTATTATTTGATATTTTAGATTTTGAATTTATGTATAATAATATATATATATATATATATATATATATATTATAATTATACATATATTATATAATATGTGTAATTAAAACAATTAAATTACGTTTAATTTTAATTGATAAATAGCATCTAAAATAATTGAAGAACTTTTTCACACCTTTATCTCGTGTTACAAATCCCTTTTTATTATATCGAGCATCCTTTTTATTATCGAATGACGCAAATTAGATGGGATTTACGATGATCGTGCTTGCCATATCTTTTAAAATGCATGTGCAGTTGTGCACGATATAAAATGCGTGAGAAACAAATGCATATATATAAATATGTCTTTTCACACGTGCATTTATTTGCATCAGACGACCGACACTAATTATATGATATTTTAAAATTGTAATATTTTTCAATATTTATGAAACAAAGTAATTTTTTTACGCGCGTCGATTAATATATACGACAATATAACATGATTTAAAACTAAAAAAAACATGATTATTCTGCCGATAATCATCGGCAGAATAATCATGTTTTTTTTTTTTTTGGTTTTTTAGTTTTAGTAAAAAAAGTTTAGTTTTTTTTTTTAGTTTTTTAGTGTTAGTAAAAAAAAGTTTAGTTTTTCAATTTTTTTTAGTTTTAAATCATGTTATATCATTGTATATATATTAATCGACGCGCGTAAAGAAATTACTTTGTTTCATAAATATTGAAAAATATTACAATTTTAAAATATCATATAATTAGTGTCGGTCGTCTGACGCAAATAAATGCACGTGTGAAAAAACATATTTATATATATGCATTTGTTTCTCACGCATTTTATATCGTGCACAATTGCACATGCATTTTAAAAGATGTGGCAAGCACGATCATCGTAAATCCCATCTAATTTGCGTCAGTTGATAATAAAAAGGATGCTCGATATAATAAAAAGGGATTTGTAACACGAGATAAAGGTGTGAAAAAGTTCTTCAATTATTTTAGGTGCTATTTATCAATTAAAATTAAACGTAATTTAATTGTTTTAATTACACATATTATATAATATATGTATAATTATAATATATACATATATTTATATATATATATATATATATATATATATATATATATTTATAATTTTTATTTTTTTTATTTAAATTTATATATTTTTTATTTTATTATAAATAAAAATTAACTTTGTATTATTCTATGAAAATTATTCTTTCAAAGTACGTACTGATATAAAAATAAATTGTTGTTCCTAAATAAAAATTCGGTATATTGTCTCATTTCTTAAATTTCGACATTATGACTTTTCGAAACAATGTCTCATATCTTAAAATTCGGTACATTTTTTCGGGATTATGCATGTTCTCCATATTTTTGTGTATACATATAGCAAACATAAAACATTGAAATAACATTGAAATAACATTGAAATAAACATTAAAATATGAAAACTTAGACACAAAGATAAATTTCGAAGAAAACATCGAAGAAAAAGAATTTTTTGGAAGTTACATAATCGATTGTATTATTATATTAATGACACAATTAATCACATAATGCAATCATTAATATAACAAAATTCATTGTCAATGTTTCTAGATAGGATTGAAGTTCAATTTTTTTATCACCATTTTTTACCATTGTTCCTTATAATTTCGAATGAGACTATAAATTATCAAACAGACGTATATCGCATAAATGAACTTCGCACTTTCTTGTATTTTTGCATTATCAAAAAAAACAGATGTCATACGAATGTACATATTTATGTAATAGATACATGTTTTTACGACAAATAAAAAATTATTTTCATCTATTTACTTATAAATTAATAATATTATTTGTAATTAAATTTTATTAAACCTCGTTATATTAATCTCAAAAGACATTTGTAAGTTTTATTTTCTAACGACATACTTATTTATATTATTTGTAAAAATAAAATTGTAACCTTCTTCAATATGAGTAGCTATTCTGGAAATCATATTATTACAATGTGAAAAAACAATAAAAAATGATTATCTTATAACTTCTACAAAACATGAATCCGATAGTATTATTAACTGACTCTTTGTTCCAAAATAAGCAAATATATAATACAAAGATATGCAAGAAAATGAAACTATTCTCCAATAAGCAATAATATTGTGTTTCCTCAGTCTTTACGATAACGTCAATCATTCATTAGTAAATTAATTTTTCTGACATACATTGTTGTATTTATAATCACGCAGGGTCGAGTTCACATTGCAATGCAAAGTAATCGATTCTTTTTATGTGAGAATCATTTCAATTATCACATATTTCCGTCCCCCACATCCAGCTTTACAATTGCACTATTTTATTCTGAGGAATATGCTGTGTGTGCTATTCTTCACGTGATTAAAATTCTACTCTATCAGATAAATATTGAAAATTATCGTTAGAGTTATTTAGAGAATTTTTTTAAATTTGAGTATTTTGACATTTACACATTTTAAATTTATTCGAAAAATAGTTAAATTATTTTTTAATAACTTTTTATAATCGAAAACATATCTTTTGATTACATAGATTTCAATTATAATCCAAGAATTTAAGAAAGATCGATTATTGTGCAATAAATTGGTATTAAAAATTAATATATTAAATAAAATGTATTAATACATTAATACATTTAATTTGAAATAGAAAATGAAACAGATATAATTTCGTAATTAATATATAAGTTAATATATAAATTAATTATAAATCAAATGTTTCTATTTTAATATTAAAATTTTATTATTAATATTTATAAGATTAAAACACTCTTTTTCACACTATAAAGAAAATAATTAAAATTTTTAAGTTATATATATTTTTTGTATATTCCATTTTTCACCTAAATTTTGATTGTTAATTAATTGATTTAATTAGTAGATTAATCAATTCTATGTCTATGTGATAGATTTCAAATTAAATTTGAATTTGAAATATAATCTTAAAATGAGAGAAATTACAAAATATTGATATACATGCAATGTAAAACACTATTTGTATCTGTTTATAAGACACAAATTTCACACTGTGTATTACGACATGAATACAACAAATCTTTTAAATTAAGATAAAGAAAGATAATGAGAGATAGATTTATTATTTCTTCAAACATTATATTTATCGAAATAATATACTGCAGCTCAATTTTCAGTTTGTAATGTGAAGCAAATAAATAATCATCACAGATATTATGCGGATCATCCGATCACTAAAGGTCAAAATTCTTCTTGACTGTTTTGACTACTTAAGTCCTTTACTCTTTCAGGTTGACGAACGAGTCAATTCGTTCGTAAAAGGTTAAACGATTTCATTCAGTAAGTTTCAATTTGATTCGAATTGTCAAGATAATATCCTGAGATACCTCAATATTTTTCTAATTCATAGTTTGTGTTCTTTATGTTAAGCCCATAATGAACATAAAAAATAATGTATTCTATTCGATTTATTATTTAACATAATAAACGCAAAAATGAATTAAATAAAGTACTTAAGATAATATTTTTGATAACAATTTGTTATTTTGTGAAAGATAAAATTGATTTGATGAATTGATATGTAGACGCGCAAAAAACATACGCATAAAGTATAAAAAATGATGCGTAAAAGTGTAAAGTACAACATATATTACATGTGAACAGAAATGAGTAATAGTCCGATCGAAATTCAAGGAACATAGTCCGATCGAAATTCTATACATAATTGAAATATGTACTTACATTGGAGATAACACATGGATAATATACTTCAGTATCGATAACACAACGTTACATATACAAATATTCAATCTATTAAATTGATAAAAATGTTCCTGTTCCGAATATATAATCTTCATTCCATTGCTATTAATAAGTACTATTAATAAAGATAAATATGAATAACAAGTTGTGTAATCTAATAAAAATATATACACTAAAGTACTTTTAACTTCATGAAAGTAATAAATCTTACATGTTTTTCTGCAATGCACAGCTTACAGAAGTTAGGCCTATTTTCCATTATGATAATTAATGATAAGACTTTATGTTAACAAATAATAACGTATAATACATGTACTTCTAAGTAAATTATTTTAGAAACGTATTATGTATATTCACTATAAATAGTAATGAATTAATTAAAAATGCGTTAAATACACGTTATAAAATAATATAATTTTATGATATAGTCAATAGTAAATAATAGAAAATCAATAAAATAAATAGAAAATTACAATAGATTAGAAATATATATATATATATATATATATATATCTCATTATGTATACGAAAATATATACTACTAAAATATGTTATTATAAATTTGACATAATTCAAAATTTTGTGAATTGTCCACCCTTATCGATCTGTCAATAATTTGTGAATAAATTAAAATTAATTTTATCTATCTAATTATTTTAATTGTTATTAAAAAACAGATCATTATATTTGCTTGTCATTAATATACCTATATATATATATATATATATATATATATATATATATATATATATATATACATATAATTCAAATACTGTAAATTTTAAATATAATAATAAGTGACTAATTTTTGATAAATTTATATCTAATTTAGTTATTAATAAGTCATTTATATAAATATGTTAGTAATTCAATGTTAAATGAATTTTCTTAATCAAAATTTTATTTTTTTTACAAAATAATTAATTAAATAAAACTTTAAAAAATTTCGCAACACATAAGTTACAAATTATGCTTCTATTTATACAAACAAAAATATTCTATATTTCTGATTTTAAAAAATTCTATTTTTAAAAGAGTTTCCTCAAATATATTTTATTTTATATATTTATACCGTTTATTCATGAAATTGCACTTTATTCATGTTTATCTATGCTTATTATTACCCTATCATGTAAATAAATGTAAATATTTCCTATAAAAAACTTATTACGCATGTTTCCTTAAATGAAAATTGAAATGTGTCCATGAAGAGAAATCGCTGACATTTACCTTAATCACTATTGTTTACCTGGTTTATTATTTATTCTTTCGTTTCGTATATGGTTCGTGTGCTACACATGATTCATGTAGTTTATGCGTGTCCTTATTCTCAATTTTTCATTCGATAAACGTCAATAACGATCGCGTTAATAATAACCGCAGCGCGGTTACTATACACTATATTTTATTTTTTAATTTCCTCTGCATTCGATGTATTCCGGGACAAAATTAACCGAATAAAAAGAACAATATATAATATTGTCACGTTGATTACTTACGTTTTCAACATGATGTTATGCAGATAAGTACGTAGCGTTCACCGCGATTGATCAAAAACAACTGTCAAATGCCAACAACCGTCGCGATCGTCTCGCCGTAGTGACCTACAACGCTATAGTCAGATGGCACGTGGTCCATCGAACGATACATCGAACGATGAGTCGACACATCTCGTCAATCTTCGGCACTTCCCGCCTTTTCAAAAACACCATCAATGGTTGTGTGCATATATATACTTGATATTCTCGAATCAATAATCTACAAATAAAAAAAAACAAAGATGAGATAAAAAAGAGAAATAAGATATGTCCTATATAAGGACAGGGTTATTCTTACAAAAAACTCTAAGTAAGAAAAAACTCATCTATAGGAAAATGAAAAAAATATATATAATTCTAATTAAATAAATAATAATTCTATAATACAATGTCGATTTTTGCAGCTTAAACAATTTCAAATAAATATATATTAATATAAATAATAATCACTCTAGTATATAAAATATATATATATATATATCATGAATGCAAAAATATATATACATATATATATATTATATATTATGAATTTTTTTTGTTCAATAATTTATATATATATATATATATATATATATATTTTATTTAAATTTTTGTTTTGCTATATATATTTGCGTGTTTATGTCAATATATATCCGATTAAAACCATCTATAATTATTCATAAAATTAATATACACCATACCGCATATATATGTAATATGTCTATACACATTTTCACGCATACATTTATAAATCCACACACATAAGTAAATTTGTCAGCATCACTGCTGCTGTATTCGTGTGCTTCTCTAAATATTTCCTACTACTACACTATTATTTCAAATAGATCTCTACAATGGCATCTCCTGAGTCAAAATCACCTGAACAATCCGAAAAAAATCGAAAATACGATAGACAATTGAGGTACTACTCGTTATAATAAATTTTGAGGTTATACATGACAAAACTTTTATGTCCTGTCTTTGCTCCCATTTTCTGATTAAATCGATAATTTTGCCACTTTTATAATTTTAGTTATATTTTTCTCAAATTATACTTGTTTTTTCTTTTCCTTCCATATAAGAAATATTTTTCATCGTACCATTTTTGTCATTGACAGATTATGGGGTGATCATGGCCAAGCAAGTTTAGAAGCTGCTCATGTCTGTCTTATAAATGCTACTGGGCTTGGGACAGAGATATTAAAATCGCTAGTGCTTCCAGGTATAGGAGCATTTACTATAGTAGATGGCAAGAAGATTACTCTTGAGGATATCGAACCTAAGTATGTACATAATATTGTAACTGTTAGACCAACATTATACTCTCGAGATTTATTTTAATGTAATACATTAAATGGATTTGAATTAGTTTTTTTCTAGAAGCAGACAGTGTTGGAAAATCTAGAGCTCAAGTAGCCACTGAAATGCTTTTGGAATTAAATCCAGATGTAACAGGTGATTATATTGACGAAGAACCCGAACAAATTTTATCCAACAGTCCAGATTTTTTCAATAGCTTTACTGTGGTTGTGGCTACTGCACTAACTGAAAAGTAAGAATTCTGATACTAAAATATTATAAAAAATGTTAATTATACAGACATAATTTATAACAAAATATTGAGCTAAAATTAATTACATATATTTTTTACATATCATTTCTAATATAAATATGTTTTCAAAAGTACACATTATTTTTCAGAACATTGGTCCTTCTGTCAAAAAGACTTTGGGAATTGGATATTCCTTTAATAGTATGCAGAAGTATAGGCTTTATTGCATATATGCGCATTCAAGTAAAGGAACATAGTGTTATAGAAACCCATCCAGACAACGAAACGCCAGATTTACGTCTAGATAGACCATTTGATAGCCTGAAGAAACATTTAGATTCTATAAATCTAGATGAAATGAGCTTTAAAGACCATTGTCATGTACCATATCTAATTATTCTATATAAATACTTAGAAAAATGGTTTTTGGAGCATCGTACTTTACCGAAACTTTACAAAGACAAGCAACAACTCAAAGATATGATCAAAAATGGTATAAGACGCGATGAACATGATTCGTCTAATAGCGAGGAAAATTTCGAGGAAGCAATGAAAGCTGTAAATACATGTATAAGAGCGAGTGATATTCCCGATAATATTAGAAATATTTTAAACGATGATCGTTGCATTAATTTAACAGCAAAGGTATTAATGACACGTTTTTATCATTTATTATTCTATAATTTACTTTAAGAAATTTGATTTAGAAAAATATGTTCAAACTGATTGGTTTATTTTAGAGCAGTTCTTTTTGGATTATCGCGAAAGCGGTGCGTGATTTCGTTGATAATGAAGGAAAAGGATTATTACCACTTAAGGGTACTCTACCTGACATGACTGCAGATACTGAAAAATATATTACGCTCCAACAAATGTATGTTACTGATATTTAAATAACAGTTATAGTGAGAAAATATACATGAAAAAGTAGTTCAGTCCTTATTGTAAATAAAAATTTTAATTTTAGTAAAATTTACTACAAAGGTAACAAATATATTTAAATAGTTATTAATAATTATCAGATTAATACAGTTTACAATATATTAATAATTTTAAAGAATGTGTTATTAATTTTATTATCATACATTGACTTTCAAGATTGGACTATTTTTTCGTGTTTTATTTTTTAATATCTATAATCATAGACAAACATCGAATTTATATATTTACAGTTATCATAAGCAAGCATCAGCAGATGTAGAAGCTGTGTGGCGACGTACTTTGCAATTGCTACGTCAATTGGGTAGACCATCAGATTCAATTTTAGAGAAAGATGTTAAGTTATTTTGCAAACATGCCAGTAATATTCATGTAGAGAAAGGAAGCTGTATTGCAGATGAATACGATTCTAAGATTTTTGATACAAATATCATAGGTGATTACTTTTCTCTCAAAATATGCAAAATTATAATATTTATAATAAATTATAATTATTAATAATTTACAATTATACAACGAAAATTAAATAATTATATTATAAATATATTATAAAAAAGAAAATGATATACATAATTATAATAGCTCTCAGCCAAATTGTTCTTAATATCTGATTTTACATTTTTGCAGTTCAAAATTTGGAAACCCCAGAAAGCATGATGATTTACTATGTTATGCTTCGAGGAGTGGATAAATTTCAAGCAGAATACAATTCATATCCCGGCGAATTCGATGATCAAGTGGAACCCGATATTGTAAAACTTAAGGTATCATCTTTTAATAATATAATTTTTTGATATAAGTATCGAAATCGAAGTATCATAATCAATATATTCTACAATTGAGTTATATTATTACAGACATGCCTGACAAAACTATTGAGCGAATGGGGGTGCGGACCACTAGCTAAAGATGATTATGTACACGAGTTTTGTCGATTTGGTGGCGCAGAATTGCACTCCGTTTCGGCGTTTCTAGGTGGTCTTGCAGCGCAAGAAACCATCAAACTTATTACAAATCAATATAAACCTGTTCACAATACCTTCATCTATGATGCTGTTACATCAAACTCTGAAACATTCTTTTTTTAAAACTGTTGTATGCAAAAAATCTACATTAATGTAATAATACAATTTTACAGCTTATATTAGTTTCATGAGTTCTTTGATTTAGAATAACAAAATGACTTTTGCAAATATTAAAGCTATTTATACACTATTCTATTTTCTGCTCTATATTATCGTCCATAGATCTTAAAAAAATTTGGAAAAGCAAAAAAAGTAATAAATTTAAAAATTTATTGTAATTTACAGTTAAACATTTTGTATACATCTTTATAGTGTATTTTGGCGCTTTTTTTATAAAATTTCTGATATAGAATAAAATAATGCCAAACTTGATCTTTCTTCCTTATACACATATAACACATTAAAATAAAGATATATTATTTAATTCCCCAACATTTCTAATAATTTGACAGACATGAGTTTTGATAAATTTTATAAATAAATAATAATGAATAAATCAATGTAACGTAGTTAAAATTTTACCGACTAACTATATAAATAAAAATAAATTTTTTAAAATCGAAATTTTGTATCACGAATTTATAAATGATTAAATAGGATTTTTTTTAAAGTATTAGAAAAAATTTGTTTTTATAAATATCGATACATATATCATTATAGCAATCCTTGGGGCTTTTGAATGATACTGTTGAGATTTCGCACAAATAATTCAATATGTAATTAATTGCAATTATTATTTTCTTATAATCTGTTTTTATAAATTACGGTAATCTTTTCTTTTATAACACACAATATTATTTGATATTTTATAATTATTAAATTACTTTAGTTATACCCAGAGATTGTAACATTTTTATATATATTCATGTATTTTATATTAATATTTGTATTGTTTCATAAAAAAACATTTGGAAATGTGTATAATAAATTCTTTATTATACAAACGATTGTTTATCTATTTATTCTTATATATCCATTCTGCACTGTTCAAAATATTAAAATACATCAAAATAAAGTATAGAACAAATCCAGCTAAAAACAAATTAATTATATTAATTGAAAATTCAATTCAAATTATTCAAATTCAATATCTTAATCGAGTATTTATCGTAAAACGAGATTTGCAACTGGGATAAATAAAGTAATATTTTAATTTATTCAAAGAATATTTGGTGATGCAAATTATATATAAAATAATAATGATATAAAATAAAATACCTTTATTGTAATAAATTCCGCAAAGCTCGAACTGGATTCTGCATTCAATATATTTGTAGTTCACAATTGTCGTTTATTACTATTTTTCACTTCAATTTAACACTAATTATATGCACGCACAAAATATATTTAACATTGTAAATATCTCTGCCCCCCCCCCTTCCCCCTCTTACCCTCCTCCCTCTTTTTCACTTTCTCGCAATCTTATATTCTTTTCTACACATTTAAATTTCGCGAAGATACACTATACGCGTACATATATGTATAAACAGACGATATATTCTTCGGAAAGAAATGTAATATAGCAATAAGATTGTCATACATACATTTATAAATCAATCAAATATAACACCGGATGTCTCGTCGTTGCACGCAAGCCATAGGAGCGAATGCTTACGAGTCGTAATATTGCTTTGATCAAAATATTCTACGCGTTGTTTATAATTGCACTTTGCATGCTTCAATACGTTTAATGTTATCGCACAACACTATTTTAATTAAAGAGTTTTTGATACAATATACCTAATTATCATGGCGAGATAGAGAGAGCACGTCTTGATGCGCACAACTTTGAACCGACTTTAACCTCCAGGCGGCGCTGGTATGCGGCGCGTCGCGTCACGTGTCACGTGACAGAGTGATAGTGGGGGAGGGGAGTGAGAAACCAGGAGGTCGATTGTGTATCTTGGGTGAGTTTGCTCACGAGATGAAAATTACAAAAGTGAAAAGATTTACTAGATATCGACAAATGAAACCGTGGGTACTCTAGTAAATTTCCTCACTTTTGTAATTTTCACCTCGTGAGCAACTCACCCAAAATACACAATCGACCTCCAGATACGTGCTCCGATCCCCTTCCACCGTCTCCCGCAGCGCAGCCAACAATATTTCTCTCTGTCTCTCTCTCTCTCTCTCTCTCTTTCTCTATTTCTTTCTCTATCTCTTTCTCAAAATGTTTTCAAAAAATTGTTTTCAAAATGTGTCACAATGTGTCATCTGTATGTGTATGCGAAAATATTTTAATAACAAATTTTATAATAATATCTGAGCTTTGCACACATGTAAAATAATGTATGCGTATAATCAACATTTGGTATTTTTGTCGAAAATAACAATAGGATGCGCAGTTGCTTCATAGGATTAATAATATGAATCGAATCTTTTCTCTTTTTAGTATGACGTACCTTCAGCAAAACGTTCTGCATTCAAGAATTGTGATTATTTCCTCGCGTATCCGCCTCGTAAATTTGCACTTGCAATAACTCACATCGCGTTGAACTGTTTGAAGTTCTCTGCAAAATAGAATTTGATCGGCCATCAGGAACGAAAATTTCTGTGTTTCGATTGGTCGATCAAATATTATTATACCAATCGGAACAAAAAGCGCAAAAATTTCTTTGTTGTGATTGGTCAATATCCACAACCATTATAAATTCGCCACTGTTGACACCATAAAAATTCTACCACATCTAGGAACATCGGGATGGTCTCGATTATATCAGATCATGTTGGTATCTGCACGGTCTTGTGATCGAACAGCTGAGGAAAGTGAAGAAGAGGAAGGTCAGAAGTTTGACACCTCGAACGAGATAATTTCTGTATTAATTAACACAAGTCTTGACAACAACCATGGTGGATCGTGCGAATATCAAGCAGATTATACCGGCATTGCCGGATGAAAAAATTGGTAATTAAATTCCGCATGCATAATAGAGATTCGTCTATTTGACAGGGTGCCCCTCCCAGCAAGTTTCTGTTTTTATTGTTCAACAATTATATTGTCGTTATTATAATAAAGAGATGTGCTAAGTTATGTTTAAAAAAATGTTTTATTGTCGTTTTTTTGTATAATATTTATACGCATTGATTTATGCGATTTTACAGATATGCTGGCAGCTACAAGTGTGCTCCAGCAGCAAGCTGCTGATATTAGGAATCAACGAATTAATTGGCAGTCTTATTACCAGTAAGTATTTCTAAATTATTCTTAAAAGACAGAAAAACTTAAACTGATTAATAACATAAATTTAGTAACGTACAAAAATATTTGTATGGAAGTGTTTATATGAGTAGTATTTTAAAAATATTTATAATGTTTTTAGATCACAAATGATATCGAAAGAAGACTATGATTTTATAGCAGCCTTTGATACAAGTGATGCAAAAGCAAGAGAAAATAAGCTGAAGGAAAATCCGCATCAAGCAGCTAAAACTTTTCTTAATTTGCTTGGTCATGTTTCGAAGGATCAAACAATTCAATATATTCTTACTATGATTGATGACATGTTACAGGTATAATGCTACACACATTTATTCTACTTATAAGACAAACGAAATTTTTTTCATTAGTATTTTTACTCCAGTCAAAGTTTCATTCTTTATTAATTAAAATTTTAATGTAACGTTATTAATAGGAGGATCGCAGTCGTGTGGAAATCTTTCGTGAGCACTCTACACGAAAACGAGAATCGGTTTGGGGACCATTTCTTAATTTGTTGAATAGACAAGATGGCTTTATAATGAATATGACATCACGCATTATAGCCAAGTTAGCTTGCTGGAGCCATGATCTTATGGAAAAAACTGATCTTCAATTTTATTTAACATGGCTCAAGGATCAACTAAAACTTAGCGTAAGTTTATTTTAATAAATTATTATATCACAGGTTGTGTAAGTCAGAAGACTCAGTCCAACAAGGTTCAAATTATATCAGTTATGTTACTTCTTTGTTTTTGTTTCATTATATTATAGTAGTTTAATATAATTACAAATTATTAATTTATTAATTATATTATATAGCAGTATGAAAATGCTAAGTTTTAAGAAAACACAGGCATTTAAAATTATATTAATACTGACTATTCAAATTGCACAACTGCTGAGATGTATCTTTTTTTCCATGTGAGCATGTAAATGAATTTTACACAATTATATAATTTTTTGTATAATAATTTTTATTGGAACACTAAAAAAAATATGCTTATCTTATTTGAATGGTTTGTGCTTGAAAGCTATTGCAATGTTAGTTGCTTTATATGTATCTATGTAGTTAGTTTTATATGGTTATTTTAATAGTATTGGTTTGTCTTTTGGATGGTAATAATTTATTTTAATGTGCGTGTTGCATGCAATCTACCTTTAGTAATCCAACTAATTTATCGTGTACTTGGTGGGTTCTACAAAAATAATCATGTGTCTTGTATTTATATAACAAAAAGAATGACATTCTTATTAAAATTTCCATACCTTTTATTTATTACATTAATATTAATATAATAATATTTCATATATAATTTATTTAATATACATTATTATGTTATTGATTTATAAATAACACATAACTAATCTAATGAATAATATATAATTATTGTAATTTGCAAATTATAGAATTTATGTGATAAATCTGTGAAAAAAATTTACAAAAGCCTTTTAAATATAAAGACATAACTAACCGAATAAAATTAGTGTGTGATTGATCAATATATAGATTTATCGCTTCGCGCAAAACACGAGAGCTTAAAACACGAGAACTTTCTTTGAGAATTGTAGTAGAATTTGTATAGATAAAAAATGAGATGGGGTTTTAGTTTGATGCCATTCAGGACAAAGGCTTGCATGCGGGACTAGAACAAGACATTGCTGTGGAACAGGCCAAGGAGGCCAATGAGCTGCACGAAATGCTCAACCCGGTTGGTTTTGTAATGACTTAATCACAGTAATATTACTTATTATTCTAAACAAATTATTAAAATCCTTAAACCATATACTGCCAATAAACAAACTACTGATGATTTATAAAGATGTTTAATATTATATATAAATGTATTATGAACTCTTAAAGATCTTTAGGACTGAATTTATTAATGAACTTTTAACACGAATACGCATGAATTATGCTTTATAAGAGCCTGTTTTGTGGATGTCATATTTATAAATTTCTTGAATTTTAGATGCTGTTAGATAATATCTTACCTAGATGCTACTAATAGATGCTAAATCTTTCAATAAAATCTAAATATATATCTTATATATTATATATATATATATATATATATATATATATATATATATATATATATATATAAGATATATATCAAATTATTATCATATTTTTGCATGTAGCAAAATATCGATTAAATTTTCTTTTAAATTAGAAAGTTATTTTTTTGTTCTACTCTATATTTTTTATTCGAGAGACATAGAGGATACACATTATATTTCTTCCACTTTTTAGAACAATGAGTACATCCAATCAGTGGCGCGTTGTTTACAAATGATGCTTCGTATAGACGAATATCGTTTTGCGTTCGTATCCGTTGATGGAATTTCAACTCTCCTCAGTGTTCTTTCTGGAAGAGTAAATTTCCAAGTGCAATATCAGCTTATTTTCTGCCTATGGGTACTTACTTTCAATCCTCTCCTGGCAGAAAAGATGAATAAGTAAGTAATCTTCCTTCTTCTCCCTCTTATTTGTGATATGTGTACATTTTATTAAAAAATTTTAACTCATAATTGTTCAATATAACTGTAATGTCTAAAAAATTGTGTTTTATATTGCAGATTCAATGTCATACCCATTCTCGCCGATATACTTAGCGACTCAGTCAAAGAAAAAGTAACACGTATTATACTTGCAGTATTCAGGGTAAGTCAGAATGTCGGGGAATAAGAGGAAGATTATACATATTACATTTTTTTATATTATCACAGAATTTAATCGAGAAAGTAGAAGACGGGCAAGTTGCCAAGGAACATTGCATCGCTATGGTGCAATGCAAAGTATTGAAGCAGCTTTCGATATTGTGTCAGCGGAAATTCGACGATGAAGATATTACTGATGACATCGAGTTCCTGAACGACAAATTGCAAGCATCCGTGCAAGATCTAAGTTCGTTCGACGAATATTCAACGGAAGTGAAATCTGGCCGTCTGGAGTGGTCTCCTGTTCACAAATCGGGCAAATTTTGGCGCGAGAACGCTAGCCGTCTCAATGAGAAGAATTACGAGCTCTTGCGGATTCTCGTTCATTTGTTAGAAACCAGCAAAGATCCTCTTGTCCTCAGTGTGGCTAGTTTCGACATTGGCGAATACGTACGCCATTATCCGCGTGGCAAACAGTACGTTAAGTGAATTTCTAATGTTATAAAGAAGTATATTTTGTACATTTTTTTTATTTTTTAGTATTTAATTTTTATAATAAATTCAGTATTTGTGAAAATATTTAAAATTAATTTTTTTGTTAAAATAAAATCTCGTGTATTTCAGTATAATTGAACAGCTTGGCGGAAAGCAACGTGTAATGCAACTTCTTGGGCACGAAGATCCTAATGTTAGATATGAGGCTCTTCTTGCAGTACAAAAACTCATGGTACATAATTGGTAAGTTATAAAATGTTAAGAACTTTCTACATTTTTTACTATTCGATTTCTTTATGTTGAAACAAATTTGTTAATTTTTAAAAATTCTTTTCCATGTATATAAATTTGTTGTCTATATATAAACATTTATAACTATGTAAATTATTTACCTTCTTAGGGAATACCTTGGAAAGCAATTAGAAAAAGAACAAGGTGCATCTGGAGCGTCCACTAATAAACCTGGAGCACAAGTGCCAGCAAAAGCTTAAATGTTCGTACAACCTGTATAAATTATGATTTTTCCGTTTGGAGAAAAAATACGAGAGTATTATAGAGGATTTGCGTGCGTGACATTATCTACATCCGCTTATGTAAAGCACTTGTATAATTCGATATACTTACATTCCCTTCCATTCTATATTATTGTAAAAAAAAAAAGATATAATCTATTCTCTACTTTTCTTTCGTGTAATCCAATTTTGTAAGATAATTCTTGATTATATATAGATATATATATCCAACTCATGTATATACAAACTTATACATAGGGACGTTTTACATTGCGAATGTAATAAGATATATAATGTTGATGTATAATGAATCCCGTCACGTGTAACATATTTTAGCTTTATGTATAGAATGTTCTCTGGAATGTTAGAGAGAATAAAATTTTATTCTGTTGAAAAACTGTTGTACACGCGACATTACAAACATCCACATACGTACAGATATATTTTACTTAAACTTTCCTAAATTGCAATTTAATGTTAATATTACAGGATGCCAATTGTATTAAGAGAAATCTGAATATATATGGTATCTCGATCTCATTTACATTATCTTCTTCGCCGCACAGACGGCATTTCTTATCGTCGTCATCATTTCTATTATTCATGATTAATTCGGGTCCAAGTAGCGAACCGCATTTTTGGCATGCTAAAGTCTATAAATCAATATTTATTATATTTAATGAATCCCTCAAATACTGATTTTATAAATAATTAAACAATATTTAATCGATACGATTATCATATTAAAATGTTAAAGGAGATAATATCTCTTATCGCTTACCGTCATTTTATCGGAACAATGAAAGAGCCGATCTTGAAGAAGGTACGAGCAACCATGAGAAATTAAAGCGTCTCGTTCCATCTCTCCAAATCGAACACCGCCGCCTCGTCGACGACCTTTGAGAGGTTGTCTCGTTAGTTGATCGAGTGGTCCAGTGCTTCTTACCTGAAAATAAGAAATATAAATATGTATATATATACATATAGAGAGAGGAAGAGATTGTTTTCGTATAATTTTAAGAGAATGGAATGACTTATTGATTTTCAAATTACACATAGAAAAAATAGACGAAGAGACGCAAGCAAAAATGCTGCTATTTAAATAATAACTAAATAAAATCTAAGAAATCATACACATAAAATAGAATGGAAAAATTTTTTAGATGCTAATATAAAAATTTATATGATCTAATTTACCTGCCACTTGTCGGAGACCATGTGTCGCAATCTTTGATAATGAACTATACCAAAGAAGATGCTGGCTTTCATCTCGCATCCATATATACCTGAATACATTCTTTCAGTTCCGTAATAATTATAGCCACCGAGTTCTAATAATTTTCCGAAGTAGTCTATGGCTGTGTTTTCCTCATCAAATCTAAAGGGTGTAGCATCGTGAACTAGTCCATGCACAGCCGCTGATTTTCCGGCCATCACTTCGATCATCATAGCTATGGAAAACAATGATTAGTTACATGGTTTTATTACATGGCAGTTATAAATTATATCCATATTTTCTTGTAAAGCCTCTCTTGTAAAAAAATTTTTAGTTTGTGTTATAAGTCTGAATTGAAAAAAAATTCATCAGAATTCCTATATTATCATAGTATAAATAATTTAGATAATATATAAAATACAACGCAAACGTACCTATTGTCATACGACTTGGAAACCCGTGTGGATTGAATATAATATCCGGAACCATCCCGGTTTCTGTGAATGGTAAATCCTCAGCAGGATACAACCGCGAAAGAATTCCTTTTTGTCCCGCTCTTGACGCAAATTTATCTCCAACGATAGGATTTCTCTGAAAAATTAATGAATTTTATGTGTGTGTGTGTGTGTGTGTGTGTGTGTGTGTGTGTGTGTGTGCGCGCGCGCGTGCGTGTGTGTGTGTATAATGTATATTATGTTCAATATAATATTATATTAATATTAAATATATAATATGTTAAAATATGTGTAGATATACAAATTGTACCAACAGGAATACGGAATGTAATACATGCTCTTCGAGGCTCTTGACTGTTAAGTGTTCCACATAACTTTACATTGTCAATGTAAGCGTTTTCTGTGCTTTTGTATCTTCCAATGACGTAATTACTATTATCAGCATCATAATAACTGTCAAATATACATATTTGATGAGTTTTTAGCGAAATAAAAAAAATGACAATATTAAAGCTAAAAGGGACTTTACCAATAATAAGGGTCATCTTCTTTGATAAAGGCACCCATAATAGGTAAACCATCAATATCTAACGTTTTCTCAAGTTCAGGCTTGTCTGGATTGCGTGTAAAGTAACTCTTCTTATCGTTTAAATCAACAAATTCAGACTTATAGATCGTTCCATGTCCGAAACCGCGTTCATAGGATGCCTTGTTGATTACCATCGCGTCTTCCATATCGTACCCCTATATGTATCAATGATATAAAATAGAATTATGAATAATTCTTGAACCGAATTTTTGATACTAGAAACGAAATAACACTTACCGTATATGAAATAACAGCAATTATTGCGTTGGTACCCATCGCAAAATCATCCATGTTAATATTATCATGATGCACTGGTCTAAAAAGAGGCGCAGCTGGTGTTTGCAATCTGTACAATTTTGTTTGCGATTGTTGTTGCCAATTGTAACATGGCGTTCCCATTGTTTGCTTACCCATCTACAAGAAAATATTGGTAAAAATTTTACTTGCATTATTAGCACATTCGTGTAATTTGTGGTATTATTAATTTACATTATTTATTAATATATATTAATATATATTAATAGATATTTTTCGACCTACAGATACGAACCGGAATAATTTTTATTCAAATCTGTATGAATTATTATTGTATTATTGTTGATGTTAAATTATTAGTTTTAGTAAACTAATGTTTGCACATATGAATGTGCACACTGAGCATAAAAAGATTTACCTGACATTGGTACATGTTTCTTGGACTCTGATTACAATCTGGCATTGGAATAAGTTTAGCTAAATTGCTGAAGATGGTTGTTTGACTTACTTCCTGATGAGTCGTGAACTAGCACACACAAAAGAATAACATTTTTTTTCTTATCATTAGATATAAAAACTATAAAAATAATACAAAAAACATAATGTATATTTACTCCTTCATAAGCTTCTTCAGGAATCACACAGATGTCCATATAAATTTGTTCAAATGTTCCAATAAGTTCAATTTTTTGCACAGATAGATTTATCACTGGTCTCATCATTCTAGCTGCATTAGTAAACAAGAATAACCCTGGATATTGAGCTGAAACCTTCTTCTTTGGTACAAGCGCAATTTCCAATGTCGATGGTATCTGAAGATAAAATATTTCATTAATATACATGATAATTATAAACTGAATCACAAGATATCTCTCGACTTACTTCTTGGCCTTCTATCTTAAGCAATCTGAGTTTGTAGACTACTTTATTAATAATCTTGTTCTCGATCAAACCGATTAGTTTTCCATCTAACATGACGGTATACGAATTTTTCCAATTATCTGCGATAGACAATGGAATCATTCCAAGATCTACCAATACTGTGGGTATCGCGGCTTTTAATTTTGGATTTGGATGTTTTGTGACAACACAATTCATTGTTAAATGATTCAGCAACCCACATGGAGCACCGTCAGGCGTATGTATTGGACAAATAAATCCTACAAATATTACAATAATATTATAATTGATATATTTATTTTGATTTTTATTAATTAGATTATCAATAATTATGTAATATATAATCTGAAGAGAAAAATTGCAAATCATTGCTTATATTTTTATTTCGTGCTCATTTGTCAACATCTCTATTAATGTAGACAAATTATAGTAGGATTTTTTAATTACCCCATGCATCAGGCAACAATCGTCTAACTTCGGTAGTCCTCATAGTTTGGAAAAATGTGCCTCTATGTATCGCACGAAAATGACTCATATAACGCATCCTATTAATATTTTCCACAACAATTGTGAGGCCGGAATTTTGCATGAGACCTAGACCAGTGGACGACTTTACACTTCCAGTGGATAAGAAATACTCCATTTGTGCGTCAATGTTGCTCCGAATTTTGGTAACATTCAACATTTCTTCTAAATAGGTAAAAAGATCAAAATATATATAAATTCGTGATTTTATTTTCACAAGAGATCAAACTTACAGGTAAAATACTTACGCATATTTAAAATGTACCTATTACCAGCACTTTTGGCACGTTTGAGAATATGAATTTTAAGATTTGCCAGCCACGAGCCCAATTTCTCTTTGAGAACTTGTAGATACAAATGCCCGCCTAACAAACATTCGTGCATCATCACGGAATCCGCACCTTCGGCAGCGCATTTGTTACGGGCAAGAGCAAACAGTTTTTTAGTCATGAATACAAGTAAATGAAACTTATCAATCAGTTCATCAAGATGAATGGCAATACAATGTCTATACATAAATGAATATGATAAAATTAAGACTTGTAATGAATTATACATGAAAAAATAGATAATTTAATGAAATACAAACTTACTTTAGAATATAATTACAAATGTCTATATCAGTTGCATCTGCAGGCAATTCAGAGAATTTTACTCTAAAAATTTTTCCTACATACGCTTTACATTGTTCATGCCAATGTAAACCTTCTTCATGTAAAGCACGTAACATATTCATAACACTATTACTGTAATAGAGATCATCTTCACATCCAGCAATTAATGTTTTGTAAATATATACATCGGTCACATCTATCAAACATTTTAGCATCAATATTAATGGTACATAGTAAGTAGTTTTCTTGTGAGTAAAAGCGAATTTTGCAGAACCATCATTCACATAATGCAGTGTATTGTTCTGTAAAAAATGTATTTATATTATACTGTATATATATACATTTACACTAACATATAAAATACATAATAAAAGTAATAATATAAAATCTATAAAAAAAAATATTTCTGTGCTAAAGTATACATACCGTGGCAGTATTATCTTCTTGAACACTTCTTAAAAAAATACCGAGATCGCTAAATTGTTCACCACGAGTTTTCCAACCTGGTCTTTTTATAGCAATGGGATAGTTTCGTCTCGTCATTATTAACATGCGTACAAGTCGCTCTAATCCTTTGATTATGAAATATCCACCCCATTCTTGTTCATGTTCACCATGAGCAACTAATTCCTTAGGACTCATTTTATTTAGGTGACATCGATTAGACTGTAAATATCATATATTTTCATAAATTATTTCATAAATTATAATTCAGCATAAAAAAATATATATTAAATTATCATATAAAAAATTAATAAGACATAATATTTAATGATTAGAAAATAAAAAGTAAAAAGCCAATTTATTATTCTTTATTCATTGTTATATGTATATTAACTGTTTATTTTATTTTATTTTTTTTCTAAAAATTATATAAGAAAAAATAAATTTTGATTTATTTTTTCTACAAAAATCTAAGAATATTAAGATAAGAAATATTATATTTTTTTGTTAATTGTAAAATTACTGTGCTTATAAAAATTAGATTCATTTTTTTCAATATGTGTGTGTGTGTGTGTAAGAAAAAGAGAAAGGGACCTAGTTATTTATTAATAATTATTGATTAATAATGATTAATAAGATCCTTTTGTATATTTTACCTTGAGCATAATTGGAACTTCTCCTAAATCTTTCTCAAGAAATTCTTGCTCTATGCCATTTATAGACCATCCAAGTCTCACTACTATTTTACCTTTATAAGTAGCACCCCTCTGTCGACATTCTGACGGATATATTTTATAATTTTTTACACCAATTGTACCAGAAGGTACAGTGGGCTTATGAATTTGCACATTGTCTAACCAGAGGATTATTTTGTCACCATTAGGAAGAGTTAAATACACTGGTGTACTGTTTTTTATACCTTGAAAAAGGCCATCTTCCAGCATATAATTAAAAGAGTCAATGTGAGGTTTACCCAGAGATTGTAACAGCTAAAACGTGTAGAAAAATTAACTATCTAGTGTCGTAAATTTTTTGGAATAATTTATTTCTATAATGTGCGTGAATAAAGATCTTTAATAGTATATAACACTAAATTTTAATTAATTTTTCGATATTATTTATAGTATTTATACGATTTTGCATTAAAAAAAACAATATATTTATATTGAGATATAAGAAAATCATTTGAATTGTATCAGCTTAGTATGTGTGTACACAATTATGTTATATATAATTTTGTATAAAAAAATACAATATTTACATCATTCTGTTTCTCAGGTGGTTTACCAAAATCCGGCGATGTGTTCGTTAATTTAGGCTCTCGCAACATATTTGACATATTCATTGTAAAATATAATTTCTTACGATCACTTTTTTTTGGTTATAAAACAATGCTTTCAAAACAAATCTCAAGCATAAACCTTAAAGAATGAGATTGCATTAATACGACAAAATATTTGTGGACGCCAATTGGCTATCGGATAGAGAATTTCTAGAATCTCTATGTATTTACCATCTGACAGCCAATCAATGCATTGGACAAATATTTTGTCATACTCATGTAAGTTCATCTTAATATACGTAATTCATGGTACCCACGTGTGTGACACATTGCAGATTCCGGTACAAATTTACATTCTGTAATATTTAGTTATAAATGAAATGTATAATATATTTAGATTATGTTAATGTAGAATATATAGCTGGAAATTTATAAAAAAGCTGGAAATTTATAAAAAAGTATTCTAGAAAAAAGTTAATACACACGCACGCACACAACTTTAATAATAATTTATGTATATTCTATTAAAAACTCCAAATAAAATATGTATATTCTAATAATATTAACATTCAGTTTTAATCAGTCAATATATTAATTTTTATATATGAAAAACTTCTTATGTAGCTTCTCTTAAAAAGTACTAATAAAGTTATCAGACAAAATCTGATATATAGAAATGGCAAAAAGCATTTTAATATATTTGGTAAAGTATTAGAATCTAATTAGATAAGGGATGATATAAATTGAAATTTTAAACATTATAATTATATATACATTTTTTACTCATAAGATTATGGTTCAAGATCTAAGTCATCTGTTAAATGAATAGTAAATCTTAAAGTTTTCTAGAAAGAAACATATAATGTCACAATTGATTACCTTGATCACCAAATGGAACACTTGTCAGGATCCTAAAAATTCTTTATTTAATAGCTAATTGCATCATCTATCTGTGTTTTCTTCTTTCTATAATTAAATGATTAAATTATAATGTAAATGACTTTTTGCACACATCTCTACATATGATAAATCCTTGTTACAATTTATATAATGTAAAAAAAAAGAACAAAAATATTACAATATGAATCTTGTATTATGAATGTCACAGATAAAAAAAAAACACATGCATATAAGTCTCAGAAAGATCTAAATATCTAAAAAGATGTCCAAAGATCTAAGATATGTTTTAAAATATGATTTAATCTAATGATTTAAATATGATTTAAATTGTGTTACAGCATTTTCAACTATTTGCTTAACTTCTGTATTTAGATCTTCAAAGTTTAGAGCTGTATTGTCATGCATTTTCTCACACTTTATATCCAAAAAAGCAGAATAAGCGATTCCTAAATCAAAGTGAATATGTTTGCAAATTTCCTGTTCTTCATTTGTTTTAGCATGTAGATGTAATTGCTTAATAGCATTCTCCAAAATTTCTACTTGTAGTTTATATAGTTTTATCTGTTTGAATTTGCATTGTTCATAATATGCAAAATATTTGTACGCTTTGGAAATTTCTATTATTATTCTTCCATGTTGTATCATCTGCTTTTCTATGGTAAAATATGATCTTGCTGTATCAAGCCATCTCAAAACACTCACAAAAACTACTTTAGCTTCATCAAGATTTAACACATATGTATCTGGAATCTTACTAGTAATACATTCTAGATCTTTTTCTAAGTCAGGAAATAATAAAAGATTCTCAGATTCCTTCTTCGAATTTGTAAGGGATTCTAATCTTCCATCTATTTTGCAACATTTATTATTTATTCGACATAATCTTTCTTTTGATGAACGTAAAAGCGTAATTCCATAGAAACTCCAGTATCTAGCAATAGTAGCTCGAGCATGTTGATATTTACTAAGCATTGAAGTATATAGAGATTCCGAACGAGTCTTGGCCTCTATCAATTTGTCTTTATAAAGTCTTTCCATCATATAATCAGCTGCAGCAAGATGATGTTTTGCTTCAGTGAAACGATGCTTTAATATGAAGTACTGGGTTATATCACATGATGCTAAAGCCCAATAATAACACTCTATATCTAAAAACTGCAATGCTTCAAATAGTTGTTTGTTCAATAAAGTATGTATATATATAATCAATTTCTCCTTATTTCCAGGCGATTTATGATATTGGTTTACTAAATAATCTACAGTCATTAAATGAAGTTGCTCTAGTGAAAGCAGAAAATTTTCTTCATCTTCAATACCAAGAATGGTTGGTACATTAATAGGATCCGGATACTTATTTTCTTCCTTTGTGTATTTTAAATAGAGTTCCAATGCTTGATCTAAGAATAGATCAGATTCCTCTGTTTTCTTTAATTTATTAAAAACCAACCTTAATTCATGACGTACTCTTATAGCAGTCAAAATAGCTTTCCGCTCCAGCTCTTTTCCTTTTAACAGCTCGTTACATTTCATGAAATAATTCTTACTAACACATAATTGTGTCTCTTCTGTACAAGCAACATACATTAGACCCACATTCATATAAGCTATTGCAAGAACTATAATATCATCGAATGTTGTGTCTGTTGAACTGGTTAAATTTTCAAACAAGTTATCCATCTTAACTTCTGTCTTTTTAATATTTTTCTTTTTCTTTTTAGGAAGTTGATTTATTTCACGAAAAGCTTTTACTTCAAACGATAATTTTAAAACTTCTCGAAACTTCTCGTTAACAATTACAGTTTCGTTATTCTTAACTACACCTGCAAAAAATCAACATTAATAGATTATATTATATGATTATGTGATATATTAACACAGTTTGGAATAAAATATTCTCTGTATATTACCAAATTGAGATGGTTCATGCATCCGCTGTTTAATGAGATATTCTATAATCGCCAACATTATTAATATTACACACGATGTTACGTCAATAATAAAAATTTCCTTTATTTGAACTTGAAATTTGAAAATCGTGTTATATATATATAACAAGTATAAACACGTGCTTGATCGTAAGTAGGGGGTTTCCGAATAATGTTCTTTCTTTCATCACAGATACAAAATACAGACACCTAACACAAAAACTCACTCCAGACACATTGAAGATTGAAAAATGGAATTTGACTAATCAGAATAAAAGGAACTAAAGTTTCTTTTCTGATTGATCACATTTTAAATCTTCAGTGTCAGTCTAATATGGATTTTAAATCGTGAACACCTCAGGACAAAGAAATCCTTTAATATTTTCATTCTGATTGGTGAATCGAAACATCTCTAGAATCGGACAAGTTTATTTTCCTTATTCTTTGCCACCAGAGTATCGTGGCAATGATGTGGGAAGCAACTCTATTTTTATCTATCGTATTATGCTTTTAACAAACCACCTGTAGAGTGGAAGAGGGAAGTTTACAACATAACTGGAAGCTTGCTGGTTCAGTACTTAATTGAGAATGTGATAATTTCAATTAGAATTGTCGTCTAATCAAAAGTCCTGTGTACTTTTGATTCAGAGATTTTTATGAAATAGTTGTCTACATGTACAAGAAAAAGTTTAATCTCATTGTTGGTAAATTAAAATTATATAGTATAATGATTGAAGAAGATTCATGTAATATATACACCAAGAAATTTGAGATTTTATTAAATTGAAAAACAGAGTGGAAAATTGAAACTGTGACACTGCAATCCCTTTAATAGAGAATGGCGATGAATTTAAAAGAGATAAGATATTATAGCATGTTTATTCGATGATCCTTTCACTTGTATATCAGCTTGGGAATTCAACATTTTTTTCATTTGAGTGGGAACATCACTCAAGGTCAGTGGTGGTCAGTGGTCTCTCTCTCTCTCTCTCTCTCAGTGACCATTTCCGATTCTCATTATTGATTGAGTGCAAACAGGTTGTCCTTCGTGTTTTTCTCGTACGACTCGTATCTGCGATTTATGTCTGCAAGCCGATTTACATAATAGCATCATCCAGTAATCATGGACAAATCTGAAAAAAAAATTAAGAATTTTGAAATCATTATAAAAAACCTTATAGCTGGCGGTGAGTCACTTGAAAAATTCTTTAAATATCTGATTTTATTATTTTGGATTTTAAGATCACTTCAAATTACTTTCCTAAACTTATGTCACAAAAGAAATAACAGTACAACATTTTATTTAGAAAATAATCTCAATCTTTATCTAGAAAAATTAAAACAAAGATATTTCATTAGCTTTATATTTTATGTAAAAAATAAAGAAATATCCTGTAATGATTTGTGTTCTTCCATTATTGATTTTTTATTATTTATAAAGTACAACAAATTTACTTTTTATATATCTTTTCATATCTTTCCATGTTCCAAAATATTTTTAAAGATCTATTTGATAGAATAGATAGTTTGATGATAGATAACTTGAAATATCTTGTATTTCTTTATATAAAAATATATAAATTATAAAATTTTGTATATTCTAAATATATTGATATATAATATGTGTTACAGGTGTAGCTGGCATGTGCTCAAAAACAGCTGTAGCACCTTTAGACAGAATAAAAATTTTATTGCAAGCTCAACACGAATATTATAAACATTTAGGTAAAAATTTGAACTCTTGCTAATAATGTGAAATGTATCTAAATTTATATAAATTATATATATGTATAAGTACATAACATGTATGTATATATGTATGCATATATATTTTGCAGGTGTTTTCTCAGGATTAAAAGAAGTTGTTCAACGTGAAAATTTTTTTGCTTTATATAAAGGCAACCTTGTACAAATGATTAGAGCTGTGCCTTACGCAGCAATACAATTTACAGCATTTGAACAGTATAAAAAGGTAATGAAGAGATTCAATATTATAGAGATCACTCGAATTTAATCTATTGTAATAATTTTTATTTGATAATTATTAAAATAAAACTTTAATAATAAGCATTAATTTTTAGTTAATTTAAAGAGAATCTCTAAATAGAAATATATTTAATTTTGGATATATATTTTTATCCAATAAATGTATATATGTGTATGTATATGGAGGAGAGAGAGAGAAAATATATAGAATTTTTCATCAAATAATTATTGGTAAATGATTTAAAATACTTTGTCGACACATTATAAATTCACACATTAATATTCGGCCAATTATCTACCCGATTATTATAACTGAAAATCTTATTTATTTGCCCTGTATTATACACGTATAATCGATCTCTACTTTTGCTATAAATGTTTAAAAAATTACATGTAATGTTTGTATAATTTTTGTCAGCGTTTAGGAAAATTACTCCAACAAGGTTCGCATATAGATGGGTTCTTAGCTGGAGCTGCCGGAGGTGTCACAGCAGCTGCAATTACGTATCCACTTGACACCATCAGAGCACGATTAGCCTTTCAAGTTACTAGTAATACACTTTATTCTGGAATTAAACATGCTGCTGTTAGAATGTTTAAAGAGGTAAATAACAGTTTATTTTTATCATCAAAAGATGTATTTAAACCTATAAAAACTTTATTTGCATCTTTGTACCATAACTCTGTACAATAATAACAAGGATGCTTTAATTATATATTTCATGTTATAAATTAAAATAACTGTTAAAGTAAATTTTGAATACAAGAATGAGATCAGATGTTAAATCTATATTAAAAACATATAGACAGATAAATTATATATATATTAATAATACAGAGAGATTTAATTTTCATCCTCTCTCTCTCTCTCTCTCTCTCCAAATATTCTTATATATAAAAAAACTTTGCTAACTTTTCACACCTTGAGTGAAAACTTTTTTGTATCAGAACAAGTTAATAGAGTTAATAGAAAGAGAATATTTCAGGAAGGTGGCCTACAAGCCTTATATAGAGGATTCTGGCCAAATATGTTGGGCATGATACCTTACGCAGGATTTTCTTTCTATACATTTGAGAAATTAAAATATTTATGTTTGAAATACGTGCCACATTACTTTTGTTCTGAACAAAAAACAACTGGTGAGTTAGATTGCCGATTTTCAGACATAGGAAACATAGATTGCTTCTATCGAATCTGCTTAACAGAAAGTATTTGCTCAAGTAAAAAAAATAAAACTATGCTAGAACTCGCTATTCTTTTCTAATAGACCCATGCAGAAACTTTATTTATTTTTTATTTCTGATAAAAAAGGAGAAAGACACATTCGTTAGATACACTCTTTTATTGCATTATTATGATTGGCTCATTTAACAATCTATGTTTCCTATGTGTACATTATTTCCTGAATCTAACAAATATGTATAATGATAGGAAGTTACAATTATAAAATTCTTCTATTTATGAATATATATCTCCCTTCAAATAATTATTACATGATTAATAGCTTTTTTTATATCGTATTTTTTTAGAAAAAAATTTATCATTTTTTACTTCTTTTATTAGTAAGCCTTTAACTTTTAAAACTAATTTTCTTTACAAAGAAAATTAGTCATTAAAGAATTAATAACTCATATAAAGATCAAAGAATCGACATTATTAATGATAATAAAAATATAATAAAAGTAATCGTAATATTATATTTCATTGTGTTGCAGGTAATCTTATATTAAATATACCAGCAAAACTTTTATGTGGAGGCGCAGCCGGTGCTGTAGCGCATACTTTCTCTTATCCATTGGATGTTACAAAGAGACGTATGCAATTGGCAATGATGAATCCAACTACACATAAATATGCGTAAGTAATATGATATAATATGTTGATAAGAATTTTAATTAAACCTTGCACCAGAAACTGAAATAACTCTTTTGTAATATTTTTTTAAATTATTAATTTAACCTTGCAATATTTTTTTAAAATTATCGTTTATACATATATAATACGTTATTAACGCAAAAAATTTAGTAAATTTATTTATTTAAATATTCTTATCCAGAAAATTAATATTCTCAGGTCTGGAATGTTGTCTACTCTTAAGATGATATATATTGAGAATGGCATTGTAAAAGGCTTATATCGTGGAATGAGTATTAATTTCTTACGAGCAATTCCTTTCATGGCAGTTGGCTTTGCAATGTATGAAGTGACGAAGCAGATGCTCGATTTAGATACAGGAGTAAGATTGTAATTATATACATATTACATAAAATAAATGCCTAGTTTTTATACATTACATATTTATATATTCTTATGAAAGAATATAATAAAAATAATATACTGATCAGTTGGCTGATATATATATATATATATAATTAATACAATCAAATTGTTTTTATTAAAAAAGAAACAATTTTGATATTAAAATTTGATATTGTATTATTTTCATGAAAATCTGTCATAAAAGGCTAGACTGTAAATATCATATGTAATACAATAAGTATTTTAAGTAAGTATTTTGCTTTGAGTACTTAGTTTTTAATTAATATAAATTTTATACTTTTATATTGTAATTGTAAACAAATTACTCATATTTACAATATAATAAACATATTTTGTAGAAATAGATGTTTAAATATATAATAATCTATATTGAAAATCAGTATTGAAGAAACTAAATTATGTAAATTATTATTTCAATATAATAATTATTATACACATAGATTGACAAAATTATAATATTTATAAGAAACATGATAAGATTATATTAAAAAAAAATTTGTATATATTATCTCAAAATGTATTTATATTACATATAACAGAAATGTTTTATTGTATTTTGATACAGTATTACTTACTTTTTTATTATTAACAGATGCAAGTATTAGATGATAAACTAATGAAAAAAAATATATTTTATATATTTGAATGTATATGTGTGTGTGTGTGTGTGTGTGTGTGTGTGTGTGTGTGTGTGTGTGTGTGCGTGCGTGATTTAACTGTCAAGTAATTATAAACATGCATAAAGAATGAGTTTTATTGAAACATGCGTTTTTTTCTAAAATATTGTGAATATGTAGAGCACAAACAAAACTCTGTCTAAATGTGATAATAGCTTTTTATTTCTGTAATTTCTTATAATAAGATGACATTATATAATTATACGTTCATGGCATTTTTTGTTCCTTTTCACAAATCTGGGCTTATCTGACACCAGATCTTTGTAAGCTATGTTAAAGTAATGTCAAATAAAGCTCATGTCAAGTAAAGTTTAAAAGAATATTGCAGGCTTAATTCTATGCCAATTATATATTTATCATATACAATCGCACGCGCGATTTATATATGCATAAGTATTATTTCAGATAAATTAAAAAATTATAAAAGCTATCACAAAAAAATTTAAGATATACAAAATTTGAAATTTTATATACTGTATTCGAATTAAGGATATCTACCAATTTCTACAGAGTTAAATCTAAAATAAAACTTTAATTTTTCAAATGGTTATTATTACATATATATATATATATATATATATATATATATATATACATATATGTATGTATTAATGAGTTATATTTTAGATAGTACAATATTTTTGAAATTTAAATTAATGAAAAATATTTGATATTGTAAATGAGTTTTTAAGTGTGATAATACCTTTTCAATATATCCCATACTATTAAATGAAATCAAATCAATAATATTTATATATAGATATTAATATATTATGTTTTCAACGAAACATTTAATAATCCATATTTATTTTATCAATTGCATGAAAATTGGTATGACGATTAAAGAAGGCAATAAATAGAGCATATAAAATTAATTATACTGGATGTTGCTACCTATTGATTTGCTGTAATTTTAATCAAACTCCGTCGTATTATATAATACTACAAGTGCATTTTTGTTCTATAGGAAAATTTATTCTTATTGTTGTAGAATTCAGAGAGAATATATTATGTATATATACGCATGATTGGATAGTAGAAAACGAAAAAAAAAAAATGCTCAGCCTGCATTGTGCAGAAAAGGATCGCGAAGTTATCTCCGCGCAGCATCCTGTGCTATGGATTTACAGTCTTAATAAATTGCTATGTAATGTGCATCTAACACATTTCAAGTTTGTCTCGCCATCCGTTGTCATTACTATTGTAATTGCTTCATTATGCATTATATTCGAATGCGATGCTTATTCCTATAAATACATCCGTATGTATTTTTTTTCATTTTTTTTATCCCATACACGATGCTTCTGCATACATTCAATGAATATGAAATTTGACACAACACATTGGACTGCTTTGGCTTGCATTACATACGTTTATTTCATCAGAAGCATCATTTTATATCTATTAATTAATAAAAAGATCATCAATAGGTTTATAAGCAATTTTTTTCTTTTAGTTTAACCAATGTGAATGCATAGATTCACTCGGTATAAAATACATGTTTCACTTTAAAAGGCAGAATTGATGCAAAAGTTTTCTATTATGTTTTTTAAATTGTCAATCATTAAATAGTAACTAAACTCTATAATTATTTATAAATTAAAAATTATGTTTAAAATGTGATAAAAAATTATTTACCAAAAACCTATCAGACCAATTAAATTTGACTGTATATATTAAATATAATTAAATATAATAAAATATAAATAAATATCATGAAATATAATTAAATGAAATAAACAACATTTAAAGTGCGAATATATATATATATATATATATATATATATATATATATATATATATATATATTCTAATTAGTTTTTCTTTCGTGCATGTTATTCCGCAAAAATAATGTAAAAACAACGAGAAGCAAACTTAATCGCACATTTTGAATATTTTTTATATCATTTAGATAAAAATATTTATTTTTTTTTGTGCTTAAAAATAATGAATATTACATAAAATGAGTGATATAAGTTTAACAAAATTAATATCTGATAAATTCATATGCAATGTCTTATTAAAAGATTCTTAACCATTTTTACCTTAAAATTATTGAATTATTTATTGAATTTTTATACAGCGCAATTTATAAGCATACTAGTTTACTGTTGCATCAACTCAACTTTTTTCCAAGTGGAACATTTCATGTTTCATTCACACTGATGTGACACTCTCTTAAATATAAATTATGATCTTGGTATATTTTTTGGAATCTTGCATGACAAAAACTTGTTTTAGAATATATGATGTTTCGTTTACAAGTATAATTATTTTCGACGGGTTTTAATATTCTCATTCAAGATTACAAAATAATACCATTTTACCAATATTTTTTGTTCTACCTGTTACGCGCAAATGTGTGTGCATATTATTATATTCAGTTTTTTATATAATAAAAATACAAGCGGATATAATAAAAGTTGTAAAACTCAATGCTACAAGTGAATTTAATCGATACGTGTGTACATTATTGTATTTTTTCTTTTTTAGTGTACAAGTAATGTTGTGTCTACATGTATTGTGTAAGGCACGCACAAAACGTGCGTGTAATCTATTCTATTCTCTCAATGAGACACCACAAAGTGAGCCATGATATAATACTTGGAGCTATATGTGGTATATGAGAACTTGTTTGAGCCTCACACTCATTTAGCGATGTTTTATTATAAGTTATGTTATCTGGCGTCACTATAAAGTCAGGATCGCGCATTTCCATTCCCCTACCTTGACACTTAGCCCTGAAGCCTAACCTCTTAGAGGAAGTAGTCTGGCGTTCGCCTGGTAACATGTGGTTCTCCACGTCTTGGTGCTGGGTCAAACTGTAGGCTGTAATAAAAATATAAAAAAAATTATACTTTTATTATACTTTGTAATTTGATTAAAATATCCTTGACTATATAAAGTAATTCTTTTTTTAATGTAATAATATAACAAATATTTAAAATTATTATATATATTTTAAGGTACACATTTAATATATAGTATAAAGTTTATTAAGAGGAAAACTTGAATATATATATATATATATATATGTGCGTGTGTTCAAATGTATCAATATGTCTAATATATCTTTTATAATTTGTAAGTAAATATGTACAATTTAAATATATAAAATGTATTGAAATTACTCACAATGAATATTTTAAAGCATCATCCAATTCCATAATTGCAGCTTGATTTCCACAACGATAACAGTAATTAGGTGCAGAGAATATAGTCACGACATTGCGATCATGACACCTGAAACAATATAGTACATTTCCTATTACAAATTGTTTATAAAAAATTAAGTTATATGCAATCTATTAAGTTATCTATTAAGTTATAAATAATATCAATGTCTGTATGTACCAATTATAACCCTCCATGACCAATTGGTGAGCTCGTGAGACGAGTGTTAATCCATTGGAGTGGTTGAATGTTTCAGAAATATCTTGACCAAAAGTATATCCTGCCCCACGCGGTGAAATACCCCATCCTCCCCTATCATCTGGATCCGACCAAAGCAGATCACACATGGGACCCTATTAAATAATATAGACGAGTTATAATTATGAAATAAATTTCCTTATTATATAATAGAATTTATATTGTAGGAATTACACAAGCAGATACTAACTTCATGTGGCACTTCCTGAAGACGATCTAGAGCACGTATGTGATCTAAAGTATCGATTGACGGCGATAAACCACCATGCAAACAAAATATTTGACCATCGACCAATGCTGTTAGCGGTAAATAATCAAATAGATCTGTAAAGAACTTCCATACATTGGCATTTCCGTATTTACGTAAGCATTCATCATAAAATCCATACACTTGTGTGATTTGCCTCGACTCGTGATTGCCCCGTAAAATAGTTATTCTTTCTCGATATCGCACCTTTAAGCAAAACAAAGAGAGGAAAAATAAATAATATATATATATATATATATATATATATATAAATATAAATTTGTGATAAATATTTATTAATCTAAAAAATATATACAAATATATGCTGTAGAGAATAACATCTAATAGTACTAATTAACAGGAATAAATATATTCCACATTATAGATTATAGATATTTTAAATTATAATATATAGAAATTTATTTATATTTATTTATACTATACCTTAAGAGCTACGAGTAAAGTGACAGTTTCGACTGAATAATAGCCACGGTCAACATAATCACCCATGAAGAGATAATTTGTATCAGGTGATTTGCCACCTATTCTGAATAATTCCATTAAATCGTGAAATTGCCCATGTACATCTCCGCACACTGTTACAGGACATTTTACTTCTTGTACATTTGATTCCTTAGCTAAAATTTCTTTCGCCTGAAAGTTTTAAATATTATAAAATAAAATATAATCTTCCACTTTTTTTGTCTCAAAGAGAGAGAAAAAGAGGATAGAAAGAGGAGAAAAATTATTGAAACTGTTAAAAAAGAAAAAATAAGATAAATTGTATTGCAATTAAAGAACAGATTAATTTACAAGTAGAACACAATATAATATTTAAATATTATTTTGCATTAATTTTTTGTGATCAAAAAATAACTTCTGTGACATAAAATAATATGTCAATATGTAAAATGAATCAATATATGATGAGAATAAAATACCAATTTAAAATTTTATATTATACTATCCTACTGCAGTTAAGAAATACTTTATAACACTCAGACAAATTTTCTATAACTGGACTTTAATTGTCAGATACAATTACTGACACATTTAGAAAATTAGATGCTTTGGCCAATTGGCACAATATAGGGATGTAACGCAGCAATACATAATTATAAAGTACATTGCGATTATAATACCATCTTCAAAAGTTTAAATATAGTTCATTCAAAAATACTTGTTTCATTACTTCAGTATCTATTATTAAGATTTAGAAACTGAAATAAGTTTAGTAATAATCAGATTGTTCTTCCAATAATCCTTTACTTAAGAGATATTGCTCATATTACACTATTTTCTCAGAATTTTGATAAAATTTATCAGAATTTTTTATAGTTAGCTTAAATACCAGACAATTTTGACTAATATCCTATTCGATTTCAGATAATTATTGCTCCTCCATATTAGTTTAAATATAATAGAAAAATATCTCAATTCGCAAGAGATTATATGATTCATAATTCCTTATCATTAAATGCCTACGTGTATCAATAAAGAGATAAGAAGGAATGACAAATGCTATTCGCAGATATTGTAAAATATATTGTTTTAATCTGGAAAAATGATAACACTATTTATCTCATGCAGAAATTGTCAAACAATATACACTTGTTGCACAATTAAAGGCCTGTGAAAAAATATATATATTTTATATATATATATATATATATATATATATATATATATATATAATAGTCATTGGTTAAGAATTGTAAATCTCGCTGCAAATTTTTCGATCGCGATGGAGGATATAAAAAACTGAAGACGGTGGTAAATCCAGAATTCGAGGGATTTATTGCGAACTCTCGCGAAATGTGTTCCGAGAAAACACGCGTGACATTTCGACGAGCCATGTTTTAATTCGGCGGTGCACACGCTAGCCGAGGTCGGTACTGTAGCACACCGTCGTTCCTATTCATTCGAATGCACAGAAATCGGAATTGGATTCTAATCGGGCGACGTGAAAAACGCGTACGGGATCGATTTCGCGAAGCGGGATCGAGTACCTTATCGCAGAGGGTTTTCACTTGGCTCTCTGTCAGTTGTTTGCAGTCGTTTAATTGTTCTATCCACTGGTCGAGTTCCTTGAGCGACGCCTTCTCCTCCATCCTGTACCTGTTCCCGGGTATGCACGGAGATTAAAACAGCAAACGGTGTATAAATATCCCGCGCACCCTCTCGCTATCGCATGTAAATCCGAGCGAGTCCCCCGTTGAACAAGAAACTAAATCATTCGATTTTTTCTTCCCACTTCACTGGCCCCGCGGAGAGACGGTCCCGCGACACAAAATATCCCGTAGGTGCGGAGAGCAGCGCTCATTCACACAAAATGGCCGAACGCCGAGCGCTAGCGCGGTGACGTCAGGTCGTACTCGTGCGTGATGCCGCCCCCGCGCTCTCCGGACAGGACGCGTCAGCCAATCGGCGTCTCGGACAGAGATTCGCGCGGCCAATCGCGAGCGACGACAGCCTCGCGCGCGATTGGACAGACGCTGCGAACTACGTTTATCTGTCAATTCGATGACAGTAGATTTATTTTTTTTTAATTATTGCATAAATATGATAATTATTACATATATTTATATATATATATATATATATATATATTACGTTATTTTATTTACATTTTGCATCATCATCGTGGTTTATGGATGATTTAAATACAGTTAAGACATTTAACAATAATTTATTTGTATAAGCTTAGAATATTTGTATGATATTATTATACATTACAATAATCAAATGTTATCGCAAGAGGTGTATCAACAATGTAATTAAATTACAAAGCTGTTTTATATTGCTAAAATATGAATGTACCTTATTAAAAATTATATTATAATTATAAAAATGATTATACAGTTAAAAAAAATATAAAAAAAATCTTGGAAGACTAAATGGTACTTAAAAATCTATATGTATTAATTTTTTTATCATAATAGGTACGGAATAAGATTTTTACAAAAATACATAATGTAGTAATATGAATTTAGATTAAAAAGCAAAAATATATATTGGAATCTATTTGTGGAATAGAATTTTATGACATCATGCATGACATAAGGATAAATTATTTTTCACATATTGACCCAAGATTTTATAAAAATAAATTACATAAATAGAAATAAATTTCAATATTGAATAATTCATAGTGATCTAACATCAAGCATGTCTTCGACATATAAGCATTAGCATTAATTTTAAATGGCAAAATCTCTATGAAGATACATATTGGGAATTACAAAAGAAGGTAACAACTATACGGTTTGAATTCCATTGCATGTATCCTTTGTAAACACAATTTGCGATTTTGCTATTTATAGTTACTTTCTGCTATATTTTACTTATTGTTATTCTTTCCACTGTTGACCTGTCTTTCTCTTACAAAGAGTTGCATCCAACTGTTCGAGCCATGGCAGTAATAGCATAATTTTTCTTCTGTAATTTGGATCCTTTGCAATAGGATTATACTCTAGATACACAGTCTGTAATTTTTTGTTGGCTGTTAAATTCTCCAATGTGTTCCAATCTTCAATTTCATTATTATTCATCTGTAAATAACATAACAAATTTCAATTGTAATAATACACATTATAATCATAATAATAATTGTATAATACATATTTGCATTACCCACCCAAAATTCTTCCAAATTTTCAAGATGATCCATATTTTGAATTTTTTTAATTTTATTATTTGCTAGATCAAATGTTGTTAATCCTGGGCAATTTTCTATGCCTTCTATACATGTTATACCATTTTCAGATAAGTACAATTGATCCAATTTTTTTAATTCCTCGATATTCTCAATCTTTGTAATCCGATTACTTTGCAGACTTAATAAGGTGAGATTTTTCAAACTTTCCAGATTTTGAATTTTCGTGATTTTGTTTTTACCAAGATACAAATTAGTTAGCTTTTGAAAACCTTCTAAATTCTCAATTTCACGTATTTTGTTATCACCTAATTCCAGTGTTGTGAGATTTGCCAAATGCGAAACGTTCTCAATATGTAAAATCTTATTGGATGATAAAAATAGCTTCTGTAGATTTAATAAATTCTCCAATCCTTCTATCTTCTTAATACGATTAAATGATAAGTCCAAAAGTCTAAAATCCATATAAATGGCATAATTAGAAATATATATATATATATATATAAACTTTAAGTTATTAAAAGTATGTGCGCTTATATATATAATTAAAAATATAGATATGTATATATCATGCAGTGTTATAAACATACTCCAGATTCACAAGAGCGTCCAGATTTTCTATGCATGTAATTTGATTATCTCTCAGTTCTAATTCCACCAAAGTAGTAAGTGTATCAAGATTTTCTATTTTCTTTATAAGATTCCACGTGAAGCATAATCTGCGTATTTGTGTCAGAGGTTCTAGATTTTCTAATTTGGTTAATCTTGAATGATTGAAATCTAGTTCCTAAAATTAATATTACAGATTGATAACCTTTTGTTAAAGTATTCGTAATGTAAATATAATCTATTATTTTTAAAAATTTGAAAAAAAATTATAAAATTCTGCAAACAATTAGAAAAATAAAATATTTCATGAAAGTCACAAACTTCGCTATTAGGATCTATAATTAATATCTTCTCAGGCTCCTCAGAATCTTCTCTCTCGTTTTCGACCTCCATTTCGGCAGAACCTTCACTTTTGTCGTCTTCTAGAATAATTGGATCAAATCAAACATAACCTATAATCTCTTTACGATAGTATGTGTTTTTTTAACATACCATGATTAGCCATTATTGGAGAAACACGATGGGAGAAAATATAGGTAAAGGTTCAAAAATAATTGGCTGTTTGTTATTAATTACAATCACATGAAAATATAACAATTTTATATTAAATTTTTGTGCAACCAGCCGGTATCTTCGATAACGCACTAAAAAATGTTACAATAAACACTGCACTATATAAAACGGCGGAGAGCTAAATAAGCTCAAATTACACGGAGAAGAGAAAAACCTACACACATAAGAGCTCTCTAATAATATAAATAACAAATCAATCAAACACTGGAATGAAGTATGATGTCATATAAGAGTGCCAAGTGTCAGGCGTGTCAGGTGTACCTAAACGTCAAAAAAAGGCGCCAAATACGAATTCATCTGACGTTTGACAATGTAAACAAAAAAAAAAGAAAAAAAACATTTAATCTTACGAATAACGATATAACGAATAAGTAATAGATTTATTCGTGTGCCTGCAATTTCCAGAAACAAAACAAATATAATATTCAGACGTTGAAATGAGAAAGAAAAAAGTTCAAAATTTACGAACAAATGTAAACAACACGAACAGACTTATTATTTGCGGTTACACAAATTTGTCCAAATAAATATTTTTCAGGATTTTTCATAATTATAGGTAGGAAAGATCGATCTGTATTTTTGAATTTTATTTCCTCTTAATTGCTATTCTGTTTTAATGATATATATTTGCAAAAATGGAAATGAATAATTAATGGCTATTTTCTCATATTTTATACGCATAGATCACGTGACAAGATAGTGGAGTTTTCAATTGACAGATTAAAGCGGGGAACACACACTCTTGCATAAGCGCACAAGCATATGCATAAGAAATTTGATTGGTTGAATTTCTTATGCATATGTTTATAGACCAATCAAGATTCTCATGTTTACGCTTATGCGCCTATGCAAGAGTGTGTGCTCCCTGCTTAACAGCTGATTCAGAATAGAGGAGTTACACTGGATGATTATAAATCTGTGACTACATAAATCTGAATCAATAAATCTATCATTTTTATGTTTATATTCTCCAATTTTTATATTGCATTATAATGCATTTGTTTCCCTTTTCTAATTTCATTGTTAAAGTAAAATAGTAAACTTAAAAATAATAAGATTATACTGAACTTTTGAATAATTATAATATGATCAATTGTTATCATTACATGTTAATTAGACTATGTTAATTAGATGACTGGCACAAATTTAATTTCACATATACAATTGATAATATATACTAATATATACTAATAATTAAAGCATAAAAATAGACACTAAATATGATCATACATATATTATATTAGAAGAAGTCTTCTCTATATAAGTAATAAAAATCTTATATGTTAACTCTTTTTTTATAAAATTGAGATTTTATTGATATAACATAGACATGGCTCTGAAAGGAATAAAAGTTTTGGAATTAGCTGGACTTGCTCCAGGACCTTTTTGTGGAATGGTCTTAGCAGATTTTGGGGCATCTGTTATCAGAGTAGACAAGGTAAATAAATTAAAAAAAAGGAAACAGATTTTATTAAAATTCTACTAAAATATCCTAATATGTTAATTATAATACATATATATTAATATATGTATATATATATATATATATATATATATAAGAATAAATTAATATTATATTTTACATTATAATTTAAATGAAATTTTTAAGTTATAAGAGAATTTGTCATCTTATAATTATTTATATATTTTAATTTTTGTCATAGATTGGAGCTCCAACATTAGATTATTTGGGTCATGGAAAGAGATCCATAGCATTAAATTTGAAATCTGAAAAAGGGATTAATATTTTCAGAAAATTAAGTGACAAAAGTGACGTTATTATTGATACGTATAGAAAAGGTATAGAATATATGTATATTATTTAGCAATTTTAATCATCTTCAGAATAAAAGCTATTATGTTAATAAATAATTTTAATTTAAAGTAATATTTAATTTTGATTTTAAATATGTAAAATAAATTTATATCAATGTGTAATAATAAAGAACAAAATATTTAATTTGTGTACAAAATTATACATAGAATTTATGTAATATAGGTGTCATGGAAAAATTGAGGATTGGACCAAATGAACTTATGGCAACAAATAAAAGCTGATATATGCTAGATTAACTGGATATGGTCAAAATGGTTCTTATGCGGATATGGCTGGTCATGATATTAATTATTTAGGTTTATCTGGTAATATTAATATTATAATTTATTATAGTTATTTATGAAATAGTATAGATCTGTGTTTATATAAATACTCATATATTGTAATATTCCTTTGCAAATAGAATTTTTATTGTGTGAAAATGATATAAAAAAATTATTAACAGGACTACTATCTTTATTTGGTCGATATAATGAGAAACCTACACCACCCGTTAATCTGGCTGCTGATTTTGGTGGTGGTGGTTTAATGTGTGTTTTTGGAATAATTTTGGCACTATACGAACGAACTAAAAGTAATGTTGGACAAATAGTAGATGCGTCAATGGTAGAAGGAAGCGCATACTTAGGATCCTGGCTATTCAGATCTCAGAAGATGCCTGGTATATGGGGAAATCCACGTGGCAAAAATATGTAAATGCTTCCTTGGAATATATATAAATATGCTCTTGCCTTTCTATTTTTGAAAAATCTTATATTTTTTTTTCTCACAGATTAGATACAGGTTCACATTTCTATGATACATACGAAACGAAAGATAAGCTTTATATGTGTGTTGGAGCACTCGAACCACAGTTTTATGAAACTTTCATAGAGAAACTTGGTCTCTCCAGTGAGGAGATACCGCAATTTGAAAATTTTGAAGAGAATCGTCGCAAAATCGCAGAAATTTTCAAGAAAAAAACTCAGACAGAGTGGTGTAATATATTTGATGGTACTGATGCATGCGTTACACCAGTACTAAGTTTGAAAGATGCTGCGTCTCACAGTCACAATAAGCAGAGACAAACGTTCACAGTTATGGAAGATGATATAATCCCAAATCCTGCCCCTCGTTTATCTTATACACCCGGAATTTCTCAAGGAACTTGCAGAAATCCACAACCTGGTGAAGACACTATAGAAATCTTAACAGAATTGAAATTTCAACCTAAGGAAATTGACAATTTATTATTAAACGGATTTGCTTATCAGGCAAATTATACTTCTAAAATTTAAAATATAAAAGTGATTTTTATAATAAATACCCTATATAGTGTAGTAAACTATGTAAGTAAACAATTAAATAGAATGGAAAAAGGGAAGAAAAAATAAATAATATATCAAAGAGGATTTTTTTATTTCGATTTGTATATTTGTATTCGATGATTATTTGTTAAAATAAACAAAAAAAAAGATTGTACAGAAACTTTAAATCAAACAACATTTTACCTTTTTTTTACATTCACCACTATAGTCTATATTGAGTATAAATTCTACAGAGAACTTTTTTTTTATAGAGATTCTAGTGTAGAATTGCCAAAAATATATATATATTACAGGATCTCATCGAAATAATTCATCATAACATAAAAAAACTGCCAATTTGTTATAATTAATTAGAGCAGTTATAAACAAAAATGTACAACGAATAAAGAAAAACTATATAGGTCTATTAAAAACCCATCAATATTGTACTGGCAGTAATAGATGTTTCCCTTGGTGCGCTAGCTTGTCTTACGCTCATTTCCCATGTGTCTAACAGCTGGGAGAGTGAGAAACGACGTGGCAATTTTGCAACACGGGCATTCAGAGCCTTTTGTACAGCACATAGGAATGTTGTTGCCTCATATTCATGTGGGGCCATAACACAGCGAGGTGGCATTGAAGGATAATCCGCGGGGACTGTGACTGAGATCGGTGGTACACATGGGAGATGACGATCATCAAGCCAACATATCAATTGTATACATTTGGATCCATTTTGCTGCGCAGGATCTAGACTAACCTTAAATGAGAAAATTATATTATTAATAATTATTTATATGTAAACTTTTTTTTATTTAATTATTGCTTACAATAATTCGGGATAAAATTCTACATATATAATTGATACAAAATATTTTAGCTTAGATCAGACTATATGAATCATGTCTATAAAAAACATTAGGACATTTATATTTACAAATAAAATATGTGTAGCAGGCAGCAGACTTATTCGTCTTAAATAATTTTTAATCAAAAATAACGATTCGAGATAATAGATTGATAAAAAATAAACTAAAAGCAAAATTATTACATACTTTAAACCGTTGATCCAATCTAGCTATTTCTCCTTGTAATACATCTGGTATTTCACTAGGTGATTCTTCTACCTTTTGCTTCTTCAGTAGTGGTGGCAAGTTCCTATTTTCAAACATATAATGAAATATATAATATATTTTTGTTTAGATCATAAATTTATTACTAATAAAATGTTATATATATATATATATATATATATATATATATATATATATATATAAATGGACACATATATAGCTTATCTGTCATTTACACATTTAGACATTCACACTCATCTATACATATGCATATACATAACATATTTACTTTATCTCGGGTCCAAACAAGGCATCTAGGCATGGTCCAAAGGTACGCTGCAATGTGTGATTGATTACTGGACTCTGAAGATGTGTGCTTACAGCTTCTAATAATGGACTAAAGATTTGATGTTCTTTCAATGTTGTTACCGGTGGCCCCACGCTACCATCTCCTCTTTTAAAGTCCAACTTTTCTAAGACAACTTCACATTTCAGCAATGTATCTAGTGGCATACGCTTACTCGGATTTGATAGAATTTCCAAAAGTTTCTTCATCTTGCTAAGTTTATCAACATCTGCAGCAAAGAATGGACGTAGTGTAAATATAAATATTAATTATATAAATATTAATAATAACTTGAAATAAGATTAGCTATAAATATTAATGCTGTTTATATATGAAAATTATTGAAAAAGAATATTAAAAAGGCATATTATTATAAAATATTTATAATAAATATTAATCATTTTTTTCTTTGTTGAAAATTTCCATCAAGAAAATAATCCTATTATCTTGTGTTGATATTTGTAATGTTAAAACTATATAACTCTAAAAAACTAAATTTAAAAAAATTGAACAAAACAATTTTATTTAGAACTAAAAAGTTTGTTTTTATATACAAATTAAAATATACTAAAAAATTACAAATATAACACAAATTAAAATTATATTAAATAAAATTTTTAATATATGCATATATGTATATATGTGTATCCTTACTTCCTTCACTGCTCATCTTGGAAATCATTCTTCGTAATGGTTCTATATATTTGCTCAACTGTCTAACTTTATCCCTGTACGCTTGATCTTCTTGCTGAGGACTCGGTGTGGCACCTACACCTCCGGGAGTATTTAATGAACTGCTTGGAGATGGTGCCATGCCTGATTTAAAGTATTATGATTTACATTCCAATATATATATATATATATATATATTCTCTAGCTTTATAAATCCTAAATTATATTTGAACTTACCTACAGAATTTACAGAACGCGATGGGCCTGTCATGATAGCATGCTGAGGGCTTGGTGATGGCACTAAAGCGGGTGAGGCTACCATCTGATTGCTATGAAAATATTTTTCATCTTGTTGAGATATGCTCGTTAAAAATTATCAGGAGACGCGGTAGCGTCTCGCTAAGTTATATCTTTTATTCGTCAAATTAAAATACAATCTACAAAAAAACAAAAAAAAATTTATATACGTTATCATATTACCTTGACGGTGCTCCTAAACCAGCTGGACTTGGAGCCGAAGGAGATGGACTTTGCCTTAAGAATTGATTAGGCGTAACATTACGTGGACCAGGGAATCCAGTATTCATCATTTCATTCGGCTAATAAAATAACAATGATATAAATAAGATATTATCAATGAAAAATTAAAGAATTAAAGTAATAAGTATTCCATGTACTTTTCTTTGAATATGATTCAATTGCTGTTGCATCTGTCCAGGACCCAATTGTCCAGGAATCTGATTCATTTGTTGCGGCATGCTCGTTTGTATGTTACCTATTGGACCCGTGATTTGGTTATTCATTTGACCTGGTAGTTGATTCTGCATTTGAGACTATGACAAAGAATACAAGAATATAAAATATTCATTTCTTCTAAACTTTTTTTATATATATGTATATATAGAAAGAGAAAAAGATATAATTTTTACTATAATAAATCTAAAAATTTATTACTTATATATGGATGTATACCTGCATATTCTGTTGCATTTGTCCAGCAGACAGTTGACCCATCTGCCCAGGTACCATTTGATTCATTTGAGGAATATTTCCTTGTCCCATTTGATTCATTTGAGTTAACATAGGATTGTTTTGCATGGTTTGAATTGGACCCATATGATTCATTGGACCACCAGTTTGTGATGGCATCATACCCATACCTGGCATTTTATTCTGCATGCCAGGCATATTCATTGGTTGACCAGGTCGTTGATTTAAACTTTGCAAGACTAACAAGGAAATGCATAAGATCTCAAGGATTATTTATCATTTAGCAGTATATTTTCAATATATTTCACAAGTAAATGTATGTATATTTAAAAAACTTAAAGGTAGGTATATTATAATAATATTGTGTATAATAAAAAAAATATGAATATCTAAAAAATGTACTACAAATCAAAAAGTTGTATTCAATAATTACATCAATTAACTGCAAATCAATTTATTCTATCCATTAGTAATAGAAAATAAAAAAATTAATAATGTAAATATAGGAAAATCTTAGAAACAAACTCATAATTAAATTTATGGTAATAATCTATAACAACAATTCTTTAAATTGTGCTTTCGGAATTTTCTCGTTCACTACAATTTTCTTCCTTCATAAATTTGTCAAATGCCACCTCTAAAGGAAAATTGTAAAAATTTTTCAACTTAAATCCTAATTTATAAATATTTTCTTTTGTATCTTTTGATGCTTGAATGTATATATACTTGTAAACGACATTGCAAATTTGAACATTTTCATTTAACGTCAGTTTTACGACAATCGTGTCTCTGATGTTTAATTTTCGTATATCGCTTGGCCATACGTTCTCTGTAAATATTAATTTTATTTCTGTAATAACGTTAGAATTAATGGAGAACTGCATATCCTTGTAACTTCTTCTCGCATTGTACATGAATCGGTGTACAGTGATGAAGCGATGCATGTAAGTATCTATCGAACGTTGTATTTTGTCAATTATATCCAATATTTTTTCAGATATAGGGTGATATGTGCCGAATTTCAGTTTGTCTTTGAGATCGATCACCTCTGGTACAAAAGAGTAGCCTTGACTGATGTACCATTTACGTGCAAAACTACAATACACGAGTATTATCTTAAATTTAAATCTCTCTGCACCAAATACTTCGTAGTTCCCTTTGTACGTGAATATGTACCTTACAAATTTTTCGCCCGATTGCACTACTACATCTTTCATTCTTCTTTGATATGTTTGCACCAAGTTACGTCGCTGTATTAACCACTTTTTATATAACGATTCCTCCCTATTTCTCTGCTGCATATAGTTCAATTGACAACTATCTATTTGTCCATTATCTGAATAAGCACTTTCTCGGTCATTCACGGATTGCGCGTAAGATATATTATCTTGCTCCATTTGTTGAAATTATATATCCGTACAATGCGTTTCTTCTTTAAATATAGTAACGCGATGTTTTTTTTTCGAAATTTTGTAACTGCTAATTACTTAATGTCTGTCATATTTAACTATTATTAACAGCTAGTTACGTTTCAAAATACGCTTTAGTTAAAGGGCTTTTCAAGGTCAAGTTTATCATAATATTTACTGGTAAAGGCACATTAAAATTTACATCTCATCTCAGTTAAGTAAACTCACTCTTCTTGAATAAAAAAAATCGTCAATTATCATATTTATAATTATTGATACAAAAGCCTGCTAAACAGTGTGATTAATATAAGAAATTTTTAATTATAATTTAATATGTTATAACCCATGCGCAAGCCCCACAAAACACGTTTTATTATTATATTTATTTATCTACAATTTACTATGTTTAAGATATATTATCTGTCATCTATTATGTTATAATACTTTGTATTTACGACAATATCAATTGTTAAATTATTTTGTCAACATAATAAAATCAATTTGTTGATCAAAAATAGAGTAAAAATATACAAATTATTTATATAATTTTAATATTCTGAGATCAAATTGTTTTGATACACAATTTTTAAATTATATATATATATATATATTAATTACTTACGATTAGATGCAGTGTTTGCAGTTGGTTGTTGAATTATGCCCTGATGATTAGGACCCGGACCTCCCATACCCATCATTTGATTATTTCCTGTTCCTTGACGCGCCAATGTCTGTAGAGCGTTGATTGGATCCGGCATGCCTTGATTGTTAGTGCCAGCATTACCTGGTGCATTACCAGTTGCGCCTTTTTTAGAATCTATAAAGAAAAATATAACATTTTACTAAATTAATATATATAAAACTGTCACAAAAATAAGACTAATTTTTTTAAATGCTAATATAACAACACTAAACATTAATAGCATAATGTAAATTATCTCTTAAATTTTTTTAAACAATATTTTATGTCAAAGATATTAATAACAATTAACAGTCTAATATAATTTAATAAGTAATTAAACAACTTTTAGGTATAATTGACATACACATTTTTAATATTTAGCAAAAGATTTATTTATATATATATTTAATGTTAACACAACTATATTAAAAATAATCTCATTACTCTTATGATAAATCTTGAATATTACCATGAAATAAGAAATTAGTATAATTTAAGAAGTATTACTCATTTCTCTGACATGAAGAATTAATCTGGCAACAAAGCCCAAGTATTCCTCCTACAAAAAAAAAAATATATTAGAAAAAATGTTAGAAAACTTGCTAGACAGCAATAAACAGAAATAATGATGATACAATTTACTGATAATGGATTAATTATAGGTGAAATACTTTTAAGACATTGATTGTTATAACATTTTATAATATCTATTAAATCTTACTGTGACTAAAAAACTTTTAAATTAATATTACTAAAAAAATAAACTAAGAAAAAATAGGTTGCAAAAAATATAATTTAATTTTACAGAAGTAAAATAAGACAATATAAAAATAGGACAATATATTCAAGATTATTCAAGTCATAATTTTAGACAAACCTTAGATTTTGCCTTCTGATAGACATGATTTTCCATTTCAATGCTATTTTTCGATGTAGGCATTCCTGACATCTGTATAGCTTCATCTCTGTCAATAAAAGTTTACAATTACATAACATACAAAAAAATAAATCATTTCTTTTAGCAGTAATACATGTTATAAAGCAATAAAAAAAAAACAAAAATAATTAGAAAAATTAGAAAAAAATAGAAAGGATAGTTAAAATCAAATTTGTTATAATTTTAAGTTTAATCATAAAATTAATATAATGTTTCACATATGCAGGGTGTATCTGAATGGTCTGTATAAACTTTGGGAATATGTTTTAGGGACAAAACAAGCAGAAAATGTCATACAAACATAGGGTCAAAACACTTATATAGAGGCTTATATGACGGTTCAAGCACAGACTTTCTTGGAATCAAGCAAAGGCCAATTTGAGCATTTGGTATAGCAAGTAACAAGACATTAGTACTGTTATATCTGTAGAAATAAATATAAATACAATTTACAACTCCTATATAATTTAATGTGATAATTTCTTGTATTGCAAGAAAACTTCCATCCATCATAACTCTAGAAAAAAGCATTTATGACCTCATGTTTATAAGACATATTTTGCTTATTTCGATCCCTGAACATATCTTGAAAGTTTGTACAAACCATTCAGAGACATCCTGTAAATACATAAGAGCACATATAGATATAAACACATATAAATATAACGTTCTACGAACAAAAAATATATATATCAAATAAATTTATGTTGAAAATTTTAATCAATAATGATGCCCCTTTTGACCATAGCCAAACTATAGTCAAAGATTACCCTTTTCATCCTCCTCAAATGTTTTCTTCTTTTACAATATATTACATGCGAATTGACTTACATTTTCGCGATTACGCTCTGTCGAAAGCTCTGCGTCTTCCATGAATCATCTCCAGGCATAGTTTGCGCCATAATTATTAATAAATAATTAAAACTTGTTTACGATTATTCACATTAATCCTGTGAATGTTCATACATATACATTACACGTAACACCATAGGCTAAAAAAACACAATTGATAGAAAACTTGACAGTTGGAGAATGATCAAACCGAGCAAAGTCGTTCCGAAAAATAAACTGTAGCACACGAACGTGATTGGTTCTTAATTTTATAACCAACAAATCAACGTGGAATGTTGATAAGACGACAACTGATTGGTTTGAACACGGCCATATTTGACGATAGATTTTCGAACGCAATCTCGGAGAATTCTATGTAAAATGGAGAATATTGGGTCTTGTTTGATAACTGTGTGGTTTGATAGTGCAAAGTTGTAATAAGATCAAATAAATTTAAATTATTTAATTAGATTGTGATCCATGTAAATAAACTTCGTATTAATTTATTTAAAGATTGTATATTTTGACTTGAAATTATTAGTTCGATTCCATTAGGCATTGGTTATATCTCTACCACTTCTACTATGCCATTATTATTGTCTTCTACACAGGTTCCATAAGATTCATAATTTTGTTCGGTTTTTCTTAAAATGTGTGTACTGGGTTATATTAGATATCATTAATAACAGTATTCTATTTTAATGAAGAATTCAGATAAGATTTTTTTAAATCTTACTATGAAGATTTAGAAAGCATTTACAATTTCTTAATGATAATGTAGTTATACATTTTATGATAACTACAGACAATTATTTATGAATATTGTTCTTTTGCATAGTATAAAATATATATTCAAATATGTACAGGGACATGTCAAAAAAGAAAAGAAAAGATTTAATCTCTAAGCATAAAATATTCTAAAATTAATAATTTGTGATTTCTGCTAGAACTTATTCAATAAATTGTTAAATATATATTTAATTTTTGTATATTATGATTACAGCAATAAATTTCACTTTGCATCATATTATCACTAATGAATCCAACCCGATCAACCAATGTTCGGCGATATGAGGAATCAAGATCTGCTCGTAATGAAGACCATGATGTTTATTCAATTTTACGTTCAAGGACCGAAGAAGAAAAACAAAGACGTAGACGTGAATGGCAACGTCAACAAGAACGAGAAAGGCAACATGAAAAATTAAAACAAGAAAAGATTAGAGAGTATGAGTTGAAACGTGCAAAAGCTTTAGGATATGCTAAACATAAATTTATAGAGAACTAGATAAAATGAAAAAAGTTACAATATGGTATAAACTATTAATATTTATAACAGCATTCTAAATTTCATAAATTTGAAATGATTTGAGTAATGCATGTACATTATTCATTATATTAACAAATAATCAGATGGTTGAGATCATACTTTTAATATCATAAAAATGCATATTTGATTAGCAAAAGAACAAGAAAAATAAAATTGTATAAAATGAAAACAAGATGTAATTTTTGAAGGCATATTTAGGAATAGAAATGTCCTCCTGAGATCTTTTCTCGAAAAGATCTGGTTAATGCAAAAGTTTGTTTATTATAATTAATTTAATACATTATGATTGAATTTTTCTTTAGATTAGATGGGTCTACAAGTGGGTCACTACCTTTGTTTAAAGGTCCTGAGGGTATACAGATTAGTACTACGGAACTACGTCGAATTAAAGTTGATATTCACAGGAATATTCCTACAAAAGGACCTATTGTTACTGAACTACAACGAAGTATACTTAATGCCGAAGATGTAGTCCTCAAGAGAAGAGATGGTAAAATATTGATTTTTTTTTTTTCAATTATACAGTATTCTAAATTTTTTTGCAGAGATGATTATGTTGCACTGAAGATATCTACTTCTTGAAGAAACTTTGAATACTTAGTATATTGTGATTTATTTTTTACTAAAAAATTTAAGAAGATTTTTTTATATGTAGAATTTAGAACTCAGGAAATTGTTTAAATAAATTTCCTTGATAACTTTGTTATTATTATTATAGTTGATTTTTATCAGAAAATTTTTATAAAAGATTATTGAACTACAATGAAGTATACTTCATGCCGAAAATGCATTCTTAATTTGAAGAGATGATAAAATATTGACTTCTTTGAAAATTGTTACATTTCTTCTGAATTTTAATTTTTTGTAGAAATTGTCATTCAGCATGTCTGTTTTTTGAAACTTAGAAAATTTAGTATTTTTGAGGAATTTCTTTTTTTCTTATCTAAAATGTTAGAGATTTCTTTAATAGAATTTTAGTAGATATTCTAGTATTATAATTTGTAAATAATTTGAGAATTAAGTCATAGCCAAGTCTGAACTAAAATCTTTATTAAAATATTGACGATAAGTTTTTATTACATTATATAAAAGTTTTATTATATGTTTGATCAATGGATTTATTTTTATAAACAAATTACTATATATATAAAATCAGTGGTAAGCTCCAAAAAGATAACCACGAATAGGAATGATCGTTTTTGACAAAACAATGATACATATGATTCAGCGTAGGAAGAATTGAGAGAGATTCCAACTCGGAAGAGAAAGGCTATAAACTTCAATAAGAAAATTAAGATAACTGATAATAAGGAAAGCAAGAATAGATCAAAAATATTAAAACAAATACAGAAATGTTCACTTATTGAGACTTGTTAATATTATAATTGATTAATACATTAAATTAAAATATATAGTTTTTTAAAGATGATTTTTCTCATATATATAAAAATTAAACACATTGTAACTCTTATGAAATGTAGAAAATAATATATAATGATATATCTTTTTTATGATTAATTTTCATATATTTAAATATTTGGATTTTTAATCACCATGCATTTATTGATCTTATTGAAATTTTATAATAACATGTGTATATATATATTTAAAGTAGTTAAATAATCAGTGATTACTCAGGATTTCATCGTGAAGATAAAAGATGAAAATATGTGTAAGCATACATGCATTATAACAAAAAATAGAAAAATAGGAACACTTAAAGTATGTTGCAAACTTCATGCATTTTTATATTGTTTAATCGATCAACATAAATCGAAAAATGTATTGCTAAGTACAAATATTTTCTTGATTACTTTATATTAGAAGATATGCACTTTTTTGAAAAGTAATTGGAATAATATATTATTATTATTTCTAACTGAAAATTTTACTCTTCATATAATTATTATTCAGTCAAATTAGTATAATTTGTGCATATAGCAAAATATAAAAGTTATAAAAATGTGTCATTAGAAATATAATGTATTTATAATATATTTTAATCATTTTTAATTAAAATATAATTGATGTAGTTATCCTTTCCGAAGATATTTTATAATACTCTTTCATATCTCATTTAATTAATCTAATATAAATAGCATATAGCAATTATAAAATAATTTTAATCAGATTTTATCGAAGATCTGATTTTATATATTGGATTATTGCATAGAAAATGTTGTTCAAAAGTTTATGCTTTATAGAATGTATAAAGTAAATGTTTTTTCGATAATCGATTATTACATTAAAATTATGCAAATATAAATTTGAAAGATGACAAAGTCATACAATTTTCAAATAATTGTTAATGAATATAGAAATTCAAATAATCAATTTCTTTAAATTTTTACAGTTATTTATATTTTTCTTTATAAATAAAGACAAATCTGAAATAAAAACAGTATTTTATCTGCAATAATCCAATAATTTAGTAAACATAATTGTTATTTTTATTAAAAAAATGTTTACAATTTTTAATTATTTGATTTTTATAAAAAGTGTGAATCTTTATTGTGCATATATATAAGTAATTCATATTTCATTATTTTAATATGACAGGCAAGAAAAATGTCATAATTTTTGTAAAAATTTTAACGAAATTCTATTAATGATATAAGAAACATCATATCAGTGCACTTTATTTTTTACTGCTTTTTATTTAAATCTTCTTTTATATTTATTTTTAAAATATTGAATATTTAAGATTGAAATCGCACATAAGATATTTTACTTGCTTGCAATTATATTTACAAATACTAAATTTGTGCTAAAATAGCAAATATCTTTATCATCGTTTAAAACATAATATTCGTAAATATTGCTGATCTTACAATATTAACTGAAAATAATGAACAGAACAATTTATAAGCAAAATTATCGCCTAATTTGGATTTGAAAGAAATAAAATTATTAGCTAAATTTTTTCACTTGATGCATATAAAAATTGTATCATTAAAAGGTGTAATTAAACTATATAGGAGAAGGAACTAAACCAATATTCGACCGAGAAGAAATAAAAAAAGCTGTAACCAAAACTAATGAAGTAGAGGAGCGTCGTACGGTTGTAGCTGTAGATGGGGAGCAGTCAGGTATTATAGAAATAATTGTTGAATTATTTAAATTTAAAATTTTGTTTTAATGTAACTAGTAATTACTGAATTTGTAAAATTACGTTTAATTTCTCTCAAAATATTCTAAACTCTAAAAAAATTAATCGGATTTCTATGTGTGCGTATATATGTATATGATGTACTAAATTAACTAAATTATGGATGAAAATTTTATTTATAAATATCTTTATTTGTGATTTCAGCAAAATAATACTTTTGTGTATCGATAAACAAATTAATGAACTATTTATGAAAAATTATAATACTTTCACAATTACAGTTTTGAGTAAGCCGCAAACTTCTAAAAAACGTTCGTCGAGTCCTACTTATAGTCCCGGATATCTATCTTCCCATCAATCCAGGTTTGTTTAATTCTCAACTGCATTCGCTTCATTAAAACATTAAAACATTTTTAACATTCTTCTTTTCCCATCTTAGGTATCGTACGGATTTAAAACGTCAAGATAACAGGACAGAATTCCGTGATCATCAAAATAACGGGTAAAGCATCATTATTTATGTATCATTATGTATTTATAGATTGAAGAAGTATCTAACTTTGCATTTATATTATAGCAATAATATTTTTAAATAACGTTAAAGCAATGTTATATAATCAAACCAATGTTATATATGATTAAAAGAAACTAATTCATAATATATTTAGATTTCTGAGAAAGTTTAATATATATATTTTAAATTAGATTTCTATGTTTCAGAAGAAGTAGCATAGAGAGGCACAGAGAATATAAAGAGAAATATGCAGAAAGAGATGCACATAAATACAATACTAATCGATCACGTTCTAGAGAACGGGATTCAGGCAAATCACATTCCAGGTACCGATATTTGTTATTATTAACAATTTGGCATTTTTATTATATTAATTTAAATTATCATTATTATTAGCATTTAAGATATTCAACGCTAAATATATTATTAAAATTGCACTAATTGATTTACTTGCAAGAAAGGCGAGCAAAAAAGATACTATTTTTTATTAGAAAATACCTTAAATAGTATTAATTTTTATTGTAATTATTGTTACGATTTTTTATTGAGAATATTATTATATTTATTACTATTATTACAGATCGATGATGGAAGAAAGATCTTATCGTGACAGATATCGTGACAGATCAAGCGAACATTCTCGTGAAAAAAGAGATAGAGATAAAGATAGAGATAGAGATAGAGATAGAAATAGAGATAGATCGAAAGAACATTCTCGTGAAAGAAGAGATAGAGATAGAGATAAAGATAGAGATAGAGATAGAGATAGAGATAGAGATAGATCGAAAGAACATTCTCGTGAAAGAAGAGATAGAGATAGAGATAAAGATAGAGATAGAGATAGAGATAGATCGAAAGAACATTCTCGTGAAAGAAGAGATAGAGATAGAGATAGAGATAGAGATAGATCGAAAGAACATTCTCTTGAAAGAAGAGATAGAGATAGAGATAGAGATAGATCGAAAGAACATTCTCGTAAAAGAAGAGATAGAGATAGAGATAGATTGAAAGAACATTCTCGTGAAAGAAGAGATAGAGATAAAGATAGAGATAGAGATAAAGATAGAGATAGAGATAGAGATAGAGATAGAGATAGATCGAAAGAACATTCTCGTGAAAGAAGAGATAGAGATAAAGATAGAGATAGAGATAGAGATAGAGATAGAGATAGAGATAGATCAAAAGAACGAAGAGATGTAACACCACATTATCTCGAACCTCCAATACACGTGCCTATCTATTATGTAAGTTAAATATAAAAATTCATATAAATCTTAATTTTGATCTTGCAAATTTCTATATGATTGAATTTTTCTTAACAATTTCCAGAATCTGCCTCCGAGACCAATTGTAGTAGGCCCTATGGTTCCATTTAGAGGACAGGTTCCTCCTATGGGAAGAGGTCGACATGTAATGGCACCAGTTAGACCATTTCCTCCACGATTTATTCCTCCGGATTTGTACAGATTAGGACCTCCACCCCCAAATCCACGTAAATATAAATATATGAATAATATATAATGTTTATTGTGTTTGATATGTATTTATCTATAATATGGTATAAAATTTTACAGGATATGGACCATTTTAAGACAATAAAATAATCTTTATGTTCATATTATAACTATAACTAGTTAATTAATATGGAATTGGTGAAAAGAAATTATTCTAATCAATCTTACTAATTTCAAGATTGTAAGATTGAGCAAACAAGAAACAAAAACATTAAATCTTAACAAGTTAAGCTCTAATCAGATAGGATATTTTATCAAGTTTGTATAAGATTAGAAAATATCATTTTGAATATGAATTACTAATAATTTTTCAAAAATTAACATTTTCGTAGAGGAAATCTGTATCATAAAAATAAACAAGTTATTGATGTTACTGTATCTTTTGATTTAAGTGATTATTCAAAAAATTTTTATTTATTGAAAAAAGGTAGGACAAACATCAATATAAAATATACACACACATTAAATTAATATATCAATGTTTATTCTTCTTTCAAATTTTTGCATGATAATTGTGCATGTATATGTATTTATATATATATATATATATATATATATATATATATATATATATATATATATAATATAAAAGTATAAATCTAAAATAAAAATATCTTCTTTTTGTAATGTTATAATATAGAAGAATCTCTATATGTTAGAATTATTCTTTTATACATATATTCTGATCTATATTATATTAACATTATGTGCACTCTGTAAACATAATGCAATATAAAATATATTATTAATGAAAAAGAATTTTATTTTCTTTACAGATATTTTTGTGACTCATTTTTATTCATTTATTTATATAACGATTCCTCCCTATTTCTCTGCTGCATATAGTTCAATTCACAACTATCTATTTATCCATTATCTGAATAAGCACTTTCTCGGTCATTCACGGATTGCGCGTAAGATATATTATCTTGCTCCATTTGTTGAAATTATATATCCGTACAATGCGTTTCTTCTTTAAATATAGTAACGCGATGTTTTTTTTCGAAATTTTGTAACTGCTTAATTACTTAATGTCTGTCATATTTAACTATTACTAACAGCTAGTGACGTTTCAAAATACGCTTTAGTTAAAGGGCTTTTCAAGGTCAAGTTTATCATATTTACTGGTATAGCCACATTAAAATTTACATCTCAGTTAAGTAAACTCACTCTTCTTGAATAAAAAAATCGTCAATTATCATATTTATAATTATTGATACAAAAGTCTGCTAAAGAGTGTGATTAATATAAGAAATTTTTAATTATAATTTAATATGTTATAACATGTGCAAGCCCCACAAAACACGTTTTATTATTACATTTATTTATCTACAATTTACTATGTTTAAGATATATTATCTGTCTAATGTTATAATACTCTGTATTTACGACAATATCAATTGTTAAATTATTTTATCAACATAAAAAAATCAATTTGTTGATCAAATAGAGTAAAAATATACCTGGTGCATTACCAGTTGTGCCTTTTTTAGAATCTATAGAAAAAAAAATGGAATTTTACTAAATTAATTTAGTATTATATATAAAACAGTCACAAAAATAAGACTGATTTTTTTAAATGCTAATATAACAACACTAAACATTAATAGCATAATGTAAATTATCTCTTAAATTTTTTTAAACAATATTTATGTCAAAGATATTAATAACAATTAACAGTCTAATATAATTTAATAAGTAATTAAACAACTTTTAGGTATAATTGACATACACATTTTTAATATTTAGCAAAAGATTTATTTATGTATATATTTAATATTAAAACAACTATATTAAAAATAGTTTCATTACTCTTATAATAAATCTTGAATATTACCATAAATTTAAAATTAGTATAATTTAAGAAGTATTACTCATTTCTCTGACATGACCAATTACTCTGGCAACAAAGCCCAAGTATTCCTCCTACAAAAAAAAAAATATATTACAAAAAATGTTAGAAAACTTGCTAGAAAGCAATAAACAAAAATAATGATGATACAATTTACTAATAATAAATTAATTATAGGTGATATACTTTTAAGACATTGATTGTTATAACATTTATAATATCTATTAAATCTTACTGTGACTAAAAAGATTTTAAATTAATATTACTAAAAAAAATTAACTAAGAAAAAATAGCTTGCAAAAAATATATAATTTAATTTTACAGAGGTAAAATAAAACAATATAAAAATAGGACAATATATTCAAGATTATTCGAATCATAATTTTAGACAAACCTTAGATTTTGCCTTCTGATAGAGATGATTTTCTATTTCAATGCTATTTTTCGGTGTAGGCATTCCTGACATCTGTATAGCTTCATCTGTGTCAATAAAAGTTTACAATTACATAACATACAAAAAAATAAATCATTTCTTTTAGCAGTAATACATGTTATAAAGCAATAAAAAAAAACAAATAATTAGAAAAATTAGAAAAAAAATAGAAAGGATAGTTAAAATCAAATTTGTTATAATTTTAAGTTTAATCATAAAATTAATATAATGTTTCACATATGCAGGGTGTATCTGAATGGTCTGCATAAACTTTGGGAATACATTTTAGGGACAAAACAAGCAGAAAATGTCATACGAACATAGGGTCAAAACGCTTATATAGAGGCTTATATGACGGTTCAGGCACAGACTTTCTTGGAATCAAGCAAAGGCCAATTTGAGCATTTGGTATAGCACGTAACACGACATTAGTACTGTTATATCTGTAGAAATAAATATAAATACAATTTACAACTCCTATATAATTTAATGTAATAATTTCTTGTATTGCAAGAAAACTTCAAACCATCATAACTCTAGAAAAAAGCATTTTTGACCCCATGTTTATAAGACATATTTTGTTTATTTCGGTCCCTGAACATGTCTTGAAAGTTTGTACAAACCATTCAGAGACATCCTGTAAATACATAAGAGCACACATAAGTATAGACACATATAAATAAAATGTTCTACGAACAAAAAATATATTAAACAAATAAATTTAAGTTGAAAATTTTAATCGATAATGATACCCCCTTTGACCGTAGCTAAACTATAGTCAAAGGTTATCCTTTTCATCTTCCTCAAATGTTTTCTTCTTTTATAATATATTAGATGCGAATTGACTTACATTTTCGCGATTAGGCTCTGTCGAAAGCTCTGCGTCTTCCATGAATCATCCCCAGGCATGGTTTGCGCCATAATTATTAATAAATAATTAAAACTTGTTTACGATTATTCACATTAATCCTGTGAATGTTCATACATATACATTACATGTAACACCATAGGCTAAAAAAACACAATTGATAGAAAACTTGACAGTTGGAGAATGATCAAACCGAGCAAAGTCGTTCCGAAAAATAAACTGTAGCACACGAACGTGATTGGTTCTTAATTTTATAACCAACAAATCAACGTGGAATGTTGATAAGACGACAACTGATTGGTTTGAACACGGCCATATTTGACGATAGATTTTCGAACGCAATCTCGGAGAATTCTATGTAAAATGGAGAATATTTGGTTCTTGTTTGATAACTGTGTGGTTTGATAGTGCAAAGTTGTAATAAGATCAAATAAATTTAAATTATTTAATTAGATTGTGATCCATGTAAATAAACTTCGTATTAATTTATTTAAAGATTGTATATTTTGACTTAAAATTATTAGTTCGATTCCATTAGGCATTGGTTATATCTCTACCACTTCTACTATGCCATTATTATTGTCTTCTACACAGGTTCCATAAGATTCATAATTTTGTTCGGTTTTTCTTAAAATGTGTGTACTGGGTTATATTAGATATCATTAATAACAGTATTCTATTTTAATAAAGAATTCAGATAAGATGTTTTTAAATCTTATTATGAAGATTAAGAAAGCATTTACAATTTCTTAATGATAATGTAGTTATACATTTTATGATAACTACAGACAATTATTTATGAATATTGTTCTTTTGCATAGTGTAAAATATATATTCAAATATGTACAGGGACATGTCAAAAAAGAAAAGAAAAGATTTAATCTCTAAGCATAAAATATTCTAAAGTTAATAATTTGTGATTTCTGCTAGAACTTATTCAATAAATTGTTAAATATATATTTAATTTTTGTATATTATGATTACAGCAATAAATTTCACTTTGCATCATATTATCACTAATGAATCCAACCCGATCAACCAATGTTCGGCGATATGAGGAATCAAGATCTGCTCGTAATGAAGACCATGATGTTCATTCAATTTTACGTTCAAGGACCGAAGAAGAAAAACAAAGACGTAGACGTGAATGGCAACGTCAACAAGAACGAGAAAGGCAACATGAAAAATTAAAACAAGAAAAGATTAAAGAGTATGAGTTGAAACGTGCAAAAGCTTTAGGATATGCTGAACATAAATTTTCACATCGTAGTCGAAGCAAAAGTGGTAGTAAATCTCCTCCACACTACCAGCATAGAGGAAGATCTGCAACAATTACTTCCAAACCTAGTACACTGTTTGAAAAGTAAGTTCTGAACATATGTTTGGCTGTACATGTATATACATCTTTTTTTATTTAAACATTTACCTATGTCTTATAAAGTAAAGTATTTATAGATGGGTAAGAAATTTGTCAAATCCATGTTTGGAAATCACTTTAATAAAGCAGAAAAAATATAATACAAATAACAAATAATAGAGAACTAGATAAAATGAAAAAAGTTACAATATGGTATAAACTATTAATATTTATTACAGCATTCTAAATTTTATCATAAATTTGAAATGATTTGAGTAATGCATGTACATTATTTATTATATTAACAAATAGTTAGATGGTTGAGATCATACTTTTAATATCATAAAAATGCATATTTGATTAGCAAAAGAACAAGAAAAATAAAATTGTATAAAATAAAAACAAGATGTAATTTTTGAAGGCATATTTAGGAATAGAAATGTCCTCCTAAGATCTTTTCTCGAAAAGATCTGGTTAATGCAAAAGTTTGTTTATTATAATTAATTTAATACATTATGATTGAATTTTTCTTTAGATTAGATGGGTCTACAAGTGGGTCACTACCTTTGTTTAAAGGTCCTGAGGGTATACAGATTAGTACTACGGAACTACGTCGAATTAAAGTTGATATTCACAGGAATATTCCTACAAAAGGACCTATTGTTACTGAACTACAACGAAGTATACTTAATGCCGAAGATGTAGTCCTCAAGAGAAGAGATGGTAAAATATTGATTTTTTTTTTTCAATTATACAGTATTCTAAATTTTTTTGCAGAGATGATTATGTTGCACTGAAGATATCTACTTCTTGAAGAAACTTTGAATACTTAGTATATTGTGATTTATTTTTTACTAAAAAATTTAAGAAGATTTTTTTATATGTAGAATTTAGAACTCAGGAAATTGTTTAAATAAATTTCCTTGATAACTTTGTTATTATTATTATAGTTGATTTTTATCAGAAAATTTTTATAAAAGATTATTGAACTACAATGAAGTATACTTCATGCCGAAAATGCATTCTTAATTTGAAGAGATGATAAAATATTGACTTCTTTGAAAATTGTTACATTTCTTCTGAATTTTAATTTTTTGTAGAAATTGTCATTCAGCATGTCTGTTTTTTGAAACTTAGAAAATTTAGTATTTTTGAGGAATTTCTTTTTTTCTTATCTAAAATGTTAGAGATTTCTTTAATAGAATTTTAGTAGATATTCTAGTATTATAATTTGTAAATAATTTGAGAATTAAGTCATAGCCAAGTCTGAACTAAAATCTTTATTAAAATATTGACGATAAGTTTTTATTACATTATATAAAAGTTTTATTATATGTTTGATCAATGGATTTATTTTTATAAACAAATTACTATATATATAAAATCAGTGGTAAGCTCCAAAAAGATAACCACGAATAGGAATGATCGTTTTTGACAAAACAATGATACATATGATTCAGCGTAGGAAGAATTGAGAGAGATTCCAACTCGGAAGAGAAAGGCTATAAACTTCAATAAGAAAATTAAGATAACTGATAATAAGGAAAGCAAGAATAGATCAAAAATATTAAAACAAATACAGAAATGTTCACTTATTGAGACTTGTTAATATTATAATTGATTAATACATTAAATTAAAATATATAGTTTTTTAAAGATGATTTTTCTCATATATATAAAAATTAAACACATTGTAACTCTTATGAAATGTAGAAAATAATATATAATGATATATCTTTTTTATGATTAATTTTCATATATTTAAATATTTGGATTTTTAATCACCATGCATTTATTGATCTTATTGAAATTTTATAATAACATGTGTATATATATATTTAAAGTAGTTAAATAATCAGTGATTACTCAGGATTTCATCGTGAAGATAAAAGATGAAAATATGTGTAAGCATACATGCATTATAACAAAAAATAGAAAAATAGGAACACTTAAAGTATGTTGCAAACTTCATGCATTTTTATATTGTTTAATCGATCAACATAAATCGAAAAATGTATTGCTAAGTACAAATATTTTCTTGATTACTTTATATTAGAAGATATGCACTTTTTTGAAAAGTAATTGGAATAATATATTATTATTATTTCTAACTGAAAATTTTACTCTTCATATAATTATTATTCAGTCAAATTAGTATAATTTGTGCATATAGCAAAATATAAAAGTTATAAAAATGTGTCATTAGAAATATAATGTATTTATAATATATTTTAATCACATTTTTAATTAAAATAATCCATGATTATTGTAAATATAGAATATTTGTAGAGAAATTTCACTTTTGTTTTTTATAAAAACATCTTTTAATATTTAATACTTGTGTTACATTAAATGACACAATGAATCTTAGAACAAACGATGTATGAAAAGATAATTATATAAATAATTATACAATTTGTCTTTTAGCCATTATACTTAAAGACCAGTATATATATATTAATTGCTTATCATTGCTTCTCTTTACAGATATTACTAAATGTAGATGTAAAAAAGATGTGAAAAAGAATTAAATTAACGATCGAGAAAATTCTCAAGAATACCACAAAAAACAAATAAAGATGTTCGAAACAGGTATAAAAATGTCTTTTTTTTATCGCATCTTGTTTTTAAACTTGATTTGAACAGGAATGCAAAAAGTTCTTTTAATTATAACTATAATATAACTGAAATATAATTACATAAATATATATTAATAATTGTATTTATTACCACATTAAATGACATATTTAGATTTAGAAATAATGTTGTATAAAAAATTAATTATACATTTAACTTTTAATTATTATATTTAAAGACTTATATATATTAATTACATAATATTGGACAATATTTGTTTCAAGATTGTATGCTGAGCTAATTCTTTGTCATTGGGCTAAGAATAATTTAGATGGATTTAACAACAAATCATTGGAAGAGAGCAGATCAATTAACAGTGAAGATTCTTATTATAAATGGCAAAGACAAAGTCACTGGATTTGAAGAAAGTATATAACTATAGAATTAAAATATAATCACAATTAATCAATTATTTAAAAATAAAAAGAGAATATTTTAATTTAAAAAGTTAAACAAAAGTATTTAGATATATATTTTGCAAAATTACACAACACGGAAGATATATTTTCGGGAAGATGAGTTAGATTGATGTAGTCATCCTTCCCGAAGATATTTTATAATACTCTTTCATATCTCATTTAATTAATCTAATATAAATAGCATATAGCAATTATAAAATAATTTTAATCAGATTTTATCGAAGATCTGATTTTATATATTGGATTATTGCATAGAAAATGTTGTTTAAAAGTTTATGCTTTATAGAATGTATAAAGTAAATGTTTTTTTGATAATCAATTATTACATTAAAATTATGCAAATATAAATTTGAAAGATGACAAAGTCATACAATTTTCAAATAATTGTTAATGAATATAGAAATTCAAATAATCAATTTCTTTAAATTTTTACAGTTATTTATATTTTTTATGAATAAAGACAAATCTGAAATAAAAGCAGTATTTTATCTGCAATAATCCAATATGTTAGTAAACAAAATTGTTATTTTTATAAAAAAAATTTTTACAATTTTTAATTATTTGATTTTTATAGAAAGTGTGTGAATCTTTATTGTGCATATGTATAAGTAATTCATATTTAATTATTTTAATATGACAGACAAGAAAAATGTCATAATTTTTGTAAAAATTTTAACGAAATTCTATTAATGATATAAGAAACATCATATCATTGCACTTTATTTTTTACTATTACTGCTTTTTATTTAAATCTTATATTTATTTTTAAAATATTAAATATTTAAGATTGAAATCGCACATAAGATATTTTACTTGCTTGCAATTATATTTACAAATATTAAATTTGTGCTAAAATAGCAAATATCTTTATCATCGTTTAAAGCATAATATTCGTAAATATTGCTGATCTTACAATATTAACTGAAAATAATGAACAGAACAATTTATAAGCAAAATTATCGCCTAATTTGGATTTGAAAGAAATAAAATTATTAGCTAAATTTTTTCACTTGATGCATATCAAAATTGTATCATTAAAAGCTGTAATTAAACTATATAGGAGAAGGAACTAAACCAATATTCGACCGAGAAGAAATAAAAAAAGCTGTAACCAAAACTAATGAAGTAGAGGAGCGTCGTACGGTTGTAGCTGTAGATGGGGAGCAGTCAGGTATTATAGAAATAATTATTGAATTATTTAAATTTAAAATTTTGTTTTAATTTAACTAGTAATTACTGAATTTGTAAAATTACGTTTAATTTTTCTCAAATTATTCTAAACTCTAAAAAATTAATCAGATTTCTATGTGTGCGTATATATGTATATGCTGTACTAAATTAACTAAGTTATGGATGAAAATTTTATTTATAAATATCTTTATTTGTGATTTCAGCAAACTAATACTTTTGTGTATCGATAAACAAATTAATGTACTATTTATGAAATATTATAACACTTTTACAATTACAGTTTTGAGTAAGCCGCAGACTTCTAAAAAACGTTCGTCAAGTCCTACTTATAGTCCCGGATATCTATCTTCCCATCAATCCAGGTTTGTTTAATTCTCAACTGCATTCGCTTCATTAAAATATTAAAACATTTTTAACATTCTTCTTTTCCCATCTTAGATATCGTACGGATTTAAAACGTCAAGATAACAGGACAGAATTCCGTGATCATCATCAAAATAACGGGTAAAGCCTCATTATTTATGTATCATTATTTATTTATAGATTGAAGAAGTATCTAACTTTCCATTTATATTATAGCAATAATATTTTTAAATAACGTTAAAGCAATGTTATATAATCAAACCAATGTTATATATGATTAAAAGAAACTAATTCATAATAAATTTAGATTTTTGAGAAAGTTTAATATATATATTTTAAATTAGATTTCTATGTTTCAGAAGAAGTAGCATAGAGAAGCGCAGAGAATATAAAGAGAAATATGCAGAAAGAGATGCACATAAATACAACACTAATCGATCACGTTCTAGAGAACGAGATTCAGGCAAATCACATTCCAGGTACCGATATTTGTTATTATTAACAATTTGGCATTTTTATTATTTTAATTTAAACTATCATTATTATTAGCATTTAAAAATATTTAACGCTAAATATATTATTAAAATTGCACTAATTGATTTACTTGCAAGAAAGGCGAGCAAAAAAGATACTATTTTTTATTAGAAAATACCTTAAATAGTATTTTTATTGTAATTATTGTTACATTTTTTATTGAGAATATTATTACATTTATTACTATTATTACAGATCAATGATGGAAGAAAGATCTTATCGTGACAGATATCGTGACAGATCAAGCGAACATTCTCGTGAAAGAAGAGACCGAGATAGAGATAGAGATAAAGATAGAGATAGAGATAGATCGAAAGAACGAAGAGATGTAACACCGCATTATATCGAACCTCCAATACACGTGCCTATCTATTATGTAAGTTAAATATAAAAATTCATATAAATCTTAATTTTGATCTTGCAAATTTCTATATGATTGAATTTTTCTTAACAATTTCCAGAATCTGCCTCCGAGACCAATTGTAGTAGGCCCTATGGTTCCATTTAGAGGACAGGTTCCTCCTATGGGAAGAGGTCGACATGTAATGGCACCAGTTAGACCATTTCCTCCACGATTTATTCCTCCGGATTTGTACAGATTAGGACCTCCACCCCCAAATCCACGTAAATATAAATATATGAATAATATATAATGTTTATTGTGTTTGATATGTATTTATCTATAATATGGTATAAAATTTTACAGGATATGGACCATTTTAAGACAATAAAATAATCTTTATGTTCATATTATAACTATAACTAGTTAATTAATATGGAATTGGTGAAAAGAAATTATTCTAATCAATCTTACTAATTTCAAGATTGTAAGATTGGGCAAACAAGAAACAAAAACATTAAATCTTAACAAGTTAAGCTCTAATCAGATAGGATATTTTATCAAGTTTGTATAAGATTAGAAAATATCATTTTGAATATGAATTACTAATAATTTTTCGAAAATTAACATTTTCGTAGAGGAAATCTGTATCATAAAAATAAACAAGTTATTGATGTTACTGTTTCTTTTGATTTAAGTAATTATTCAAAAAATTTTTATTTATTGAAAAAAGGTAGGACAAACATCAATATAAAATATACACACACATTAAATTAATATATCAATGTTTATTCTTCTTTCAAATTTTTGCATGATAATTGTGCATGTATATGTATTTATATATATATATATATATATATATATATATATATATATATAATATAAAAGTATAAATCTAAAATAAATATATCGTCTTTTTGTAATGTTATAATATAGAAGTATCTCTATATATTAGAATTATTCTTATATACATATATTCTGATCTATATTATATTAACATTATGTGCACTCTGTAAACATAATGCAATATAAAATATATTATTAATGAAAAAGAATTTTATTTTCTTTACAGATATTTTTGTGACCCATTTTTATTCGTTTATTTATATAATGATTCCTCCCTATTTCTCTGCTGCATATAGTTCAATTCACAACTATCTATTTATCCATTATCTGTATAAGCACTTTCTCGGTCATTCGCGGATTGCGCGTAAGATATATTATCTTGCTCCATTTGTTGAAATTATATATCCGTACAATGCGTTTCTTCTTTAATTATAGTAACGCGATGTTTTTTTTTCGAAATTTCGTAACTGCTTAATTACTTAACGTCTGTCACATCTTTTCACATCTACATGTAGATGTGAAAAGAATGTGAAAAAGTTTATGTTTTATAGAATGTATAAAGTAAATGTTTTTTCGATAATCAATTATTACATTAAAATTATGCAAATATAAATTTGAAAGATGACAGTCATACAATTTTCAAATAATTGTTAATGAATATAGAAATTCAAATAATCAATTTCTTTAAATTTTTACAGTTATTTATATTTTTCTTTATGAATAAAGACAAATCTGAAATAAAAGCAGTATTTTATCTGCAATAATCCAATAATTTAGTAAACATAATTGTTATTTTTATAAAAAAAATTTTTACAATTTTTAATTATTTGATTTTTATAGAAAGTGTGTGAATCTTTATTGTGCATATATATAAGTAATTCATATTTAATTATTTTAATATGACAGACAAGAAAAATGTCATAATTTTTGTAAAAATTTTAACGAAATTCTATTAATGATATAAGGAACATCATATCATTGCACTTTATTTTTTACTATTACTGCTTTTTATTTAAATCTTATATTTATTTTTAAAATATTGAATATTTAAGATTGAAAGAATTTAGAATCTAAAATCTAAAACATATTATATTTCTTATATGAATCTTTATAATGTCAGAAAAATCGTCTGAGTTAATAGCAGGAGAATATATTTTGCACAAATAATCTAAAATTTAGATTAAATAGTAATAAATAATTTTATATATAATATATAAGCGTCAAGAAAACTAACGTCTAATGAACTAATAAACTATTGAAATATTTTATTGACATATTCATTTTTGTTTCCAAATTTTATAATAGAATATATTGTATATACATATATATATATTCATTTGTTTAATTGTATTGTTTAATATAACCAAATATAATATACATAAGATATTTGGTTCTTTTATTAAAAACTTAAAATATAACACGCAGTCAGTTTTATTATTATACAATAAAATCATATAAAATAATTGTAAAAAAATAAACATAAAAACATGTGGGCTGGGGAAGTAAAAAAAGATGTTGTAGCTTTGGTAGTTCATACATATCCATTGTGTAAAGTAATTGAAATAATTCATAATATATTTTAATTAAAATATTCCAATTTTAATTACAATAAAGAGTTTTTCTTAGCATAGTGACATGCCAGAAGAAATAAAACAAGAGGCCATAGAAACTTGTGTCACTGCTGTAGAAAAATATCCAGAAAATTATGAACACGCAGCTCGCATGATCAAAGAAAATTTGGATAAAAAATTTGGACCACCTTTTCAAGTAATTGTTGGAGAAGCTTATGCATGTGCAATTACATATCAAGAAAAAACATTATTGTACATGTTTATTGGAGGTAATACAGCAGTACTTGTATGGAGGACAGTTGCAGGTTTTTGATGAATTATATTGATTAAACAAGACTACAACAAGATTAAACAAGATTAAACAACACTAAATTGTAATTCTATATATACATATATATATATATATATATATATATATATATATTATCATGTATATACATTTTTAAATATATATAATATGTATATCTTTACAAAATAGTATATATTTGACTTGAATCTTATATATTACACACAATGCCATGCATATTATAATTCTCAAAAGTTTTGCCAGAAACAAGAAGAAAATATTCTCAATACATTATTTATATTTCAATTATTATAGATATATCTACTTGATGTTATTTCCAATATGCAACTATATTTAATTATGATGATATAAACATCTAATTTAAATACAGTTAAATACAGATTGGACCCATATATGTATATATTTATTATGAGATGCATAAAAAATATTTTTTTTCTTCTTATATCGTTGTCACAATTATACAAATACTTTGTATAAATACTTATATAAATACTTAAAGTAAATAAATATCTGTTTTAAAAATGCATTGTACAATTACAATTAAAGTCACTCTATGCAGATTTCCAAATGCATATCGCTAAATTGCCGGCGCAATACATATACAGAAGGTGTTTTAATTGATAAGTTATTTCAAAACCATAGCCTTCTCCAACGACAGTATGCCATGATGCACCAAATTTCTTGTCCATTGTTTCCTTAATCATTCGAGATACGCTTTCATAATTATCTGCATACTTCTCTGCTGCAGTCACACATAATTCCATTGCTTCTTGTTTCATCTCATCGGACATATCACATTTCTATAAAATATACTATTAAATTAAGATATAATTATATAATATATATATAATAATATAATCATTTTATTAATTTTAGCAATTTATATACAAATATATATTTATTTCAACTAGCTATAATATTTAATTCATATAATATATGTAACATATTTATAATTTTTTCAAAATTTTAAATATAAATATAAAGCTTTTAAAAATGTAAAGAAAAATAAAATGTAAATTGAAAGAGATAAATAATTTTTTATATATTTATAAATGTATAAAATTCTATATTGTTTAATATTTAACAATATATATATTTAATAGTATTCATTTAGAAGCCGATAAAACTATATAATTTCGGTTTTAAATTCGAAAAATCGATTGAACATATACATATATGCTTCTCCTTTTATTGATCGACTGTCACATTCGCATTTACTTTGCAGCGAAATTTTTTACAATAAATTGGGCACGAAGATGTATTTTACTTACTCGACAAAGTGGATAAGTGTGAAGAATTTTTACAACATCATCCTTTCTAACTTCGGTCATTATTGCTATATTTATTTATATAAACGAATCACACCCTTAATGATGCTTACACGAGTACTCCACACAATAGAATGGTTGCGATGTCTCAGGCGCAAGTCAGTGATGTGATGAGTCATATGGCATGGGAAACAGACTTTTGTGTTGATTGTAAATAGAGGGAAAAATATTCCGCATTAGAGCTTTTGATAAAAAAAGATATTCCTTTTTTTATTATCGATTTTTTATGAAAAATTTTACTATTATTTTTGGCTTGAGTGTATGTATGAATTGTAATAGAAAATATTCATTTATAGAGTTGTAAAAATAGAAGAGGTTATCTACAGTGTTTTTGATTATAATTTATAATAATATATTATGATATTAAAATATTTATTATATAAGAGAATTCTTTAATGTTTTATGTTGTGTGACTTTACAGAAAATAATATAAAAAATATTAATAATTTATGTTTGTTATTTTTTTTAAGTTTGTCTTTTCATAAAGAAAAAATAATTTTTTTATAAAGTTTTTATCAGGTTTTTTCTATATAAATTGTGTTTTAACAGAAAATATTTAGAACATAAGAATCAATTATAAGAAGTCAAATTTGGACAAAAATGGCATCACGATTTAGTGGAGCATTGCAGATTACAAATCTGGATGATTTTATCACTCCATCACAGGTATATAATAAATAATTGATATCCTCTGAATTCCACACACTTAATCAAACCATACTCTAATTTAAGTTATATTACATTGTTACAGGAATGCATTAAACCTATAGAAATGCAATCAAATAAAAGCAAAACAGGTGCAAAGATAAAAATACAGTCTGATAGTTTGACATTTAATGAAGTAAATATATACTTGACATTCATTTATTTATACTTGAAAACAAATTGTAATTTAAAACTTCTTATTAAAGTTTACTTTATAATATAGATTAGACAGCCTGAAAAACTGCAAAAAGTTGAAATCACACTCGCAGATTGTTTGGCATGCAGTGGTTGCATTACATCTGCTGAAAGTGTGTTAGTTACTCAACAAAGTCAAGAAGAACTGCTCAGAGTATTTCAAGAAAAGATAAGTCATCAAGTGAGTATATCATTATGATAAGTAAATGTTAAATCAGGATTAAAGATAATTTTTTTTAATATAACTTATTATTATAAAATTTAAAGAAATATTTATAATTGTCTTTTATATAGTAGAATATAACTATAATTAATTATAAATTATATATTTAATTTATTGTATTTTTTAATAATGATATCTTTTATACTTATATAGAATATGGGAAATACAGATCTCAAATATATAGTAGTAAGCCTATCAGTGCAACCTGTATTATCACTGGCGCAGCGTTATGAACTTACACCTGAGCAAGCTCTCCATAAATTGGCAGGTTTCTTTTATAGCTTGGGAGCTGACGCAGTATTAGATATGACTGTAGCTGATGATTTTGCTTTATTAGAAGCTGCAAAAGAATTCGTCGAGCGTTATAGAGCTAATAAGGAGAACATAAAAAATCAATTACCAATGCTATCATCTTCTTGTCCAGGTGAAACAAATGTTTTAATAAAAATACCATGTTAATCCTTCTTGAAACTTACTAAAACTTATTAATTTCTTTTACAGGTTGGGTATGTTACGCAGAAAAAACTCATGGAAATTTTATATTGCCATATATAAGTGTCACAAAATCACCTCAACAAATTATAGGATCGTTAGTAAAATATCATTTCGCCGAAAACATGGGTCTTTTACCAGAACGAATATATCATGTAACTGTAATGCCTTGTTATGATAAAAAATTGGAAGCTTCTAGAGAAGACTTTTATAATGAGCAAAAAAAGACGAGAGATGTAGATTGCGTTATAACATCAAGTATGTATACATATATTAATTTCTATGTTAAATTATTTAGAAATTATTCAAATTTAAACAAAATAATTTATATTATTTTTCAGTTGAATTGGAACAAATGCTCAATAAAGATGGTTTAATATTAAACGAAATAGACGAAGGTGAAATTAAACAACCATTTGGTTCCTATAACAAAGAAATCGAAAACAAATTGTGGGGTCATAGCGGATCGGGATCAGGCGGTTACGCGGATTTTATTTTCCGTTATGCAGCGAAGAATCTTTTTGACGAGGAGGATGTTGTAGTAGATTTTAAAAATCTTAGAAATCCCGACTTCCAGGAAGCGGAACTGAAGAGAAATGACCAGGTGTTACTAAGATTTGCTATTATCAATGGATTCAGGAATATACAAAACATAGTGCAGAAGCTGAAAAGAGGCAAATGCGTTTATGACTATGTGGAAATTATGGCATGTCCGTGTGGTAATTATTACTTTATTTAAAATAATTCATTAATGTTATTTGCCAAATAATCTTGTGATATATCTGCCGTTATTATTGTTAGGTTGCTTAAATGGTGGAGCACAAATAAGACCTGAAGGAAATATTCAACCCCGAGAACTGGCGTCGATATTAGAAAGTACTTATCATAAACTTCCACTGAGTAAACCCGAGGAAAACACAGTGGTGCAAAATTTGTACAAAACTTGGCTAGGAGGGGAACATACAGATAAAGTTAGCGCATATTTCAGTACACAATACCATGAAATACAAAAGATGAATACAGCACTTGCAATAAAATGGTAACATAGCAATAACAATGTCATGTAATTATGCTTTGTACAATATGTATATATGTGTATTTCCTATAATGGATTTACATTGACTAAGATTGAATTATGTTTTGTGAGTGTTTAACAAAAATAAATTAATACTAATCAATTATTAGTTTTTAAAATTAGTTTTAAAAATTTAAATTAATTGCCATTATAATATTGATAATAAAAATAAATATTTTGTGCTATTATGTAATAAAATAATAAAATCTACTTATATACACAACAAATGATATTAATAAATAAATTATAAACATATTCATTGTGTAAAAGAGTTGTGATTATACCTAAAATGTATCAATAATTTTATAAGTGTTTATTTACACAAGCCATAAAATAACAGATATGATTATCACAATAAATAATATCACGATACATGTACATATAAATACCCTTTCGCAATTCATGTGAATAGCTGTCGTTTAAATATGAGTTACATTTTAGCTTTTAATTAAAGCAGCATTTTTCATTTTTAATAAATATCTAACGCTATATAATCTTATATATTAATTTTTAAATTGCATTGTTTCACTTAAAATGTGTTGTGTAAATTGTACATACATGATATCACGTGATATACACAATGTGATACATATACGCAAATAATTTTCTTAAAAAAAAAAAAAATAAATAAATAAATTTATTTGCATTATATGGAATGGAAATGTTACTGTGAAACACTTTTAGTGAAACACTTATTATACGTAATTTTCCTTATTTGCTTCATTTTTCTTCCTTTGTTTTTATAATTTCAAGTCTTTCTTTGCAACAACTATAGTCACATTTTTTACTTAAGATTGCAACAATAAATAAATAAACAATTAAGTAGAGCATGATGCCCCCAATTATCTAGAATTTTTGTTATCAAGAAATTCTTCATTTTCATTCATCTCTCTGGATTCTGATTTCTTCAAATCTAAATCTGGATATCCGTCTTCAATATACCTAATGGAATCATGATCCATGTTATTGTCTTCTTTGTTTTCACATGTGTCTATTAACCATCCTTGATTGCTATCAATTTCTCTAGAAACAACAAGGAATAGCTCTTTTTCCTTGCTATCTATCTGGTCCTTTAAATATATGAGTAAATCGTTGTCCTAATATAAGAGAAAATATATAATTAATATTGCACAATACATATATAAAAAAATATCTTTTAACAAAATTAATTTCATATTTAATGACCTTTCCTATTAATTGGGGTGAGTCCAGTTTTGAATCAAGATTATAAAAGGCACCGTGAATCTTTTTTAGAGCAATCCAATGACGTCGTTTCAAAGGAAGTAACACAAAACCTAGTTTATATTCAGTTGGAACATTAAGTATAAAACCCTCAATGTTGTCTAGACAAAGACACTTAGGATCCCTATAAAATAAAAATGTTTATTAATGTTCAAAATTCTAATCATATATGTAATCATATTTCTTAATACAAAAGTACAGACCTACGCTTGTCGAACCATACAGCTTCACGTCCTCTTCTTTGAAGAGCAGCCATAATAACATTAATATCATAATTGCCAAGTCCTAGTAATGACTTATGAGGATTAATCCATACATCAGGACTTAAACTGTAACAAATCTGATCCAATTCCTGTTTGCTAAAGCCACGCTCTTGAAACAAGTTGTTTAGTGCATGTAACGCACATAGCTCCTTCACCTAAAATGTAATTTATAATCTCATTTAAATTAATATATACATAAAGAAAATATATATATACACATCAATTGAAAAAAAGCATTTATATCATTTTTATTAATATTATATCAAAGAACGTTTTTGTTGTATCATTATGTTTTTATGCAACATAAGTGTACGTAACAATATTCTATAAAAAAAACATAAGTACGTAACAACATAAGTGTATGTAACAATATCTTATAAAAACCAGAATATACATTTAATTTTTATTGCCAAATCTTACTTGTCTCTCATGATATATGGGTCCAGTCATATCAGTCGCCGAGCTTGCAACCATTGTAACTACATAATTTTTTCCGTCTTTTGTAACGTGTTATTTTCTTTCCACTTGGAAAAATTTAATAACAAATAAACGACATCAGCGAGTCGTTTAGCTGGAATCAACACACCTTAATAAAACTCACTGTGTTATAATCGATGATTTCATGTGCAAAGACACGATAAATATAACTCGGATTTGGAAAAGCTAATAATTGTAGAACAGTGACAGCAAATTTCGCATGAAAAATCTTGACAGATATGGTAACCAGCATAAATACAAAAATGTATTTCTATACCTATTTTTCTCTCGATATTAGTCTCTAGTCATGACAGATGACAGCTCGAAAGAAAAGTGCGAAAATATTCGAAATAAAAACCCACAAGAGCGTTTCGACTTTACAACCTCTTGCTGATCGAGCTACTTGGGGACAACCGAATATGGCGTCATAATATCTAGAGACTTTTTGACAGCAACTTGCGATTGGTTTCACCATTTTTTATCCAATTCGCTCTAGGTTTTTTTATTCACCAATCGGAACAAAGATTTCTTTGTCGTGATTGGTCAATAAGGTGCTTCGCGTACTATCTTTTTGTAGAATTTTGATGAAAAATGGCGGATTATGTTTGTTGTGATGCGATTAAAGGGTCTATAGATGCCGATATAACTTGAACGAAAAGTGTAGGGTAGAATTCGTAAAATTAGTACTTCGTAAAACGAATTGAATATACGTGAAAACTTTCTGAGAGAGCAAGTGGCTGAAACTGACCTCGAAGATGGAATTTGTGCCCTCCGATGAAGAGGAACTTCGCAAGAAGGATATCAAAGAGAGAGATAGCTTTGCTAATCGTCTGAGAGCCAAAGATGAAAGCAAAACACGCAAAATTGCCATGCCTAGTGGTTCTGGAGCCGGTAAGTTGTATGGAGAATATTTCGTCCCTTTGCCTTCAAATCTGAACTAAAATAGCTGTTAGAGACAATAAAATTAATATTATAGATATTTACAACATTCTATGTAAGTTGTTCATTTTAAAATTTATATCTTCTGTCCTTGCAGCTGAAGCAGCTAAGAGACTCAAAATTATGGAGATTGATGCGAAAGAGAAGCTGGTACCAAAATTGAGAGTTGAGTCTCGTAGAAAATATTTGGAGAAACGTAAAGAGGACAAAGTTGCAGAATTAGAAGCTGACATTCTTGACGATGAATATTTATTTGATGAAGAAGTGTAATTTTATATGGAAATATATCTAACTTTTTCATATAATTAACTTTAACAACATAATTGTTTGATATATGTTTTTAACAGTTTAACAGAAAGGGAGAAGCATGAAAGAACTCGTAAGAAACAATTATTATATTTGGCAAAAGAGCATGAGAAGGCGAGAGAACTTGAGCGTATCCAACGTTATCACATGCCTCTTGAGAAGGGTAAGATGGAACCAGAACCTGATATTGACAAAGAACCACCGCAGTCGGAACAGAGCAAATGGGAATCGGATCAGATATCATCAGCTGTTTTCCGTTTTGGTGCTAAAGATAGGAAAGGTTTGTTGACCATTAAAAGCAAGTAATTATTTTTGTAAATTTTCTCTTGGCTTAAATACTATTATATTTCTTTTTTATAGCTCAACAAGAATATAGTCTTCTCATGGAAGATGAGATGATAGAATTTGTTCAAGTGTTACATATGCCGGGGCATGATAGGGAAAAAAAACGTGAGGAAAGTCCGCCTGCGCACGTTAAAAGTTTGCAAACGATACAGGAAACCAAAAAGAGTCTCCCCATTTATCCTTTTAGAAAGGATTTGATACAAGCTATCAAGGATCATCAGGTAAATAAATAAATATTGAAACATCACAGATGATGAATAATATTATAAAGTATAAGAGGCATTACATTTTTGAATATTAGGTTTTGATAATAGAAGGTGAAACGGGATCGGGAAAGACTACACAAATTCCACAGTATCTGTACGAATCTGGATTTGCAGAGGACGGTAAGATTATCGGATGCACACAGCCGCGACGTGTAGCAGCGATGTCGGTGGCTGCAAGAGTAGCCCACGAAATGGCTGTTAAACTGGGCAATGAAGTTGGGTATGCCATTCGTTTCGAAGATTGTACGTCGCATCGCACCCGTATTAAGTATATGACTGACGGTACATTGCACCGCGAGTTCCTCAGTGAACCCGATTTGGCGTCGTATAGGTATATATTTATGAGCATTGCTAATAGAATCGTAAATAAAAATTATTAAGATAAAAACAAAGTTGAATGGAAAAATAAAAACGAAATAAGAAAATAAGGGATTAAGAAAAATGAAAAATAATGAAACGTTGAATCTCTTAATACATATTGATAAATAATTATGATGGGTTTTTCTATTTTTAGTGTAATGATAATTGATGAAGCACATGAACGGACTTTGCATACCGATATATTATTTGGATTAGTGAAAGATATTGCGAGGTTTCGTCCCGATTTAAAGCTGTTAATATCATCGGCTACGTTGGATGTTACAAAATTTAGTGAATTTTTCGACGATGCACCTATATTTAGAATACCAGGACGCCGTTTTCCCGTCGATATTTACTATACAAAAGCACCGGAATCAGATTATATTGAAGCATGTGTAGTTTCTATTCTTCAAATTCACACAACACAATCATCGGGTGATATATTGGTGTTTTTAACTGGTAAGCATCACAGCATGTGTAAAATATTGTTGTAAGCAATAAAAGTTAAAAAGTTAATAACTTTTAACTTAGCTTACAATTAGTTTCTTTAAAATAAATTAATTTTTATTTATATATATATAAACTAAACTTTTTCCTCTATTAAAAATTTTTTTCATCTCTGAATATCATTATTTTTTTCTGTAAAATCTAAAACATTAAAAAATAATTAAATTTTTAATACCAATTAAATTTTAATTGATGTATGTCATTCTTTACATTCTTACATATACTCTTCTATTATGAAATACGTAAAGCTACTATTACATTTTATTTATTTTTTTTATAATTATAATTACAAAGAGAAAAAAATACATTCTTATATAAAAAACAAATTTTTTTTGTTATTTTATATAAATTTTTAAAAAATTAACAAATAAAATATTAAATTTTAAATATTAATATTAAAATTATAACATTTTAATTTGATATAATATTAAATATAAATATTAATTAATAAAATATTAGTCGGCTCTCGAAATAAACATATAACATATATATATATATATATATATATATATATGTGTGTGTGTGTGTGTGTGTGTCTTATATAAATATTAATGTTTTTAAAAATTATCTTTTGATTTAATTTAATCTTAACTCATTTTTTAACTGTGTTAGTTTTTTATTTATTCATTTTAATGTAACTAAATTAATTTTATAAGCCATTAACTTTAACTTAGTTTTCAAAAATAATTAACTTATCCAATCCTGGTTGTAAAATATAATGAAAAATATATTTTTGTACATAGGACAAGAGGAGATCGAAACATGCCAGGAAATATTACAAGAGAGAGTGAGAAGATTGGGTAGCAAATTAGCAGAACTCTTAATTTTACCCGTCTATGCGAATTTACCAAGCGATATGCAAACCAAGATATTTCAACCAACTCCACCTGGTGCGAGAAAGGTAATATTTCTCTTGAAAAATATTTATTAAATTATTTTTTAAATATTTTTTAAATTATTTACATATAAAATTTTGACTTTTATTTTTAAGGTTGTATTAGCGACTAATATAGCAGAGACTTCGTTGACTATAGACAACATAGTGTATGTGATAGATCCTGGATATGCAAAGCAAAACAATTTCAATCCACGTACTGGTATGGAAAGTTTAATAGTTGTACCAATCAGTAAAGCATCTGCGAGTCAGGTAATATTTCTCTTAAAAATCTTTACAATTTCTTCTTTAATTATCCAATTTAAATAAGAGTAAAAAATGAAATTTTAGAGAGCGGGACGTGCTGGTAGAGTAGCACCCGGCAAATGCTTCCGCCTCTATACAGCTTGGGCCTATCAGCACGAACTTGAAGACAGCACTGTGCCTGAAATTCAAAGAATTAATCTCGGTAAGAATTAACAAAAATAGACAATATTGATTACATTGATCAGATTGTAAAAATATATTTTAATATTCTTTAATTGATTAAAATATTTTATTTATATAGGCAATGCAGTACTTACTCTGAAAGCTCTCGGGATCGATGATCTAATGCATTTTGATTTTTTGGATCCTCCGCCACCTGAAACATTGATCTTAGCACTGGAGCAGCTCTATGCATTGGGCGCGCTGAATCATCGCGGAGAACTAACAAAACTCGGACGTAGAATGGCTGAATTTCCGCTGGATCCAATGATGGCAAAGATGCTACTAGCTGGTGAAAAATACCGCTGCTCTGAAGAGATAGCGACTATCGCAGCCATGCTCTCGGTAAATGGCGCTATTTTTTATAGGCCAAAGGACAAAATTATACACGCAGATGCTGCGCGCAAAAATTTTTACGTGCTCGGCGGAGATCATCTGACACTACTCAATGTATATAATCAATGGGCACAGAGTGATTTCAGTACACATTGGTGTTACGAAAATTTTATACAACACAGGTATGTTAATCAGTGATTAGTAGTAGTAATATTAACAAAGTTTTATAAAATAAGTTTGTTACGATTTGTTTTTCAGATCTATGAAACGAGCAAGAGATGTTAGAGAACAGTTAGTAGGTTTAATGCAGCGTGTAGAAATGGAATTAGTCTCAGGAATCACAGAAACAATTAATATTAGAAAGGTATGTGTGTTTGTGTGTGTGTATGCACACACACACACACACACAAGTTAATATTATTTTATTTTACTTTAAATAATGATAAAATATTTTGTTTAGGCTATTACAGCTGGTTATTTTTATCACGTGGCCCGGTTATCAAAGGGTGGTCATTATAAAACTGCAAAACATAATCAAACAGTTGCGATACATCCAAACAGCTCTTTATTCCAAGAGCTTCCACGTTGGCTTCTTTATCATGAACTTGTGTTTACTACCAAGGAATTTATGCGTCAGGTATGTATAAAATTATAACTGTCTTGTCTAAATTCAAATCTGTTTGTAAGTTTAAAAAAAAGTTATGTTGATATTCGAAAAAAATTTTGAATAGGTGACAGAAATTGAAAGTAAATGGCTATTGGAAGTGGCGCCTCATTATTATAAGCCTAAAGAGATAGAAGACTCAACAAACAAGAAAATGCCTAAAGTTACGGGCAGAGCACGGCCAGATGGTACAAATTAAGCATAATTCCGTACTATTATTGAACTGTGATATTAAATTACATTTTATACAGTGTACACAAAAAAGAAATATTATCCTGTATTCAATTAATAATTTTTTAGATTCATTTGTTATTCGAAATGTTATTCTGCAACAAATTATTTTGTTGATTTTAATTCAAGTATTATTCTGCAATAAATTATTCTATTGGTTTTTCACATACACATACTTTGTAAAATTTTTTATCTGAAAATTAAAATATATGTAGAAAATTCTAATAGAAATAGATATCTTTAGAAAACTTAATATTAAGTGGGGTCTACAATGGCAGCAAGAGTACAGAGTAGAAGAGTAAGCAGTAAGCAGTACGAAATAGGATTCGCTCATTTCGGGAGTAACAAAATGAACAAATCCCATTTCATACTGCTTACTGTTTACTCTTGTACTCTGTACTCCTGCTGCCATTGTAGACCCCGCACATTAATGTTCTTACAAAAATCAAATACAATTAATTTTATTGCAATCTAAATAGATTTGATGAAATCATCAAAGGTAGCAAAAATGCAAATGTTTTTGACCAACAAACCGATTAAAAATATTCAAAAAAGTTTCAATAAACGCAAAATTTAATGCCGATGGTTTTATAATATATACAGGCGGCAGTTGGATCATATACAAATTTATACTATATAATAGTAAATCAAATTATATGTGCAGTTTTCATTCAAAATTTATGAAACAATTGTGTTCATTGAAAATTGAATTAATAAAATCATGCATAGTAGAATAGAACAGTAAAATAGTACTCTTTTTTTTATAAAAACAAATCGAAATATTAATAAATTAAAATATTGCTGAATCTTACTCCATTTTGGAGTCATCTTTTTTTCTTATATTGTTAGATTTTTGTCTTATTGGGGACACAATACTACAATTTTATTTTATTTATTTTTTTTTAATATTTGTAAAGAGATAAATTATATTTTTAATACGCTCGAAAAATCATCTAGAATATATATTTTACGAAGAGATTAGTTGGTAATATTCTTCTTTTCATGTGCCTTCTAATATGCTCGAAAATCGTCTGATAATTAATAGAAGAATATATTTGTGAAGAGGTAAGGTCAAAAATGTTGTCGGTAATTACGATGGTAACTTACCGACGATGATAATTTACCGACTGTCATATTGACATATCTCTTCGCAAATATATTCTCCTAATAGCGATCTCTTCGCAAATATATTCTCCTAATAACGACCTCTTCGCAAAATATATTCTCCTATTAACTCAGATGATTTTTAGGACTATTAAATTAAGACTTGCTGCACTACCGCTACTACCTCTTTGCAAAATATATTCTCCTATTAAACTCAGATGATTTTTGAGCATATTAAAAAACATTATTACTCGTTAATTGCTTATCTAAAAAATAAAAATAATTTACAAAAAATATTAATTTACTAAATAAAACAAGTACGCGTTGCGTGTAAATCTGATTGGTTACGCCATGATGTTTCCCTTATTTTGACATTTGACATATATACATATAGCTTTCTTTATTTAAATATTTCCTAATTCTGTTAGCTGGTTTTTTTTAGACACGCTAAGATCCTTCTTTTTGCACCGTTGTTGCTAGCTACGAGAGAATCGTGCAGTATATTTAATAAAAAAAACATCTGTGTGCATGTGTGCGCCATTTGCGGTTCACCTTGCCCGGCCTTGCCGATGTGTGATAGTGTTGGACGTGCACGAGTCTCGCATTCTTGACAATTCTTTTCGCCGGTAGTGTTTGTTAATGTCATATATATTTCCCGAGCTTTTCTCAGTCGCTAACTCGGTACTCATAATTGCATCTTCTGGAGTATTTTTTCTTGCGTATATGTAGCTACAAGCAAGTAAATCATAAGCAACATTTCCGATACGGTGCCAGTGACGTAAACGCTACATCAACATGTCGGCTCTTCAAAAATCAATTTTGAAATCCAAGTTACCACCGTCAGCTGTCAAATTTTCAGGATTAAATTCCAGGTAGGTTTGTGTGGCTTTTGGTAAAATTGTGTACCAGCAAGATTGATTTGTTGAAAGAGTGAAATATATGTGTTTCTTGGATTGCTACAAAATCGTATACAAGAGTATTTCTTTTTTAGAATCAATAAGAGATCCCAACGAAAGAGAGACTACGAGCCCGTGCAATGGAATCCGTATTTTGATCATTCTAAGGATGTGCCAATAGGACAGAATACATTTCATGTTTATATCAAAGGCGTTGAAGGACCATTATTAGTTTTATTACACGGTGGTGGTTACAGTGGCTTAACATGGGCAGAACTTACAGTAGGTATTATTTTGCAAAAAATTCAGTTATACGCATAAGAAGAAAACATTAATACATAATATGAATTTTAGAAATCTATTATGACAATGGTATTGTGTAGAGTCATGGCCATTGATCTTAGAGGTCATGGAGATACTTACACTACAGATGATGAGGATTTGTCTGCAGAAACTTTAGCATCGTGAGTGTGAAATGTATTATGTTTGACGTTTTATTTTGATTGTATGGACTTTTTAAACATCTATATTTTTAAAGTAAAAAAGAAGAATGTTATGTGTGATTGAAGTTTGTTAAAAATGTGAAGAGAACCATGAGATTGTATATATATCTACGATCTGAAATTACATAGAGCACAGTATAAAAAAATTTTATTTATTTTATAAATGTCTTACTAGTGCATTTTAATAGTGTCTTATAGTAAGTCATTCTATATACTATTTTAAGAAATCTTTTGAATTTTTAATAAATTATTTATCTTTTTATTTAGGGATGTTGCAGCTATTATAGACACAGTTGCATGTGATACTCCAATTGTTCTTGTTGGTCATAGCATGGGTGGAGCAGTAGCTGTGAAAGCAGCTCCGTTAATTCCAAATTTATATGGATTAGGAGTTATAGATGTTGTGGAGGGTACAGCAATGGATGCATTAGCTTCTATGCAGAGTTTTTTAAGATCTCGACCATCTAGTTTTAGCACTATATCTCAAGCTATAGAATGGTGGTTAGTATACAATATACAACATACTCTTAATAAGTTAATAATTGTATTATGATAATTGTGTTTTGTTATAAATAATTAAATTTGTTCTTTGAAAATAATTGGCAATTAATTTTCTCTATTTATTTTCTTATAAAATAAAATATAGTTGTAAAATAAAGTGAAATAAAGTTCTAAAATGAAATAAAATTATTTTTGATCATTTTTCAGTGTTCGTAGTGGACAAATTCGTAATATACAATCTGCAAAGGTCTCAGTTCCTGGACAAATAAAGAAGTTAGTGAGTTCTTAAAAATATTTAAGCTTTTTTAATTTATTCATATTAAAATAAATCGAGTTATGTGCAACACACGTGCCATTTCAGCATTGAAACTAGCAAATTAGCAACTCATGATATTGACTCATTGTCAACCCAATACAACACATGTGAATCCAATCCAGAACCAGTTGTACCACGAGATGATATTATTCAAGAGGAAGAATCATTCAGCATGCCACCACCACCTGCATCTTCTGCTACCTCTGCAGCTAACAGGAAATATGTATGGAGAATAGATTTAGCAAAGACAGAGCAACACTGGTTTGGCTGGTTTAAAGGATTATCAACAGCATTTTTGAATGTCCCAGTTCCAAAAATGTTGTTGTTAGCAGGAGTTGATAGATTAGATCGTGAACTTACTGTAGGACAAATGCAAGGTATATTTTCAAATTATTAATAATACAATTATTCAGAATTATGATATAGCTTTTAATATTTTTTAATAAAATTGTTATGCATTTATGAAAAAAACAGGCAAATTCCAAATGCAAGTATTACCCGCGTGTGGACATGCTGTTCACGAAGATGTACCAGATAAGGTAGCGGAAGCCATTGCTACGTTTATGGTTAGACATAAGTTTGCAGAGCCAGCCTCCGATTTTCCACGGTAAGCCAAAATATATCGTCTACTCATCATATTTAAAATTTAATCATATATTTTTGTAAGATTGTTTTTGAAGAGATAAAACAAGTATTTTCTAGTTTTCTAATAATTTTTACAAATTTTTACAATTTTTATATACATTTTTATGACATATGTAATTTGTTATTGTGATTGTTTTAGGACTTTTCCAGCTTGTTAAGAAAATAATTAAATAATTAAGATTATATATATTGTAATGTAAACTTAAACAATGTGAAGGGTTTTTTTTTTAAATTAGTAGATATGAATCAATCTTATTTATTTCAAGAGAGAAATTATAACCACCAAATATATAGAAACGTACATCATACATGTGTAAATAAAACATTTAGTTAAATGAGAAAAATAAAATTGTTCTTATATATGTAAATTTTCTTTTGTCGAAATGTATGCTTATCAAACTTTAATTTTTGTGGAGTTATTAATATAATTTTATACAGATATTTAAAGTACTTACATCTATAATATTTTTCAATTTCTCTCTCAACATTTATTTTAAATATATCATTTATAGCAAAAATTAATCAATTCATCATACATTGTGTAGAACAATTTAAAGATATTATAAGAAGCAGTATTATACATATATTTAAAGATATTATAAGAAACAGTATTATACTTGTGTTATATTTTTTGAGAGAGAATAGTTTATATATATATATTCTATTAAAAAATTTTTGGCTTTTGTTTTTAGATTATAACAAACACACATGCATTATAAACATTGTCATTAGTAAAATCATTACATTGAAAATTTATATAAAATCGCAGTAATATGTACAAATTCGTAAATAAGCGTCGAAATAAACGTATGGCAGTTACAATGATTGGAATTTTCTTAATATAGTATAACAATACAAAAGTGTGTAAAAATCCTATAAAAGTACATACTAAAAAAAATTTAATATTTATTCATAAATGAAGTTATCTCTATAAAATTGTGTTTCAAAAAAATAACACTGCAATAATTTAACATATACAATATCACAAGAGAGCAGATTGTGTTATTATTTCTGAAACAAATCTTATAGATTGTTGATTGATACTAAGAATTAATTTTATGAAATTAATATAATTTAATATACAGGCGTTACTTGAAATATCTATATCTATAATACTTATTTTTCAGTTTTTCTCCCAGCACATATTTTATATCACTCATTTCTATTATTCATAGCAAAACTTATTCAATAATTTATCTATTATTAATAATATTTATCATATATCTTAAAATTTCAAAATATTTATAATAAGCAGTATTACACATTGTTATACTCTAAGAAAAAAATAGAGTTCATATATATGTATTTTCTATTAAAAAACTTTAGATGCCAGCTAAATTTTTAACTACACAAGGTCCTGCGCGGCCAGTTTTAAGAGGAGCAACCTTTAAATATAAACATATTTAAATTTCATGTGTTTTTATATATATATATATATATATATATATAATTATATACAATATATATAAAGTATACATTTAACATTTTTTATTTAATTATAAGAATTATTTATACACTTACGGGTTCCCATTCATTAGAATGTGGATCGTAGGCTTCTACCAGTGTGAGATATTGCTGACCATCATATCCTCCCACAGCTATAAGTCGATCACCTAGCACACACACACCTACTGCATCTCGGGGTACACTCATTGGTGCAACCATTGTCCATGTATCGGTTTTAGGATCATATCTATTGTCATAGTTCATTATGTACAACTTAAGAAACTTTAAATATACTTAATATATAATAGTACAGTTTTACCTCTCTACACAGTCAAATCTGCTTGCATTTGGGTTAGTAGCTGGAGCATCATGACCACCAAGTGCATAAAGGCAACCATTTACTACTCCTACGCCTACACCACCTCGTCTCTTTGACATAGGCGCACATGGTGTCCACTTATTAGTATGTGGATCATAGCATTCTACAGTATTTAAACAGGAACTGATATCTCTTCCTCCTACAGCATATAATCTGTCAAAATATAAAAAATTGTATTAAGAATTTATCTTAAAAATAATATTTTTAAACAAGATATTTTAAGATTGAGATTTTTTAATGCTTAAATAATTATGAAAATTTGCATTAAATGAAAAAATGTAATAATTAATTTTTAAAAACTAGGCTATCAATTTTTTGGTTTTAAACTGGTTTTCTTTCTATAATAGAATATCATTCTGGCGTATATTTGAAAATTTTAAATTAAACATTGAAAAAATCTAAAAAAAAAACTCATTCGATTTTTTAAAGGTCATTAATTTATTAATACATCAAAACTTACTTATCATTTAATACAGCTACACCAACTGTAGACCTTTGTATGGACATAGGGCATATCGAACTCCATTGACGTGTTGCTGGATCCCATCTCTCTACTGTATCAAGAAAACTCCAACCATCATGACCACCAACAGCATACAAGGGTCCACCTAAGACTGCTACTCCTATATAAGAAATATTATCAAGTTATTTGAATAAATCATGCTATCAGTTTTTATGTATATATACCTAAGCCATGACGATGTACATTCATGGGTGGTAATGTACTCCAGGTAAGAGTAGAAAAATCGAAGCATTCTACCGTGTTTAGCGTTTTTAAACCATCTCTACCGCCCGCAACAATTAATTTTTTATCTACTATTACAGCACCAAATTGCAATCTTCTACCACTCATGGCAGCTAGAGATTTCCAAGCGTTGTCGCGCAATGAAAATGCATCTATGGATGTCGCACCTGAAAGTTATCGTTTGTTAATTTATAAATTAAACTAGCATGATTAAAATATATAATATTGATATTGCATTGAAAAATCTTAATATTACATATAATTAATATAAATTACCTTTATTAGCATCCATTCCTCCGACAGCTAACAATGTACCCACAGTAGCTTTTCTTGGTTTCGTTCTTCCTGATTGAAGCAGAGGTCTTCGTTCAGGCAGCAGATGATACTTCAATGCTTCCATTACTAATTCCTGTGCCACTCTTTGGTCTTTAAACATTTCATTGCTCTCAATATTGTCAGCTATAAACTGTTTTAATTTATTAGTTGGTCTATACAATACAGTTTTACTGAACAAAAGAGTTAAACTGTTGATGAACTTACTGCGGGTGATAACAATGGTAATTTGACTAGACCTAATAAATCACTGGCATCTTTGCTCCTGTTTTCTGGATCATGCTCCAACCAAATCATAAGGGCCTACAGTAACATTTTAATAATAAAATACCAGTTGTACATTAAACTTATATATTTTAATTGCATATGTGAAATATTTACTTATAAGTAATTTAAAAAAAATATCTATAATTAAAAGTATACGTTATACAATCATGTATTTTTTAAATATTTTACAATTAGACAAAAGTTTATTCATTTTTTAAATAGGCTAGATTATTTGTGTTTGTATTTATAATATTATTTATAAGTAATTTATATAATGCATATAGTCAATCTTACATGGAAAATAGTTTCTTCTGAAGGAACATTAAGATCCTCGGATTCGAGTAATTTTGCGACTTCGTTAGCAGACAGAAGTAAAAATTCTTGATTTCTTGTAACTTCCATGAAATGTTTGGTAGTATATGCATGTGCATGCTCAAATAATTCTGTACAACCCTGTGTATCGGCAAACATTCGTATGCCGAGGCAATTACTTGGATGAAGTTGTTTAATGAGAAATTGACAGCATGCTTTAATAACTGGATTTAATTGTAATAGGCATGCAGTTGCAAGAAGGGTCTCTACACTATCTTCCTGTAACTCTATGCAACCTGCATATAGACATAAAAAAGATATGATTAGGAATTATTAACATTAATAGAAATTACTTAAAAAGTTAGACCTCTTAAATATATTATATTATTAAATTATTTTTTTCAATACAATATTATTAATATTTAAAAAAAATGTTCTTTTAGATTAAATATATCTCAAACTGAATTACCTGTATAACAGTAAAGAACCAGAGCCCATAATGCATCTCCATCTACATCCATTAATTCTATTTCATTTTGTGCTGACTCTCGTAGAGAGCTTGTAAACATAGCAGCAAAATATTCTGAACCAGCACTTAGTACTAATCGATGAGCCGGGACACGTTTATTTCCTAAAGAAAATGTACAAATTAGAAAATATAATTTAAGATTTATTTAAAATTAATTTATTATTTTAAATAAATATTTCAGATTACATATTAAATATACTTTCAAATATAATATATGCAAAGATATTTTCACATTGAATATGCTTTATTCCTAACTTTTGTAGTTAAAAACTTTAATAGTTGGAAATTTGGAACAATATCCACAAGTTTAGACAATACTTTTAATAATTTTATATATACATATATATATATATATATATATATTAATATTAAAATAATATAATTTTAAAAAATTTTTTAATTTTTGAGAGATAAATCTTTGATTATTTATTAAAAGTAAAAAAAAATAATTTATATAATAATATTTCTTATCTTACAATTGAAGCACACACTGATTAAATTATTATCATATGAATCATTTTGACAGTTAACAAGTTGAGCCAGGTACGCGATATCTTCGCGCTGTCACGAAGGAAACAAAGCATCTGCTCACCCGCGATTAGCGTGACGTCTGTCAGCTGTTGCTTGTGCAAATAACTTTCCATCATCCGGAGACTGCTCTCCGCATGCTTCGGCGAAATGGATACGCACGACATCATGCTGGAGATGCTATGCTCGCTGGCGTCCTTATCGAGGCCGAGCGGAAATTCCTGTTGCTCGCCTTTGTTGCTCGTGGTTCTCGCGGGAGAGCTTTCCGCTGTCTTCGACGATGACATGCTCGTTCACGTATCGTCGCGAGAAATCGTCGATCAGGAGTCAGGAGGAACGAGATCCGGGACGTCGCTCTTCTCAGGATATGTCGAGATGTAAACAATAGATCGTGCCTGTCAGTCGCGGTCAATGACCATCCACGATCATTCTACGGGTCAGCGCACTCGGCACTGACTGTCTGCCACTAGCACTAATCAGTTGAGATCGTTTGCCACGCGATGTCCGTACATCGCACGAAAATAAACAAAGAGCTGAGTGTATACAGCCGCCAGCTGTCATGATCGCGAGGATGCACGAAGCTACACGATCCTGCATTCGCATTCACCGCCTCTCACCTCGCTCCCTTCTCCACTCATGCATGTGCATGTGCTATTGATATCTTTTGTACTAAAATAAAGCACCCGAGTTATGCTTTGGAAAATAAATTGGTTTAAAAAAAATATATGAAAAGAAAATATTGCAAAATTAATGAGAACATATGTATAATTATTACTAAAAAAGGTTCCCTCTTTAAAAGGCTACAGCTATTATCGAAAAGAATCTTTCATTCCTTCTTTTTCCTTCCTTTCCTTCAAGGTTCTTATCTAAAAAAAATCCTTAAATTAGAAAATAATTGTTATATATTTATTAATACTATATTCAATGGCACAATAGTTCTCATTTGACATTCAAAATAAAATGGTTCTTTTTAATTATATGTAAAGACATATATATATTTAAATACAGAGATAGAGTTAGAAGAATTAGAAAAAAATAAAATATTTTTATTGTACTTCAATGTAAATATATAAATATATTTCTTTGGGTATATAATATTGTATGCGGGTCTATCTTATGGAAGTGCACGCAATCTATGTACAAGCATAAATATATGAGATACACTCGATACAAAGTTTTTTTAATACAATATATTATGCATCATATGTATAGGAAAGAATATTACAATCATGTGATTTATGATTGAATAATTCACATCATTTAATTAATTATATAATTAATTTTATATGAAAACCTATTGCCTTGATCATACACTATAATACATAATTCAATTAATTTTCTTTACATAAGTTATATATTATACATTTTTTTATAACTTTGGTATATAACACTATATTTTGTGCTTTATGTAACAATGAAGCTGCAACACATTTGTACGAGATTTCTAATCACTTTGTTTTTCTATATTATTTGTCGATATTGTGTACATATCATAAAAGCAGTGTATAATATTATACAGAATCTTTGTAATTTTTTCAAGTATCAGAGATATATTTACAATTATGAAGTACAATAATAAATATATAGCATATACTTACATTACTGTAGACAAAAATGTACATTGTATATTTAAATACTGTACTTAAATTTTTAATATATTGATAAAATCGTCATGTTCAGCAAAAATCGACATTATTAGCATTCTATGTTGCACTATCAACAGTTTAAAATTTTCTGCTGCGTTTGTCTCGTTACTGTGTTGCAACATGTTACGTTTATTATATATAAATATACTTTATACACATTGAAAAAATTATTTAATGAACATATTGGAAATTAAGAGACATTTAGTAGAAAATCTTTTAACTGTTGCAAAATTGCCTTTTCTGCTGCAAATAATTATTTTATGTTATTATAAAAATTAAAGCAGAAAAGGAATATCTATACATTTTGTAATAAAATTGATTTTTAAAAAAATATTACATATTGGGACAGAACTTATTGTTAAATGGCAGTAACATAATAAATATATAGCTGCATACATGCAACATTTGCTACAAACCAACATGAAAATAGTTTGCCTACATACTTGATTGCATCAACATCAATTAGAACTGATCTCTTTCTGATTGTTACTTGGTACTTGCGTATCATAAGAAAAATCGAAATTAGCAATATAGAAGCTATTATATTTTTAACTTAATTATAAAATAATTAGTTATTTTCTCGCTTTTAAAAAGAGAAAAATTATTTCTAACACAATTACAATTTCCTCTAGAAATGTAATTTTTTATGTAAGTTAAATAAAGAAAGGTACATGAATAATTATGTATGACTGTAAAATCAAATTACATTTAACTTTTCTTTTTTTCAGAAAGAGAAAAAAGTTGTCGATCAAGATTATTAAACCGAAGATGTTGATGCAACCGTCTTAGTGTCGCGTCGCGCATCTATAGTTGCGCCGTAACATCTCCAGGTACTTTCCATTAATGCACTAGACGCAGATACCTCCGTCATACACTTGTTCTGATTTGGGCATCGAGGAATCTGTGACCGATTCCGAGAAAGATCCGTAAAAGGGCCTTTTTCGACAGCAGCAAAATCGATCGAATAATTCCGTCAGATCGCTGCTCTCGGAATCATCCCTGAAGATACCACTCGTCGCTTCTTCTGTGCACGGAGCTATAAATGTTTGCAGATCGTTTCTCGGAAAGCCCTCGCGATAGTAGATCTTGATTGTATCGTACGCGTCCATTATCACAGAAATAAACAGACTTAAGACGACATAAATGTACAATGAAATGAACGAGTATAAATATATTCTAGAGAACCACCACACTATTACCGATGATTTGGAAGACGTGATGGAAAATGTGGCAAACATATCATCACCGTTGATCAACGCGAACAAGCACTCGGAGGTGGTCGCGAGAGAACGAAATTTCAAGTTATATGGCCCGAGCACCAGCCAGCCGCAGAATACAAAGCCGGCGTAAATGAGGATTGCACATATCAAGAATCTTGCTACCTTCGGCGTCGCTTTCTTCAGAGTCAAAATGACGACATTGTACGTCTTGAAGAAGCCGAGATAGCGCAACACGCCAAACCATACCAACAGATTGCCGGTACCGAGAAAGATGCTGCAGATATTCCAGTGATCGCTCTCGGAATGTTTCCGTTCAATTTGCTCCTTTATGATTGTGCCAATAATGATCAACAGATCGTTGACGGTGATCATGATGTACCAGAAATTTAAAAATTCCAGTCGACCTTCGAAGCTCAATGTTGTGCCATACGTCTTCTTGAAGAAGTTAATTGTCTCGAATTTCAACAGCTGCGCTCTGTATATCGCTCGTGAACACAACATCAAAGAGACCGCGCAGATTAATATGACAAGTAAATTCAGCAGAGTCCTCAGTGCGGATTCGATGCGATTATCTGTTATATAGCGGGTATCGCCCTTGCACTGCAACTTTCTAGCCTCTGCGTCTAACGAGAGCAACATCTGTCCATCAAAATCGCGGTTATCAAAGTCGATTTTGACATTGAAACGATAACAATCGGGCGATGTCATCGGTCCGGCAGCTTTCAGGTTTACCGTCTTCAGAGCAAATTTGAGATGGGCGCGTACCAGTGCGGAAAACTTAACAGTTATGTTCCTATCCTGTAGAAAATTGTGCGATGATTTAAATGTGTTGAAGACCTCAAGACTGATGTTTACGCAAGTTTGCACAATGTCGCTGTCGAACACGTAACTCTCGTTGAAGCCGAATATGGTGCCTTCCTTGTACTGATAAAGGCATAAAATTACAGGCCCGACGGAATTGTCCTCGGCGATGTAGGAGTACGAACCAATCGCATCGTCAACGTTGTAGTAGCCGTGTAGAGCATAATCGATGGCTTCGTAAAAATTGCTTCGTTTGTAAATAGCCAATGGTCCTGTCGCAGGCGGATATGCAGGTACCTGAAACGTCATTCACAAGCATTATAATATGAGAAATAATTATCAAAGTGAAAAATTCATTTCTCATTACACTGCAATTGCAATAATAGCTACAATAATTGATTTGTAAAAGGCAAAAAATAATTATTTAATAAATTACATTTAAGAATTCTTAAAACATACTATATGATTAAAATATAGTTTTTTAATATTATTTTCATTATTTCATTTTCATAACATCAAGAAATGAAGGTATCATTTAGATTTCTAGATATGTAAACAAAATAAAACTATATACCTCTTGCGTAGAGTCCCATCCCATCAAAAAGAGATGAGAGAATGTGATTCGATTGTCCCAAGTATAATTCACATGCATGTAATTGTTGTGTGCGAATAAACAAAGTTGTACAGTCACAAGGATAATCTTGATGACCTGGACAACAAATTTGTATGGGAAACGTCGTTTTGCCTGCCACTTCTCAATTGGATTCATAAAGAAGAACCGTAGTTTGCGACGCATTTTCTCCTCCGCAAGAGTAGTGAGAGTCGGACAAGTTTTGCATTCCATTGGAGATGAATGATTTTGCCTATAATGCATAATAGTTGATTGTAATGGTTTTATCTATATTATTTTATATCACACACATGGGATTCTTTTTAAATATAATATTAACATTAAATTATTTTAAATCACACAAATAAAATAATAATCAAAGAATATATATATAGATTTATATTAATTATATAGAATTGAATATTTATTTATATTTTTATTGATTATTATGTGAAAAAACAATCAATAATTTTTGTTTTTGTTCAATTACGTCAAATAAATCCTTTTTTCAAGTTTGCAAGAGCATGCTATCTCTCAAGCATGGTCACTGTCAATAGATTATCAGAAAGAATTGTTAATTGAGATGTTGGAAGCAGTCGAGAGTGCTATCAATACTTACTATATATTTTAACACGAGCGAGCAGAGTCCACTTGATCGAACCGCAACAAAGAAACGTAACGACACCAAGAGTGCCGCATAAAGAGACGCGTATAATTCGTTCAATTATATCGACGTGATTTGACAGTTCTCGCGATAATTATGTATACGCATAATCTGCGATCAGCAAATAAACTTCGATAAGCACAAACCTCGGTTCGTTGACTTCGTTCAGCAACGCGTTCTCGCTGGTGATATCGTCCTCGCTCTCGTCGTTGTTCCACATGCGATTCTGCAAATTGTTCCCCACCGAGGTATCCTCGTGCTGCATTCTCTTACGTACTTTCGTCGGACTTTCCTCCATCCTTCAGAATTCCGACGCGACAATACGAAAGGTGACGAGCGAGCTCAGGTAAAAATGTCAACAAACAATCGGCCTCCTATCCCGCAGAGTCGTCGTCGTCGTCCCACTTTCCGACTGGCGATGAGACATCCAGCTGTTCACATGCGTAGATCTGTGCGTGAGAGAAGTATATATTTTACTGTGCAATTAGGTTAGATTGAGTGTTAAAATATCACGTACCAAAAGGGAGCGCGCAATTGATGACAGATGCAATGGTCCCAAATTAACGGCCATCGCACGCCATCTGATCCAACCCGATGCAGCGACCGAGCTCGACTGACCGACTGCGCCACTGATTGGTTACAACAGTGGAGGGAGACGTGACGTCAGAAGACGTGACGTCAGACGGAGAGATTTTGTTGCGCACGCGCAGTAGTGAGTGACAGCCAGTGACTTTCAGTAGCGTATATACTTGTAGAAATAAGTGGTATCCTCAGGCACATGATCATTAATACGTTTTATTATTATAAATTTTATTATTATTATATTGTTATTATAAATTGTATATTATAATATATTATTATTATAAATTATAAATAATATTATTATTATTATATATTATTATAAATATTATATTATTATTATAAATTGCAGTATTTATATTTGTCTTGATATTAGAAATATTAGGATGCGGTATTATAACGTTTTATACGTTGTAAGAGAAAATTTTGAAAAATCTATATGCGCCCCAAAAACGTTTCGTGTCGTACGAGTCTGCGAAGAGGCAGTCACGTGATCGGGAAGTGCGAGTTGGGGAGGAAACATCCCTCCATATTAGATCCTGCTACCACGCTTGCGCGAACTTGCACGCTCTTATCTACCCGGAAAATATTGTCTGAATAATAATAATTTAACATTGGTATTGTATATAAACTTCCATTCTTAAATATTGTCACAGGTACACCTTTGAGATGAGACGCATACATATATATATATAAAATGAATCTACGCTATGTAAACACGATGTTTTTGACCCGGAAGCCGGAAGTGTTCAACTTTGAACGCGAACACACGCACACATTGGCATCGTGATATCGAATGTAAGCAACGTTTACTCTGATTCTATTTATATTTTTCTTCTCCAATGCTTCTTTTTCAATTTCGATTTATCTCTTTCATAATCGGGAACTTGCGATAGATTGAACAATATTACTTTTCGATAAATGATTTTATTTACTTGATGTGCGGTTATATTGTATGGCTTCGAGTATAAATTCAAGAAGGGATCGAGCTATAATGAATATTATATATATTTTTATTAAAAAATTTCGAGGTTAACCTCAAAAGAAATTAATGATTTATTTTATTTTTCATTAAAGTTCGATCTTTCGACGAGATATATGTATTATTAATAATTTTAAACGCGATATAAAGTGTTTTTGTTCATGCTGAAGATTTACGCCATATTGTTACATATATACATGCTCACGCATTTTTCAAGAAATGCGTTTTTCTAAGAAAAAAACGTTACGGTATTATATGCAATAAAAAAAGTAGGGCATTTTATAAAGATTTACGTTTTGTATATTATATGGTTGAATTTATTACATGCAATTTTTTCAGATTTTTGTTCTCATTAAAACTATTATTTAATATTATATTAAACATTAAGATAAAGATAAATAGCAGTTGTGAGAAAATTATATAGTTTAAAAAAAAATCAAATATAACTTCTTAACAAATATGTTTGAGAATTTGCATGAATATATAAATGAATAAATATATTAGAAAAGAGAAAAAGATACTCTTCAATTAAGATAAATTAAGATACATTTTATAATTTATAAATACATTTAATTATATTTAATTCTGGATTTTGGCTAGTAGAATATATATATATATATATTTTTTTTTAAAGATATCATTTAAATTTGTTTTCTAAAGAAATGAGGTAAAATTTATTTTTTAGATTTCCTTTCTTTTATTATTTTTTCCATATTTTTTGTGCATAAAATTTTGTCGCAAAAATAATAAAGTCCATAATTTTTTTTAATAAATAATATGTAAAAAAACATGCACGCGATTTAAAAATTTAATTTGAAGTTTGAAACTTTGTTAAAAACACAATAAAATTAAATATAATTTGTTTTATGAAAGTGGAGTAATTATGAAATCAAAATAAAAAATAAAATATATAAAAATATTGAATAAAAAATATAAAAAAATGTAAAATAAAAAATAATTATTGCATGGAATTATTGCATGGATTAATTATGTTTACCGATTCATACCTATTGTTTGTTTGTCCAAAGTATGTATAAATATATTTAAAAACAATCCAACTTTTGTCCTGTTTTTAGTTTAAAAAAAATTACAAAAAATATAATTAGATTTATAAAATAGCAACGTCCTTTTCCATCTATATATGACAAAGTTGTGCTATTTCATTAAATCCATCAATATTATATTTGATAATATAGAGTAGCAATCGGAACCAAATAGATATGCAGTTGTGTGAATAATGTATAGTTGTCTACACGACAACATTAATCTCATTGTATATTGACATTACAACCTATTCAATATTTGCAGATAGCCGACGATGAGATATCGGATGAGAGATACAATGCAATAAGAGAGCAACTGCGTGTCTCATAATGTGTAACGAAGCATCGATCCGTGAAAATCCGGACAAGAGGTAATCTTAAAAATTAATCTTAAAGATACACTCCAACTTTTCAATCACATTTGTAATTTATAGCTTCTTTCTGACATGCACATTTAAAATCACGAATTTCGTTATTTGGATCAGGTCCAATTCGCTCGAGTCGCATTGGAGCACGTAGAGGAGTCAGGATGTGGAATCGGAGTAATTTGGATTTCAGCGGAATCCAATGGAATATACTGAGACACGTCGTCGGCAAGAGTCGTAGAGGATCCAGATCGCACGAGCAGAATGGAACGCAGTTTCGCCAGGATAGACTCGGAGGTAAGTGCAACGTGGAAAAACTCTTATCACGACACGTAGCCTCTTCCAAGGATGAGAATCAAGTGGCGGCTTCACTTCTCGGGAGTTGCGCGCGCGTGTCGAGGGGATTGTTGCGCGATATCGGTGGCTGCGCGTTGACACACGGCGCGGGCTCTCGTTGCGTCGGCAGCGCAGCATTACCATCACGTTACCCTCGCGACACGGAGGAGAGTGCGTCCTGACGCGCGCCAGGTGAGGAAGCGCGCAGCCGAGAGACCCGAGCTCGGCCTTCATCGTCGTTCAGACAGATAGGCGCAGTTTATCCCTCTTCGCCGTCGCGTTCGTTTCCTCGAACGAAGCAGTAGTTCAGCGAGTATTAACATCTGCCTTGAATAACGACGGTGATTTCTAAGACGTAACCAGGATTCGATCGGCTCGACTTTTCAGAGAGCATCGCCGAGGGTGTCTTTACGTACGACTATGTACGAGTGACTTTTAGGAGTCAGTCTGTTGCTTCTCGTCAGTCGGAGAGCGACCTTCCTCAACGTTATTGCGACTTGACTCTGGGATTCAACGCTGGGTCGTCGACCTGTAGTCGTCTTGCGCGAGTGTCGTGTTTCATCGAGCGGAGTGCAGTTCCGTATCGTGATCCTCTTTGTTGTCTTTGATCCTTGGTGGAGAAATTTTCCAATCTACGAGCTTTCTCAGCATATCAACGTCTCTCCTATCCGTTTCATCGGTGAGGACGGAACTCGCGCCGTCGGTCCACGCGACCAATTTTGACCATATTAGTCTTCCTCTCTTTATCCTGCGTCGCGTTAGCCGGAAGCAGCATGGGGGACCAGGAGCAACAGGAAACAATGCCGAGCGTGGTGGAGTTGAATGTGGGCGGCGTCTTCTATACCACCGCCTTGACCACGCTGACCCGTGAGAGCGACTCGCATCTGGCAACACTCTTCACGGGCAAATCCACCGTGGAGAAGGACGCCAAGGGCAAGTACTTCCTAGATCGCGACGGGGTGCTATTCCGTTACGTGTTGGACTTCCTGCGCAATCAGGCGTTGGTTCTGCCCGAGGGCTTTCGCGAACGCGAGAGGCTCAAGCAGGAAGCTAATTTCTATGGGCTACCCGGTTTAGAGAAGGCTATCTTGGAGAACGCGGATTCCGGCGGGCAAACCGGCGGCGCGGTCAGCAAACGCCCGCCCGGATACATCACTATCGGCTACCGGGGCAGCTTCGCCTTTGGCCGCGAGGGTCTGGCCGACGTCAAGTTCCGCAAGCTCTCGAGGATCCTGGTATGCGGCCGCGTAGCGCTTTGCCGGGATGTCTTCGGTGAAACGTTGAACGAGAGTCGCGATCCCGACCACGGCATGTCCGATCGTTACACATCGCGCTTCTTCCTGAAGCACAGCGTCATCGAGCAGGCCTTCGACATGCTGCAGGAGCAGGGCTTCAGGCTGGCGGCTAGCTGCGGTTCTGGTACAGCTGGCAGCAACTCCGACCAGCTGAAACCCGGGGTGGATTCCGAGGAGAATCGCTGGAATCATTATAACGAGTTCGTCTTCGTGCGCGATTAAGAGAAATCTTTGTTAGCAGCCTTTTCGCGAGTAATTGCGAGTAAAAAAAAGTGTGTACTCTTTCGTTTCGTCTGATTGTCGTCGATGACTCGCATCTTCTAAAACGTGCTAATAAAAAGCGGCGAACACAGAGAAAAAGACTTCCTCAGGTACTTCCTTGAAAGGATTTTCAGGCAAAAGCGAAAATATGGAGAGACGTGAGAACACGTGTTTGTGTGCTTAACGTGTGACCGCGTAACGCTAATAATATGAGACATTTTCGTTGATTGCATAATTAATGAGGTCGATATATAATATCGGATTTAGGAAAAGTTCGTGCGAAAGCGTCGAACGTTCGTTTCGCGGAGTTCTTAATTAATTTTGTCTCGTTAGAAATTTCCCCGAAGTTATCATATTATAATCAATCAATGTTGACATTACTAGGAATTTGGGGCGTTTCTATTTTCGAGAGTACCACACGAGAGTAACATTCTCAGCCCTCTCTGAAGCATTAATTCTTGAGAGCCCTTCACTTTAATCTTTCGACTCTTTTATTCGAGTGACGAGAATGGATAAAGCAAAGATAGATTTTCGTATTTCGATAGAGGACTCTTATTCAAAATATTGATGCTTCATTTAATAATGATAACGAGAAATTAAAGATGCACTAAAAAGAATTATAAATTCGTCGATTACGACTAAGTATATGTTGGATCTTCAAATGTCATTTGCTGATAAGTTAATTAAAATTGCATAATAAAAAATTATAGTAGTCAACATCAAGCTATAACGAAAATGTTTGCTTTCAAATCAAAGACTGATTTGAATGAAAGTTGAATTTGTTTAATCATACCGTGTACTTTTACGGGTATAATTTAATATTTAATTCTATACGAGTTTGATTGACAACTGCAGAAATGGAATCGAAAATTTCCTTGAATATGTTAATGTTTTCTATAATCGAAACGTGCCGACGGCAGCATCTAAAATTTCCGACGAAAATCCGATTTGCTTTTAAAAGTTGTTGCGACGGAGAAACGTTTATTAAAAAGCAGTCTTATATAAATCCACGAGATGAAAGACGCCAATATCGGGCGTTTTTCATTGGTGGCCGCGAAGGAAGATGATGAATGAAAGACGCAGAAGGAAAGCGGATTCGGGCGAAGGCTCGGTGATGTTGAAATATTTGCGAACGTACGCGACTTGACTATTTAAAAGGGCAACAATGTTAGACTGCATGTCAGTGATAAATACCGCCAGAAGCGACAGATAAAATGCAAGGAAACACGCAAAACAGACTTGAATAAAAATATTTTAAAATTGAAGCTTCGAACGCGTAGATGACACATAATTGCATTTTTTCTTATTCGCATTTAACGCGGAAATCAATTAAAGATGTTAGAAAATTCGAAAATTATTGAGATCATCATTTAAAAAAGTCTCCGGCTCTGTTTAATATCTCAAGTAGTTAGTGCCAGTAAATAGTCAGACCGAGTAGTCACTGTTAGTTTATGGTCAGATCGAATACTTGGCGTTGATCGGTAATTGAATCAAATTAATTAACGGTGTGCTAGAAATGTATATTTTATTTTTTTTTTTTTATTAAAAGTATTTATAAAAAATAATTTGTTGCTGCAAAAATTCAAAAGAATTATATAAAAATACTAACGTTCGGTAGATCATCCTTTCGACGTAATTGAGCACTTCAACTTAGCTTAAACAGCTAACTAGCTTTATTCTCTGTGGTCGAGCAAGCTTGTTGAATGCGTGTACTTACAACCCGACACGATGTCAAACGCGTTATTCGAACAACGGGACATCGGATTCGTGTCTCTTCTAACAATTCTTTATCAGTGTCTTCAAAGTACGACCAAAGTAACGCTTGTTTTCTTTTATGTCAAATTTGTTCTCTTAATTCTTTTCGGTAAGTGTTTTTTTGGTAAAGTGAAACGTAAGTGTGTGATAGGCATTTCGTATCGTTTTCGACTTCCAAAGAAGAAAAGAAAGATTCGATAAAATATAATGAAAGTGTCGTTATGAATTCACAATGAGTCCCATTTCGCGAGTTACAAAAAAAGTGCATTTACGAAATTATTTAAACAAGAGCAAAACTTTAATACTTTTTCTTTTCTATAGTCTTTTCTATGGTCTCTCGCAGAATAAAAAATACATGCCTGGTAAAGAAAGTTTGAAGAGAAAGAGAAAGAGAAAACTTTTCTTTAGATAACAAAAGGAAAATATTAAAAAATCGAAAATTTTAATTATAACTGAATATATAACTACTCAATTATTATTTTTGAACGATAATGTTTACTTGAATTTAAAATTTGATTTATTTTATATAATTAAAAACATTAATTTTTCTAGTCATATTTATATTGCAGAGTTATTAAAATAATAGAAAATAGAAGATTTTTTATTTCAGACTCTAATTATTATGCACTATACACGTAACATATTGTTTTTAATCGTCCCCTTATTAATACTATTAATAATTATTTGCATATTTAGAATGATAAAAGATTCGAGAAACCCATCGCAATTATAATCTTTGTCGCAACAGGTTATCATATAACGGATGCAATGTTTAGCGATTGTTTCAAAGAGTGCCGACGGCACTGAACAGATGAGGCAGATATTGAGTTTCGTGCGCTCATTAATTTCTCGTTATCATAAAAACCTATAATGTTAAAGACTTTTTTCAAGAGTGATCGAGATAATACGACATATAATTATTGTGTCACAGCAGCGTTTCCTATGTTGCATTGTTACGAAATGATACTTATCAGTATTAGATAATTAATGAATTTATACAAAATCTCATGATACAAGTGAAAAGTTAACTTTCAATTTAAAAAAAGACATTTAATTTTTAATACTGAAGTTATTCACTGCGAAAAATTGATTATTGCTAAAATTTCAAGAGATAAAATTTTATGGCTTGATACTTTCCCTTTATAATATAATTACACGTTATGGCTGTCGGAAAGTAATTTTGGGGCGATAATGCGAATCACAACTGTTATTGTTAGTGTGTTGTACGTCGAACTGCGTCCACAATAGATTGATTTATAATGACGTTAGGTTCTCGGGTTGTATGCGAATTATACGTGTCAACGTGAGGCATTATATGCATATATAATGGAAAATGGAAGGTAGCCCAATGTACGTTCGATAACATTTAATTTATCTATATTGTGTCTTTCATTGAAACAGCTGATTCTTTTTTTTGTAAATGAAATGAATGGTGTTAATTGCTTAAAATTCATAAATGTTTCGCGTATCAAGTGAAGATATTATCATTACATGATATATCGCACAGTGAAACGAATGAACGACCTTTTCGATATTTTCAAGTTTGCCTCTTGTAAGAGACCAGCTTCAGTATTATATGCAACTGATCACGATGATGATTGCAATGAGCAATTAGTCAAATCTTATTAGCTGGGGGATTCTATTAATGTGAGGCAGTGGTATGTGTACCGTAATCGTTTCTCGATTACATTAGTAAATCGCCTACTTCCATTTACTCTGTACAAATTAAAGACATTCAGGTAAATCAAACTTGTAAGATAGTAGATACGGATGTTGCAAGATATTAATGTAAGAGAGTCTCACATAGAGCGACTATAAACTTTGACTTATTTTATGATGGCACAAATTTTTAATCTTATGGTATATATCATTCAGATATTTTTTTTTATGTGCATTTATATTTGATAGACACTCGATGTAGCTGTTTATCGAATTTCTTGATTTACGATTCAATTTACGGAATTTTATGTTATAGTTTGATCTATATCACGGAATTTTATTTAATTTATTCATAATATATATGCAAAATTGGGCCCAACCAAATATTTATTACAATATGGACAGCTCATTGTAAAAATTATTTATCGTTGAAAAAGTTATTCATTATTTCATTTTGAGTCTTTGTAGTCGTTAAAATTATAATGACTGATTACCATATACATATACATTCGTCTATACTGTCAAATAGAATTAAACTGTATTTTCTGATTCCTATATATTGATTTCTAAGATATACTGAAAACGATTTTCAGATGCAGTAAAAGAGTATATAAACGTATATTCACACATGTGCGTTAGTATGTTAAACTTTTCAAAATACAGTATATACATAAATTATATTCGGATTTTCGTAAAATTTTTATTTGTGAGTTTATCTTATACTTTTTGCGCGTATGCAGAAAATGCATTTATTGTGCACTTGTCGTGAGCCTTAGAAGGAACATTGTTTTTGGTTATGCGCAAGATACGATTATTTTACCTGCACCAGTATATTATGTGAAGAATATATCGAGATCGACGATATGTCGATTGTAATTCGTGATATAGAGGCTCTATTTCGTAAATTAGAAACAGTATTATAACTCGCCGCAAAAGGGAGCGAGTCTCGAGTGAATAAATTTAATAGAACTCATAAGCTCTTCAAGTTTCGTCAGAGATTCTAATAAAGAAATCGAATTTTATCGAAATCTTTCGATTCTTCAAAAATCTTTGCTTAGGGTTATTACCTTAGCATTATTCTTCATATTATTTTTTATAGATATAAACTATCTATTTTACGTAATCTCTCTTTTATTTCGCTTTACAATGTTCGATATATACGATGGAATTTGAACTTTTCGAATCTTCTCGATTAAAAACTTTTGTTTAATTTTAATTAAATAGCTCTCTGCGAAATCTTTTCCTTTAACATAAAGTTTCCGTAAATACCATCGAAGTTTAGAGGTTGATGTTGGCATTCCAAATTTTGTTTGTAAGATAATAGAGAATATAGGAAACACAAGGTAGAAAAATAATAGTAGTTGATTATGATTCGATCATTTTTTTCCAAATTATATCTATGATATATTAGAAGACATCCTTGCATTATAACGATGGAGAATTTATCAAAGTATTTCTTTTAATTCAATTAGGAGACGTCTTGACCAATCGAATTTAGGTATATACATATATGTATAAAAGTACTTTATGTATTAATACACAGTACATATATATATTTATGGATTGGATGAGAGAGAGAGAGAGAAGAGGTTTTTTTCCAGCGCATTGCACATGGTTTGACATTCTTTGAGAAATAGTTCAACTAAAAGTTGCAACGCGCGTCGTGGAAACATTTGATTCCGATATTCGAGACTCGGAACCCGTTTATTGGAGAGAATTCAACGAGTAGAATCTGAACGGTGTTAGATAGTGTGTAAGACTGTGGCGCGATATGAAATTATTGTACATGTATATAAACGTATATCTAAGTATAAAAAGAGGAGAAATAAAAGAATGAGATGGCAATGAGAATGTGATTATGGCAATCCTCGATCCATGTATCTCGTGATTTTGTTACTATCCTCATATTAAGTTTTCTTTGCTACCATTTTTTCCATACTCTAATTAGGGAAGGGACGAAAAATTAACTTATGATATATAAACCGTAAGCATCATATGTGAAATATATCAAATGGCTAACTTTATAAAATACAATCAAGAAAATTTAATTTTTTCAATAAACTCATTCGGTCTAAATAACTACATTTTCAAGTTTTTTCTTTAATGGAATTTGATATTAAATTTTATACGTGATTAAAAATTTCTATTAACTTTGTGCGATGCAATTTTCGATGATTTTTTCAAGAAACTATTTCTACATTTATTTTTTAGAAGGTATTAAATCAGTGTTTCTGATATATACAATTTAAATTAAAATTAATTTTATATATCTAATTCTACGAATAATACTACGGAAATAGAAACATAAAAATATGTTTTTTAATCATATTTTTATATTTAGCACTTTGTAACTGTTGTTATTATATAACTATGTTTAAAACTGAAAATCTAGAACTTTTATAAGATTTTTGTGTAAAACAGTTTTTTATACGCTATATCTACACAAAGATTAAAATAGGTCAACTTATTCTTGAAGAAAATATTTAAATTTATAATAACACGTATATATAACTACAAAATATTTTTTGCATTTTGCTCTGCAACATATTCGAGATTTATCGAAATCCAGTAGGGATAGTAGCGAACGTTTCCCTTTAAGCTTTCCATTATGGAGGAAAGTAATGATATTACTCCAGAATAGTTTTTCCGCTGTATATGAATCAAGTGAAGCGTCTAATTTTCGTTTTATATTGAAATGCATAAGGGACGATAATCTATGAGATGAAATTTTAATTGCTTCGGATTAAAAAATCTAGAGCGAAGAAACTGAGATAAAATTGCTTTTTAGTGATAAAAATAGTAAATAGCATAAACACATTAAATTTATTGTAATATTATTACAATCTATATATATTTCCAAGTTTTTGTAAAATTAATGGGATCGTACTATTTTTGAGATGGACCTGAGATAAATTGAAAACGTAGCTATTCTCTAAATTTGATTAAATCGCAAATAATTTGGAATTTTGTATATTCTAAAGATAAACGTTGTTGATCCGAAAATGTAAAGCTATCAGATTTTTATTATCTTTAATGGGAATATCCGGAAAGATCGGATGTAATGGATGCAATATACAACGTTCAAATTAATTGCAACAAGGCGGGATCGTTTCGTTTGCCAATCGAGAGAAGGAAGAAACGATTCTTCTTG